TCTCAAAGAAATATGTCACGCAGGTCCAATATTTCAACTAGTATGAATAATGTACACTTGGCACATTGCCGGTACTATTATTTCAAAATAATGGTACGCCAACATCAAAGGATGACGTCTCATCTGTATTTTAAACAGATTTATTGATCACATGTTTATCTGATAGAAAGAAAGAAACTGAAAATCAAAGTCAGTACCATAAATACTTTAATGTACCTTATAAACAAATCAAATTATCATTATCATAGTCTTATTAATATGCACAGTATTCTATCTTAATGCCTAATTAACCATTCTATAAATAAGTGGCTATGATTAATACTATTACAAGTTAGAAATCTGATCCCGAGTTCACAAAACATTCTCAGACTTTAAGTTAAGAATTTACTCAAAATTGATTGCCTAATTTTAACTAAAATATAGCCCTTTATAAAACTTTTATTGTTTTAATGTATCAAATACATCAATAAGAAACTATGCAGAAAGTTTTGTGTTTCTGGATCAAAGGTATTTCTCATAAACAGTGATTGAAAGTTGAGTTACTTTGTAACTTAACTGAGAAAGTTTTGTGAACTCTGGGCCTTGTTCTAACCACAAAACGTAAAATTATTTTACATATTTACAATCCACAAATATAAAGGAAAATTTACATTAAAATTTCTATTCACAAATGATATAAAACTGACACCTTCTCATACATCAATGTTCATTCAAGATTTTGATTGTGAATATTTTTTTTCAAATGCTATACATTTTTAACCCTTTCATCACATTTCCTCAACATTGTTAAAACTTAATTTGGCTATTTAATGATTTTTTTTTTTTGCATAATCAATGATCATCTTACCGATATCTAGGTTTAAGTAGTGACAAATCTACTAGATTTATAAACTGGCCCACTGGGTCTAGGTGTATCTACTCACCAGGAGCGTCAAGTTCAAAGAGAGAGAGAGAAATGTTATTTAACGTCCACTCGACACAAACTAGGTCATTTTGGGACTAACATATGCTTCAATTTTATTTCCATAATTCACTTGCACGTAGGGGTCTTTAGCAGTGGGAGGAAACCGGAGGACCCAGAGAAATTCCACGAGGTTGGAGAGGCAACCCTACTCCTTGTCACGTACAACCGGGGATTCGAAATCACGCCAGTTGACTCGATGACAGGCCTTATGATGCGCACATGCTAACCATTCGGCCATCCACATCCCCCTCAAGTTCAAAGGGTTAATACATCTGATATATAAATGCAATAGTCTTCAAGTCTAAGGATGCATTGCATTTTGTATAATCTTTCATTACCATTATAATGTTTTGATATATTATAATAAGATATTATTCACAAATTACATCGGAGTCTATTCCAATCAATTAATAAAACAACAGAATTGAAATATAATGTACATGTTACCACCAGTGTCTGTGCCGACAGCTTATATATATATATAGCTATCATAAAGATTACACGACAAATACAAGTTTTAAAATTTTAAGCCATGATATAATTTATTTTTTACATTTTAATATACATTAGCATTAGCATACATATCATACATGAATGCACAACTTGATATAATCTTTTAGCAGGCCTGGAAATAACGGTTTTAGATGTACCTGACAAAATGTCAGGGACTAATGAAATAGTACCTGCCATTTTCAACTTAGTGCCGGACATGTATTATTAATATCAATAAAAAAGACAAATTAGTGCTGGACAAAATGACAGGCACCAGAGGTTTAGTGCCTGACAAAGCCTGAATCTGTGCCTGACATTGTCAGTGACAAGTGCCTTATTTCCAGGCTTATCTTTTAGAGGCATTTAGTAACTGGATAGAGCAATACACAAAAACACATACTTATGGAAAAATAGGTACCTATTTATTTGGGCGAAATTTCGAAGAGAAAGAAAGAAAGTGAGAGAGAGAGAGAGAGATAGAGAGAGAGAGAGAGATGGGGTTTAACTTTCACTCAACAAAAACTAAGTCATTTCGGGACTAACATATGGTTTAATTTTATTTCAATAATTTGCTTGCGCGTTAGGGTCTTTAGCAGTGTGAGGAAACCGGAGGACCCGGAAAAAAACCCATGAGGTTGAGGTTGGTCAGGCAACCCTACTCCTTGTCACGTACAACAGGGATTCGAAACGTCGCCAGTTGACTCAATGGCAGGCCTTAGGATACAGCGCGCACATGCTAACCATTCGACCATCCACCACCCCCCCACGTTTCAAAGAGTATTCTCTCAACATTATTACTCTTTGAAACGTCTCCCAAATAAATAAGTACCTGTTTTTCCATAAGTATGTGTTATTGTGTATTGATATGTTTGTTCGAAGGTAGTGTCATAAACCATGAACAATAATCAAAGTGAAGTGTTATTGTGTATTGATATGTTTGTTCGAAGGTAGTGTCATAAACCATGAACAATAATCAAAGTGAAATGCTATTTCTTTATATCACTATATTAAAGATACATTATGTAAGAGCTTTATCTACCTATTGCAGGTCTTTCTTTCGGCTTCAAATGTTATATAAATTGGTATTTAGACATTTCTTCAGATGACAAGCCTAAAATCAACTCTCTAGCCCATCAGATGGCAGAGATTTAAACAGATTTCAACACGATCGCCTTTTACTGATTTAATTATAACCTTGTGAATAACCTCCTGCTGGTCTAGGATAACCGGCTCCATATCCACCTGCAGTCTGTCCACCACGAGCATAAGGATTACCTGCACCTGTAGGTGGTGTGGCAGGTGCTGCAGGTTGACCATATCCTGGCATTTTCTGCCCCTATTAAAAAAAAAAAATGCATTTTGATATAGTTATTACAAGAGAGAGAGAGAGAGTTTTCATCCACGCAACAAAAACTAGGTCATTTCGGGACTAACATATGGTTCAATTTTATTTTAATAATTTGCTTGCGAGTAGGGGTCTTTAGTAGTGGGAGGAGACCGGAGGACTCAGAGAAAACCCACGAGGTTGGACAGGCAACGGGGAATCGAAACCATGGCAGTTGACTCAATGACAGATCTTACGATACAGCATGCACAAGCTGACCATTCAGCTATCCTCCCACCTCCCCCACAAATTAGAAAATAGCAAGCAATAGTATTTACCTGTTGTTGATAGTTAGGTGGATAACCTTGTTGTTGCTGCTGCTGTATAGGCTGTCCTGGTTGTCCAGGCTGTCCTGTTTGTCCAGGCTGTTGATTTCCATAACCATACGGTTGTTGTTGATAATTTGTTTGTGTTTGTTGTCCAGGCTGTGAAGTTTGACCAGGTGTTTGACCTGTTGAAGCCTGTGGTGGGTTGTAACCCTGTTGGCCTGCCGTGTAATTATAACCTATAACACAAGCCACTGTATTACTTAAAGGCTAATGACCCTAAATTCTTTGTTTAAATCTAATTACAAAAGATATGCTGTCAATGCTTCATAGTTTTAATACAGAACCCTTTTTGACCTTTAGAATTAAGATCCTTTTTTGACCCACAAAAACCCTTGATATTCTACTGTGATTCTCTTCATAGCTTTAAAACTGATCCCTTTTTGACCCTTAGAATTAAGATCCCTTTTTGAATTAAGTGCCAAGAAAACCCTTGATTTTCTACTGTCATCAAGTAAGAATCTTCTTTAATAAAGCAGTGATTTAATCCATGATGCTCCCGACGTCTAATAAACATTTCTGTATTCAAATTTAACAAAAATAAGAGAGAGACAGAAATGGGGTTTAATGTCCACTCGACACAAACTAGGTCATTTCTGGACCAACATATGGTTTAATCTTATTTCAATAATTCCCTTGCGCGTAGGAGTCTTTAGCAGTTGGAGGAAACTGGAGGACCCGGAGAAAACCAACGAGGTTGGACAGGCGACCCTACTCCTTGTCACGTACAACCGGGGATTCGAAACCACACCAGTTGACTCAATGACAGGCCTTATGATACAGCGCACACATGCTAACCGTTCGGCCATCCAACCCCACACAACAAAAATAAGAGCTGAAAAGTAATAGTACCTGACATTTTCAACTAAGTACTAATAATATCAATAAAAATGGCAAATCAGTGCCGAACAAAATGACAGGCACCAGAGGTTTTGTGCCTGACAATGCCTTATTTCCAGGCTTGAGTGTAGAAGACATTGTTATGTGAAATAATTGTTCATATCTTGGAATTCTTTTTAAATTTCAACATGACACATTAAGAGTCCAGGGGAAGAACGATCTAAGTCACATTTTTTTCTTTTCGCATAAAAGGCAAAACAGACTTTTGGAGAGAATGCTTGACGCGAACAGAACAACGAATGGGTTTAATCACAACTTCAAAATGATGTTTAATAGGAACAATATAATTACCAGTACAACAACTGACTTCCATTTTTCAGCCAAATTAAGGTCAAATAAAGGGTACGATGGACGTATTTGTCCGGGAGGCCATTTCAAAAGGGCCTTGGTTCGATGTGACTCAGATCGGTTTTACCTGAAAATGACTGCTCCACAGAAAGCTTATACAATTTGCTACCAGATGGCACCATTAACTGGGGTTCGTTCAAAAAGTGACTTAGATTGTTCTTTCCCGGGGCTCTTCACATAGAATAAACAGATAAAGCAATAAGCACCTTGTCCAGCTTGATTATAAGGGGTTTGTTGAGCCTGCTGTTGTCCATAGGTAGCTTGAGTCTGATAACCAGCACCAGGTTGAGGTTGTGCAGATTGATTAGGATTGTAACCACCTGGTTGTTGTGGATATGGTTGTGCTGGTGGTGGTGGTTGTTGTTGTTGTTGTAATGTTTGTGGTTGTGAAGCTTGGGATGTAGGTTGAGGGGGTTGAGTAGGTGTCTGTGAAGCGGGGTGTACAGGTGTTTGTTGTTGCTGTCGGTATAAATTACTAGAAGACGAACCAATACTGGATAAACTATCTGGAGTACCCGATCTTTCAATACCTGTATTACCTGTACCTACAAATAGATAAATCTTTCAATAACTGTATTACCTGTACCTACAAATAGATAGATCTTTCAATACCTGTATTACCTGTACCTACAAATAGATACATCTTTCAATACCTGTATTACCTGTACCTACAAATAGATACATCTTTCAATACCTGTATTACCTGTACCTACAAATAGATACATCTTTCAATACCTGTATTACCTGTACCTTGAAATGGATAGATCTTTCAATACCTGTATTTGATAACTTACATGTACCTACAAATATCTACATCTTCACGTTTCATTTGAAATCTATTTAGAAGGTTGATATGCAAGAAATGTTACGATACAAATAACTGAGTTTTTCATGACAGATTCCGACTAGAGACATAAATGAGCAAGAGAGAGAAATGGGGTTTAACGTCCACTCGACACAAACCAGGTCATTTCCGGACTAACATATGGTTCAATTTTATTTTAATAATTCGCTTGCGTGTAGGGGGCTTTAGCAATGGGAGGAAACGGGAGGACCTCAAGAAAATCCACAAGGTTGGACAGACAACCCTATTCCTTGTCACATACAACCGGGTTATCAAAACCACGCCAGTTGACTCAATGACAGGCCTTATGATACAGTGAGCATAGGCTAACAATTCAGCCATCCCCCCCCCCAAGACATAAATGATATGTTACGCTGGATAATATTTAAACCATTTTAAATGGATTCACACTTAAGAACTTTTGCAACGGCTGGCTATAAATTTCCTAAGATTTAGTCCCGAAGGGTACCCACATTCTTTATATTTATATATTCACTTTATTTCAACAACTCAAATGTTAAATGTTATTGATGGTTTCATAATCTACGATGTGATCATGTCAGATTTCAAACACCTTCAAGTTATTCTTAACATAATATCGTATTTATTTGCAACTAGAAAAATACATCACTGCTGAAAATATTCATCTGATTTTTTACTGCTACAGTTCATATGTAATGAACACCTATATATCTAATCTAATTATAATGACTAAAATTCTTTTGGGTCAAAACCAAATTGTCAATTTCTTTGTTGATTTGATTTATGCAATATCAATGTGTCTTTACTGACACTTTTACACAAATTGATATTTGATAAAGTAAGCCAAAATATGAACATAAGCCAACTTCCACATAATCTTTAAATACAAAAATGATCAATCTAATTCAATGCTTTATTTAGCTCCTTTACAATTAATTTTCTTGTTTTTTTTAAATTTCTATCTGATTAAAATACAGATCTATATTTCATTTCGTTTTTTATACTTTCGATGGCCTGCACTACATGAAGATCTGACCAGTTGTAGTGGGAGGTCGCGTCAGAGGTCATAAAATCAGACTTTTGATTAACTAATCAGCATTGATGTTTCTACTGGGAAACCCACAGTTTGGTGCAACACATGCCAAGAACTCGCCATAGCAGACAGACTGTTTCATTGGCTAATCCCTCCCATCAATAAGAACGTGGGTTATATAACAACTCTTCCAGATCCTAGTGTAGTAAAGACAACGAAATTTTGAACTATAAAAAACAAAACGAAATACTATCTGTGTTTTAATCAGATTGTTACTTTCCCATCATGGCTCCAGAATTGTTATTTACCCTAAAGTTAAAATATTGGACTCACCGTCGTTAGAAATATTAAAAGAAGACATAACTTTACTCTGACTATTCTCATCCACAGATCGCTGTGTAGATAATGGATCAAACTCTTTACTACTTGCTACATTCGTTCTTGGTGTAATTTCTTTTTTATGAGGACTAACTTCCGCTTGTGTATCTGAAAGATAAAAACATATAATAAATTTATATTATTAATAATATAGTAAAAAGTATTGTAGGCTTATATTTGTGAAGGAATTCAAGAACAAAATTATTGTCTACATAAATTCACAACAAAATGAAATGAATGGGCTAATGAAGACGGGCATAAGCCATACAGTGTGCAATGAGGGAAATTTTGCCCGGTCAGCGGCACTACGCTCTACTCTTATAATTATATCAAATTCCGACGGCCAAGGGATCTTTTACATACAAGCCAATTTGTACACAGGACCTCGGTTTTTCACCCCATCTGAAAGACTAGACAGCTGTCCTTGTCAGGCCCTCCCGTCCTGCATCACTGACAAGTGGAAACCATGCCGGAAAATTATGATGAACTTTCTCAGCCAACACCGGGATCGAACCCGAGACCTCCATGCTGACCTCCCTGAATTTACAACACTATGGGTAATTGATTCCTGGTCCATGGAATTATCGTACTATTGATACTAAACATGACTTGTATAGCTTATAAGGTTCTCTTTAAGCAATTTTGTCACATATTCAGTTCCACAATTCTTAATAAAGACTTAAGTCTCACTGTAGCTATTAATTAGAATCTGAATTAAAATTGAAATTATTAAAAAGGAACTGAGTCCAAGCCTGGAAATAAGGCACCTGTCACAGACAATGTCAGACACAAATTCAGGCTTTGTCAGGCACAAAACCTCTGGTGCCGGTCATTTTGTCCAGTGCTGATTTGTCTTTTTTATTGATATTATTAATACATGTCCAGCACTAAGTTGAAAATGTTAGGTACTATTTCATTACTAATTATTACATAAACTTGACTTAGTTACTTACTATTTAATATTGTAGAATCGGTAGAACTTGATACAGTTGCTGGAGGTTCTAGTCTATCCAATAATCTATTCACTCTATCACGTATTAACTGTAATTCTCGTTTTATTAATTTGACTTCATCACTTTCTAATGGTTTAGGCATATTGTTAACTACAATGGTTCAGAAAAACAAAATATTAATTGTTATATTCATTATAACAGTATATAAAAATTTCATGTTTTATTCATCTCATGGCAGATAAAACACATGACATATTATGATGACTAATAGGTTTGTCACATCTAAAAGTCTTTTCTTATTTACCCTTCAGATGGTCAAATCTGGTTGACATTTTTAAACATCAATTATTTCCTTAAAGGGGCATTAGGTCAAATTAGATAAAGAAATGAAATGGGGTTTAACGTCCTACTGTTCTGCTCTGACTGGGCTAATGAAGAAGGGCATAAACCATACAGTGTGCTATGAGGGAAATTTTGCCCGGGCAGTGGCACTTTGGCCTACTCTTATATCAAATTCCAACTGCCAGGGGATCTTTCACATGCACGCCAATGTATACATGGGACCTCGGTTTTTCATCCCATCCAAATGACTAGAAAGCTGTCCTTGTCAGATTAGATAAAGAGCTAACAGTTCTTGCTATAACAGTTAAAAAATAGATAATGAAAAGAGAATATGCTGAAAATTTCGTCATTATTAACGTAGGTACAATAATAAACAAAGTCTCGATTATCCACTTTTAAGTTAAATTATCCATCACAAAATGTATTCAAATGCATTAAATATCACAAGCTAACGATGGCATCGAGAGTTGATTATGGTCTGCAATAAGTTAATAAATGTCTAATTAATAATTTAGATAACATTTCAGGGCTAAAGAAAGAACTACAATAGGCAGATTATGTTTAATAAAAGGGCATTTTTATATGACACTGACACAAAAAGACTATATTTTGGGGGTTTACTGTCTATTTATTCCATTACTCACCAAATAAAGTAATTTTTAAAATCCGACTACACTGTATAGCAAATGATAAATCTGAGCTATCAAAAATCGTAATCAGATCTCCATCTATAAAAAAAATAAAATAGAAAATGTTTATTATAACAAAGAAAGTTAACAATACAAGTGAAAAGAATAAGTTCAATTCTATTTTATTATTATTAATATGTATTATTAGTGTACTAATTTACTATTGCTCAATTTTGTCTTTGACTATAGTTAGGACCAAATCTATCGACACCAAAGTTTTCAGTACCAACTGGGCTAATGAAAAGAATAAGTTGAATTCTATTTTATTAATATGTTTTTTGTATAGTTTTGGTATGAAAAGATACCTTATTACAATAGAAATAGAATATGTAGTGAGCAGTTTCAAAAGATCTGGTACCACTTCTCAACTGTGATTTGTTTCTTTACAAATTGGAAAGTGTACTTAATTACTATTGCTCAATTTTGTCTTTGATTAATGGTTAGAAACACGAAAATATTCAGTACTCTAAAGTACGGTACTTAGTACGCAAGCTGTGTTTTCTTGCAAAATATCTGACATTCTGACTTGAAAAGTCAATAAGATTAAGAAATGAAATGTTTTACACCATACACTTCTGGGCTAATGAAGACATGCATTTATGTACGCCATGCAGTGTGCTTTGAGGGAAACTTTGTACAGACAGCGATTCTATGGCCTACTCTTATTTCGAATTGCAACTGTTAAGGGTTTTTTTTGCATGCACGTCAAGGGTTCTTTTACGTGCATGTCAATGTGTACACAAGACCTTGGTTTAGAGGAAATTAAAGCTTGATAATTCTGGAAGAATCTGCATGTAAAGTTGAATAAGAACATATGAACAAAAGTATGTAACTGTACCTTCATCTTTGTATTTGATGATAATATCATCATTGCTGCCTAACTTTCCGCGATAAACTCTTTGCATCATCAAAACTAACTCATCATAAGTGATATCTTCATTATGGATTGGTATACGTCGTATGTCTTCGCCTAGCTGTACTTTTATAATTAATTTACCAGTTAAATCAAGATGGGGATCAATATTGTTCTGCATTTTGAATCTTCTGTAACAAATACATGTAAATAATTTCTACTTGTGTGAGAGAGAGAGAGAGAGAGAGAGAGAGAGAGTTTAACATCCCCTCAACATGAACTAGGTCATTTTGGGACTAACACATGGTTCAATTTCATTTCAATAATTTGCTTGCGTCTAGGGGTCTTTAGCGGTGGGAGGAAACCAGAGGACCCGGAGAAAACCCACGAGGTTGGACAGCCGACCCTGCTCGTTCACACGTACAACCGTGGAATCCACACCATGCCAGTTGACTCAATGACAGACCTTATGATACAGCGCGCATATGCTAACCATTCGGTCATCAAATCGTTAAAATTCGACTGCAAAGAAAGTAGTGTTGAATTATCATAAATTTGTGTCAGATGTGGCGAGACATGATTACTTAGGACGAAGGTAAGGACTCCAAATTAGCCTTAGTTAGAATAGAAGTGGGGTAGAGTGGTAGCTTCATAGGAATAGTCAGGACATCATCGTGATAGTCAGTTCCTCTAGGTTTTTGTAAGCTTAAAGGAAAAGTCGATAAGTTATATTGCTATATTTAGAACTATTATTGTCTTCAGTTTTCGAGATTGTTTTTCTGCATGCCAAGTAAAATTCAGTGTCATTGTAGTGTAGGCAGCCTATTGCGAAATTCATGTCATGAGAAAACAAGTTTGCAACTTTGTAAATAAGTAATCGATCCTAACTATGTGATAGGGTTACCATACGTCCCGGTTTTACCAGGACAGTCCTTGATTTTTGGGTACTTTTTATCGTCCCATCTGGATGTCTCATACCATAATCATTGTGACAATGTCAATAAATATCACGCCCTTCAGACCTTACGGTTAGACTCAGATCTTTTGATAATAACATATGTCCCTGTTTCTACTGTGAATAATCCGGTATCTCTATGTGTACACGGCAATCTCCTGGATTAAAAACATTAGCTTACCATACATATATATATTCAGCCGTCTGAACGGCATCAAGTATTTTACCGGTGTGATGTGAATACTACAATACTAATACTATTTAGTATTTCTTGAGTGAAGAGTCGAATGTTGTAAGCCGAATGACGTTTACAAATTACGTTTAAAATGATCAAAGTTAATAGTTTAAATTTATGAATTACTGATGAGATGTGGTGGAAAAGTACGACATCACAATAATATTTCAATAAAATACAAATAGTTTATATCTACCTCTTTCACTTTTATGCAAAATAATGAAGATTCTGATGTCTGCGTGGAAATGACACCTAATTTTTTAAAGGTCAAGGTTGGTAGTCTCGAACTGGAAGTCTCTCTGTACCTCATCTCGGGGTAATGTCTCTGCCAAAGTGAATCTCCATTTTTTAAAATTTAAAAACAATATAAAGAACGACCAAATTTTAACCTGACGTGACACGGCCGCAGCTCAAATGGGCAATTACAAGACAACTTTAAAATGTGGTTTACATAGTCATCATATGTATGCATTTTATAAGAAACACCATCTCTCGACCCTGCGTGCATCGAATTAAGAGATAGCTCATTCTGGAATAAGTCATAGTGAATAGCACACTGATCCGCAGTGAATATTTGCTTGGCCGCGACAATCACTGATAAGGATGACATTGATGCGGCTTATTGAGCTAGAAATATTAACTTTTTTCCTGCGACAAATTAAATTCTAAAACATTTTTTGTATATATTGGAAAAATAAATAAAGGCGTTTGACGTATTTGTAGTTAAAAATTATTTCCGATTTAGTGTAAATGGGTATTAAAATGACTAAAATGCAGCATTCTCTCCGAAGCAGTTATGTCTTATGTAAACAATGCACGCGCCATTCAGCCAATGATTCACACCGCGTGCTGTGACAGATATTATACGAGACTCGTAATTCTCTGTGAAACAGATTGAGTGAATAGGTGCTTAACACGGGTACAAATCATCTCTTTTAAATCGAAGCGTTAAAAGCTTTTCTTATATGCCCAACAGTTTAAAACGTGTGAAGTCTGGCCAGTGTCGGATTAGAGTTTTGCTGGCACATTTTGATAGGAGACCTGAAAATACAGATATTTTGGGGTCACCGAAAAAAGGAAAAAAAATAAACTTAACAACAGAAAATTTATTACAAATAAAATTCAGAACTGTAATTACTATAATATTACAGTAGTTAGATTACAACAATATTTTTTACTTTATATTTCTGTCCCGGATTTTTGGCTGCACCGCCCCCCCCCCCCCGGCACATGCCTTACTTGCCTAATGGTTAATCTGGGTCTGACGTCTAAACGCCATAAAGGCGGGGCTAAATATTTGGAGTGAACAACAGCCAAACAAAATGTGCGATTTAGACAAGGGGAAAATCGCAAGTAGACTATGGAGGAATGTTCCAAGTCAGTTAAAAAGGTACTGTTAAAAACACCGCTTGATTAACTTATCTTTCAATATTCGCAGTTAAAAGAAAGTTGTGTCCCTACATTGGCCTAAGTAGTATAAACTTATCTTATTTTTATTAAAAAAATTAAGTTTACCAGGTGAAACTAAAGGCATCCAATCGTATTGCTAAAAACAAACACACCAGCAGATCTCGGCGTTTTTTAGCTACCTTCTCGTAACTAGCATTATTCTAGTATTTACTAAATACTCTGGTCGTCCCTGGAGTATAGCCAGAGAAAAGAGCCACGGTGGGGAAGGGAAATTGCACAGATTAAAAAAACAACAAATTCACCAAGTCTCTAGCGGTCTAGTATACCCGCAGCGCCTTTACACATCGATTTATGACACTAAATTCATTGAGATTCTGCCAATGGAGCACCAATTTCAAAAGTTTCTAGGGGGAGCATGCCCCCAACTCCTTTAACGAAATCACATCCTCGCGATCATTCAAGCAGATGACCCCGATTGTAAATTCCAGACTACGACATCATTTTTACCCTTGTCAGTGGTGCAGGACGGGGGACCTGACAAGGACAGTGTGTAGTCGTTCGGATGGGACGAAAAAAACAAGGTCCCATGTATGTAAACTTTGGCGTGCACGTAAACGACCCCTTGACAGCTAATAGGCCTTAGCGCCTCTGCCCGGAAAAAAGTTTCCCCATAGCACACTGGCATGCGTATGTCCGTCTTCATTAGCCCAGTCGGTCATTTGTATTTCGGTGGGAATTATTTTCCAGAAATTTAAGATGATCCAGTTGATCCAAAACAATTTACATAATAAAGCCGTGATCACATAAAATGCAAAGATATTCTACAAAACCGTAGACTAGGTCACAATACTTAAATATCGTGAAAACACATCTAGGAACGAACACTTCTGTACAAATTAATTTTATTAAAAAGTCTCACTTTAACTTTTATTTAACATCTGTCCAAAATAAAATTAGTTTTAAGTTAGTGTGATGGAAGAATAGTGTTTATGAGGTGTTCAAGCTCATTCCTTTCCAGGTTTATCCCATGATTCAAAGACCAAATTTTCGTATTTATTGATAAATCCTAAGTTTGATAATCATCAATTGATTGGGAATTATCTATTTAAATTTTTATTCATCTTAAATGAAAAAATTACTTCGTTATTGAGGCGGTTGCAATATTTGAGTCCTTTATTTGCATCAGCCAAGTGCCCAGCCAAGGGATGACACGTATTTTTTTTATCTTGTTAATAAATTATAAAAATTTAATGAATGACCAATTATTATCCATGATGACGCAAGATTTGCATGACGTCAAGTTCATGTTTGGCATCTCCAAGGCAGTACGTGTACCAAAAGTTCTAAACTCCTATTCATCCAGACCTTGATAAAATGGCAGAAAAGTCGTTGATACAAAACCACTCAAATGAACACGAAGAGGGAAGACCGGCATTGAATTTTCCTAAAGACAGTAAATCAGCATGGATAGCCTTAGGATGTGGATTTTGTACACAGATAATAATCCTTGGTGTGCTTCATGCTTTTGGGGTTTTCTTTATTTTATTCATAAGAGACTTTGAGACCACAAAGGCAAACGCCGGTAAGTGATTACATCTAGATTTACTATAAAACTCATCTGTGTTAAATCATGTCAATCTATAATTAAATATGGAATATAACAAATCCAGATAATGCCATTAAAACAGGCGCAGCCTTGATTGTGTGCAAGTTTACTTTAAGCAAGGTTTCCATCAAATTTGATGCAGATTTAGATTTTATCACAACTTTGCTGTCATCAAATTTGATGTGTTAAAAAATTGTAGACATTAACATTAGACAGCGACTTATAGCCAGGGGCGGATTGGCCCATCGGGCGGTCGGTCGATCGCCAGAAGGGCCGGTCGGACAAAAAATGAAAAAAAATTTTTTTTGTCTAATTCGTCCAAAAAACCTTTTTTCTGCTGAACATTATATGGGGGGAGGGGGATTGGACCGGACTTGGAGCGATGATGATCATGTTGTATGTGGCTGGTGGCTTTACGGGCCGCCCACGCCATCACTGGAGTCTGGAATGGGCTGGTATAATATATAGACTTCATGAATTTCACTTTCGTCACTCTGTACCAATGTGTCTCGTGGCCTTCCATCACGGGAGGAATCAACTAGCGCTCCCGGCAACAAAAATTGGACATTTTTCAATGAAAATATTCCTACTTATTCAATATTTCTAACTGGTTAATCAAATGGTCAAAATTTTCTCAACTAGTCCAATTTTTTAACCAGTTAAAGGAGCTAAGTCGCTAATATTTGGGACCTAGAAATTGACACAAATGGGTCGCAACGCATACAGTAATGTAACATGAATGTATATAAATTGATTTACATTCAATCGTTTCTGTTTTTACTGTAATTTCTAATCATTTAGGTTCGGCGGCATACGCCAGTATTCTCAATCGAATTTCAATCTCTAGCTTCTGGTTATTCCAGTCTACGCCGATAGTATTTATTGGGCATGCTCTCCAGATAAGAATATAGGAATATAGCGTCACCGTTTGACATTACTTGTGGAATATACCTAGGCTCGTTTTTCGAGTCCCTTATTACAAATAGCGCTGAAACGCATTATGGTACACGATTCGTGTACCAATTGTAAAATGTTTATTTTGTCTTAAATATTGGATATCAGAAGGCCATCTTTTCCCGGTAAGATCACAACATCAATGTTGATTTAAACCGACAAATAAATCGTGTTTTCAATGTCGAAGAATTTGGATGATATTGATTGAGTTAGGGACTTAGCTACTTTAAATTATCTTGACTCCTGACGATACAATGATAATACGTTAATTAATATATCACGATATGATAATTTCACAGGTTGATGATTGTAAATTACATGCCGGTCGGGGTTTTGGCTTAAATTAACCGATTTATGAGATATATTATTTGACAGAGATTATAATCAGATATGCCACCAAATCGAATATTTGGGGTTCATTTTTCAAAATTTTACAGGGGGAGAGCCCGACACGAGAGTCCGGGCCGGTTCCCGGCCCCAATCCGCCCCTGCTTGTAGCCTAACAAATATCAACAAACTGGACGGTCATGTTACCGTCAACTCAATGGCTAAGCGCGGTAGGGGGCCACTGTGGAACTGGGAGGAAGGCGCTTGCTCACTCACCTGAGGCTGAGGATCCCGCGTTTGTTCCTGGTTTCGGCCAAGAAAGTACCTCGAGATTTTTAAGCGTGTTTCCTTGTCAGTGTTGCAGGGTGGAGGGTCTGGCAATGAAAAGCGTTCGGATGGGACAAAAAGGGGCCCCCCGTGCACCGATTGTTCTATTTGATCAGTCCAACTTCAATTTTGGTCAACGGTCAAAGGGATGTAAACAGGGCTAGCGCTAATCCCAACCCTAACCCTAACCCTAGACTTATAGCCCTAATGCTTACTCTAACCTACAATCTCGTCAACAATCACGTGTCCTAACCTTATTTACATATCAGCGACCTTGACGAAAATTGAACTGGCCTTAACAAATATATTATTTAGCCTGTTCCCCTCTTCATTAGCCCATGCAGTTGGTTCAGAAAAGTATGACGTTAAACCACATTTCATTTCCAGTGGAGGGTTGGATGGTCAAATGGTAGGCGCGTGCGCGCTGTATCATAAGTTCTGTCATTGAGTCAACTGGCGTGGTTTCGATTCTCCCGTTGTACGTGACAAGGAGTAGGGTCGCCTGTCCAACCTCGTGGGTTTTCTCCGGGTCCTCCAGGTTCCCCTCACTGATGCGCAAGCGAATTAATGAAATAAAATTGTTAGTCTCTCTCTCTCTGTCTCTCTCATTTCCCAGTGAGGTAGAAACATAAATGCAAAATGTATCATTTATTTCAGCATGGGTTGGATCGATAGCTTATGGATTATCAATGTTGACGGGACCTCTTGCTGGAGTAGTGATAAACAAGTTTGGACATCGTGTATCGATGATGTGTGGCGGGTTGCTTTGTTTTATTGCATTGCTATCCTCGTCGTTTGTGAACAGTTTAAATCACTTATTTTTTACCTTCTCGTTTATCTATGGTTTAGGCACCTGCTTATGTATAACCCCTACAATGACCCTGGGACAAGATTATTTTGAAAAATATTTAAGTGTATCTATTGGGATCATAACCTCTGGGAGCAGCATTGGAACCCTAGTCATGGCCCCAACATCACAGGCTCTCATCGACTCCGTTGGCTGGAGAAACACGTTTAGAATATACGCGGTGGCTTGCTTATTTACTTCTCTATTTAACTTTTTTGTCCGGCCCATTAGTAATACAAAGAAAACAGCATCCGAGACGTTAAGATCTTCACCTTTACGGCGTTTAATACAGGAACTGGCCCTGTGGAAGAATCGGGTATTTATAGTATGGAGTACTGGAATCACACTTGTCATGTTTGGTTATTATATTCCTTATGTTCATTTGGTGAGTACGCTTATTTTTATTGAAGGCGGGTCTACGACACACAGTTTGCTATGAGGGAAATTTTGTTCTGGCAGCGGCGCTACGGCTTACGCTTATAGCGAATTCCAACTGTCAAGGGTTTTCTTATAACCTACACGTCAATGTGTACACGGGACCTCTTTTTTTCGTACCAACCGAAAGACTATACAACGTCCATTGCCAGGGCGACGTCCTGCACAACTGATAAGGGGGAACCGCGCCGGAAAATCCCGAGGAACTTTCTCAATCAAAACAAGGATCGAACACGGGAGATCCAGTTTAGCGAGTCAACGTCTTACTCACTGAGACATCGTTGGTCCCCCTCATATAAGACAATCCGATTAAAATACAGATCTATATTTCGTTTTTTTTTTTTTATACTTTTGACGGCCTCTACCTCATAAGGAACTGACTAGTTGTGGTGGGGGTCGCGTCAGGTGTCATAAGAGTGGCTTTTGTCCTTATGACGTCAGACATTGATTAATCAATCAGAGTTGACGTTTCTAGGTTTACCCGAAGTTTTGTGCACCTCACGCCAAAAGTCGCCGTAACAGACCGTTTCATTGGCTAATCCCTCACATCATCCAGAACGCGGTTTATATAACAACTGTTCAAGATCCTAGTCTGGTAAAGACAAGTAAAACGAAATTTTGAACTATAAAAAACGAAACGAAATAGGATCTGTGTTTTAATCAGATTTGCATATAAGAATAACCGATTCAAAATACAGCATCCGAAGAATGTGTCTGAATATATACCACTCAACAGCTACTGTAGATAAATTCTGTTGTTTTGTAAAATATAGTTCATAAGGCAGTCTAAATATTTTCAGATTTCTTTTGCATTAGATGCTGGTATCACCCCAGATCAAGGTTCGATTTTAATTATGGTTTTTGGTGCATCAACTGCTATTGGAAGATTGACATTCGGGAAGATCGTTCAGCTGGGTCTACTGAACAGACTGCACATGCATCAATTATCTATGATCGTGTGCGGTACTGCCACCATGTTCTTGCCGTTTATTCAGTCCTTTGGTGGTTTGCTGAGTTACGTTGTATTCTTTGGGATGGTTGATGGATGCTTTGTAGTTCTCCTTCCATTGATGACATGTTCTCTTGTACAAGCCGATAAGGCAGTTCTTGCTTGGGGATTTTTGAGTGGTACTTCATCAATCACTTTTACGCTAGGGCCACCAATAGCAGGTAAGGCGGGAATATTAATCTTTAGACTTTAGTTTGTCGCTGGTGTTCTAATATTTGATAAATGCACACGGGGCAACTGTGCGAATACAGTGTACTTCGAAACCATCTTACTTTTATTTACTCTTTGTTGAATCTCACAAAATCATCAAGTTGTTATAAATGTAATCAATGCCGGACGGTCGTATAATCCATTGATAGGCGTACGGGCTCGATGAATGTTAAAGGGGACACAACCTCATGAAATGCCCGAACAAATTTCGGGTTACAGACGACTAGGGACCACCCGCAAAGAAAATTTGGACAATTTGACGACCGCAAACGCATTTCCTTGCTGTTCCAGTCCCTGAATACAGCAAGTGGTCTGATATAGCCTAACTTAGGTGGCTGAGTCGAATTCCAATCAACCAATCAATCGTTTATAGTCTAGTTGAAAATTTAACTGTCGCAAACGTGTTTTCCTGCTATTTCAGCCCGTGAATACAGCAACTTAACTGTGGTTGAATTTTTGTTTTCACTTTATCCGTCTGCCCGAAAAGTCAGATTGCCCGAAAGTTAGGGGTCAGTTGCCCCCCCCCCCCCCCCGGCTTGTCTTGTACGCTTAAACGAGGCAAAATGCTGTCATGGGAGAAACTAGCGCGGCCAGTGTTACTGTCAATACACGGGTGGAATAAATTATGCGACTTGATATATTTCGATGTCGCAATAGTCAGACTTAAGCTAGTGCAATGTTACATCAATACTCTAATCAATTCCAAATTTTAGTCGTTGACAACCTAATCAATATAAGAACTACTGTGTGTTGTGACTTTTTCTTTCAGGATTTCTGTACGACTCTTTGGGCTCTTATAATGTGGCTTTCCATGTGGCTAGTATACCGGTCATTGCTGGAGCACTGGTGCTGTTTATGATCCCCTGGGCACAAAGAACTTCCACCACCACGCGTACAATGGAAGCAGTCGGAGCAGCAATTGAAACCGAAAGCGACGTCGATGTAGATTTTATAACATTATCTAGATCATCTTCGGTCGTGCCCCGAAACCAGAGCTCAGACGCAACTTTAGCAAGTCGAATAAACGATATTCGTTATTACAACACGCCTGGAGCCTCACCACGAAGTCTGCGGACCATTTCATCGAGGGGAACTTCAGAATGCAGGTCACCTAGGACTCCCATTGGATTGATTGAAATTGATTATGCCATGAGAGCTTTGGAACAAAATGACCAACTTCTTTCTGAAATGCTGGAAGCAGCATCGAGGCGAACAGCTGATACCAACAGCATTGGTAGAAGTACAACATCGAGTAAGGTATATCTACTTTTAGCTCTTTTTTCAACTCGTTTGAAAAGTTAATATAATTGAAATTATCTCACGTGAACTGCAAACTTTAGGTCTATTTTACCCATATGATTTCGTTACTGTATTTCAGGGCCGTAACTAGCTCAGAGCAACGAGGGAGGAGAGAAGTATTCCGAGGGGTGCTGTAAAATTGATGGACAATGTATATCTATTGTTTTAATGATCGACAATTTTTTCACAGGAGGGTGGGAGGGGGCGAAACTTTTTGCAGGGGGGGGGTCATCTTCGCCCCCCGCCCCCACTAGTTACGGGCATGCTGTATTTGCTGTTTAGGATTGATTCAGAGTAATAATATTCATTTTTAATAACAATTAACCCATTCTTTCAGGATAGCTACAGTAGAAAAAGTGACATCATAAATATTTCCCTTTCTTCTAATGATGGGCCAAGGAAGCACAGTACGTCGTCCAGATCTAAGAAGAGTTACGATAATATTGGTGTACAGACAGATAACATATCGGAAACGTCGTCTAATTTCTTCCTACCAACGGTCAGCAACTTGCTTCATCAGACCGAAGCAAAACAAAACAATGCAACATCTGTTGGTGATAATTCCAAGATAAGTAACCCATCAATGTTAGATAGTAGTTATCCTCCCGATTCAATCGACCAATCTGTCCTAGAGCAAATAGAAAGGCTAAGAGATACAATCAGCAGCCCGGCCCGAGCTGCAGAACTTATGGAAGACCCAAGTCCTCAGTGGATTGAAAGCTCGGAACAACTTGAAGCACAAACCGCATCAATGACGTCATCTCCAAGCACAGATGTAAACAGCACCCCGACGTATTTTGTTGAAGCATTAGTTCCCGCCGAAACAACTTCGTGTGCACTCTCCCCAAAGATAGAATGCGTGTCGTCAGTTATACAACGACCCTTTGCTATTCAACAAACATCAACGGCGAGAGATAACATGAACATTACGTCTGAACATGATATATTCTCCATGGATCCACTCAGCCCCCCACGCGCCATTCCTATAGGCAGACAGGAAGCTTCTAACAGACTGCCAAATGTCACGTCGGCTCTTTCAACAAATCCTTTTCATGTCCAGCCGGATTGCTTGAGCACCGAAGCTTTTTATACAACTCTTACTCCGATGTCTCTCGACGATGTGAAGCCAGTTGTTGCAGATACTCGCGTGACCTCACATTTTCAAACAACCCATACCAATTCAAATATCGCAGAACATTCACTTGCAGAAACCGAAACCTTACAATCCATTATGTCACCATCCCAAAATTCTGAGACAAAACCAAATGTGGAACAAACTCCTCCACCCTAAGATGAATAAATGAAATGAAATGAAATTGGGTTTAACGTCCTACTGTTCTGCTCCGACTGGGCTAATGAAGACGGGCAAACTCCATCAGTGTGCTGTGAGAGAGAAATTGTGCTCGGACAGCGGCCCTACGGTCTACTTTTATATTTTTTACGTGCGTGTACACGGGACCTCAGTTTTCCGCATCCGAACAACTAGACAACTGTCCTTGAATAAAGAGATATTATTGGAATGTATTATAATTTAAAGTACTTAAAGATGCATTATGTAAGATTTTAGATAAAAAGCTGGTGGTTTTTTTATAATAGTTTAAAAATGGCTAATGAAAAATGAATATATTGAAAATTTCATTCAAATTACTTTATTCTAAGCCTCGTTTGTCAATTCTATTTTAAATCTCACGGATGTTTACATCCATTAAAATCTGGTCAATTCGATGATCTAGAGAGTTGATTATAGGCTGTGTTACTAAATGTCTAAATGAAACCAAAAGAGAGAAATGGGGTTTAACGTCCACAATTTAGGTCATTTCGGGACTAAAACACATGGTTCAATTTTTATTTCAATAATTTGCTTGCACGTCGGGGTCTTTAGCAGTGGGAGGAAACCGGAGAAAACCCACGAGGTCCAAAAGAAAGACCTGTAATGGGCAAAATTAGTTCTTATATAATGCATCTTTTAATTTTTTGATTCAGCATTCACTAATTAAACTAAGATCAAGACCCTCGCACAGTTTGGGAAAATATTTTTTGGGCTGCTTTTCTAGTTAGACCAACCCCCTCCACTGACATAGATAGGTTGCCAGGCAACTAGTATTCCGTGCTGTCAACACTAACATTTCCTCAATCCTCTAAAAAAAATTTTTTAAAGTGATCTAGGGCAATAACTCAGACATTTATTTTTTGATGTTTTCTAGCATAAATTCGGTCAATCATTTGAGAATCGAACTGGATTCCAGTGGCTATCAATGAAATGAAGTTTAACGTCCTACTTTTCTGGTCCTACTTTTCTGCTCCGTCTGGGCTAATGTAGACGGCAGTGGCTATCAAGCCACATACAAAGTTTCTTAATGTGTACATCAAGTCTCACCACTCTTGACTTAATTAGAATCAAAGTTATGGTGCTCCAACGTCTCGACCAACCAAATTGCTTATCTCTCTACTTTCAGCCAATTAAAAACAAAGTTATTTGTTTCAAAGTCTCAACCAATCAGATTGTTTATCTCTCCTTAGCCTTAGCTGAAATTGTTCATCACTAAACTCCGTCAAGCTTGTCTGCGATATCACCTCGGTGGAAGCGGACGTAAAATACAACTAACTAACAACAACTCCGTCAAGGCATTTACCTATGAAACACCTAAACAAAGTTGGCACACTTCCAACCAGAAGAAGCGTTACTTTATTTATTCCAATGTCTAGACCAGTAAAATTACAGTTTCCATAAAAATGCTCTTCGTGGAAGTTTGGTCATTCTAGCTCATTTTGATGCAAAGTTACCGGCTTATCCCCAACAGAGAGACGTATAAACGAGCCCATTTTAATAGTCCCCTGCTTTCTTCTGAAAGCAAGGACAAAAGAGCCAACAGAAATGGAATGACATGACTTTTATTTGTTTAATTTCCTACACGATGACAAGAAAATTATTTGTTATAACATGTTATTTTTTTTTAAATCAAAGTGCATGTTCAGAATTTGTTCTTACAGTGGGTGGGTAGATACAAATACAAATACAATAACAAAGATAGCTCCACACATATAACAATCAATAGTACCAGACCCTTTCTTGAACATCATTACTAACAAGATTACAGTGCATACTATAATTAGTGATTAGGAATTAATTATTTTGATTCCTTCGAATTCGAATCAATAATAGGTCTTCACTTGGCAATACCAATAACACCACAAGCTAATCTTGGTCCAGCATTACCCGTCTTCAAACTCTCCTCATTACCACCTTGACCTAAATCGTCGATCTTCTCATGTACCTGTTTATAATAATAATAATAAATGATATTAATCTATATTCTATCCATGGGTTCCACATCGGCCGTATATGCCGGTCAAGACCTAGGGCAGTGATTCTCAACCAGTGTACCCGAGATCTTCCTAAGTGTGCCGCGAAATGTTGAATGGCACACTAAGAAAATGATCCCAATTGAGTATTCACTGCTATCTACTGTGTTTTTCTTTATTTAGTTTGACTTGCCATGTTTTTATTTTGCAAAATTCAAATATTTTTCATACATATTAAGCCAGGTGTGCCACTTTTTTTTTTATGTGTTCCAAGGTGTGCCGTTACCAAAAAAAGGTTGAGAACCACTGACCTAGGGCCATGGAAAATGACCGTAACTAGATCTGACCCATCGGTCATTTTGCAGGCCGGAAAAATAGCCTTTCTTCAAAACCCAATTTTCATACATGGCTACGATCGACCTCCATAATCTCATGATTGGGAGAGAGAAATGGAGTTTAACGTCCACTCGACACAAACTAGGTCATTTCGGGACTAACATATGGTTTAATTTTATTTCAATAATTCGCTTGCGCGTAGGGGTCTTTAGCAGTGGGAGGAAACCGGAGGACCCAGAGAAAACCCACGAGGTCCTCATCATTGGTGTTATAGAGTTGTATACATAGTCCTCAACAGAGTGTTATAATACCATCACGCCACTGGACCATGTCTTATCTGATTAACCCATTCCATTGCTTTCAGAAAAAACTATTTAGGATTATTCTTCGCAATGTGGTATTTAACTTGTACACTTAACCCTCTTTCAGTTTTATCAACAGGTGATCTATGGTATGTGGAACTTCCATTATAAGCTACTGTGGTTGCATACTATGCTGAGACAGAGAGAGAGAGAGAGAGATGGGGAGTCCACTCGACACAAACTAGATCATTTCGGGGACTAATATGATTCGATTTAATTTTAATAATTCACTTGCACATAGGGGTAGTAAGCAGTGGGAGGAAACCGGAGACCCTGTGAAAACCCAGGAGGTTGGTCAGGCGAAACCTCATTAGTTGACTCAATGACAGACCTAACCATTCGGCCACCCAACCCAGCTGCTCCCTATGGTAAGGCAAGAAGGGATAGGTGTTCAAGCTACTATGCAGTTATGCTATAACTTACCACAACAGTTCTTCCAATAATAGAATTAGGTCCTATAAGCTGTAGTAGTTTATCAGTGATATTTATATTAGCAACACCACTATCGTAAGGCAAGAAGGGTGTTCAAGCTACTATGAAGTTATGCTATAACTTACCACAACAGTTCTTCCAATAATAGAATTAGGTCCTGTAAGCTGTAGTAGTTTATCTGTAATATTTATATTAGCAACACCACTATCGTCAGCAACTAAATTCCCTAGATCACCAACATGCCTTAACGATAAAAATAATTATGGAAAATTAAAAATATTTGATGGGATTAAACACTAATCCTCTTCTCTTTTGTTTTCTATAATCCTGTCTTATCAATCTTCACGAAAACCGGATCTAAAACGCATTCTCTTTGGCTGGAATCGGGGAAGGTCATGCGCCATAAACGCATTAAATAAAACTTTTGCCGCATAGAACTTGTCATACCCAGCGTTCTAATGGCGCATCGGACACATTTTTTTAAAGCCAAAATCTTTCGTGTCTACCAAGTTCAAAAGCCAATTGTTGACCGACGGACAGGAAGACGACTATATACGCCCAAGTTAGGTGTGGGCGAATAAAATTTAGATATTGTTAAAAAAAATTGCAAATGGCACTCAGCTTTAAAGTGTTATATAAGCTTACCTATTTTCACTGTCTGGTCCACCATGTGTTTTACCAAAAGGGTTAAAATGTCCACCAGCACTTACACATCCTGAAATTTTATACGGATTGAGGAAAATTTTTAACGTCATTGAACCAAATGGTCAGTTCATGGAAAATAAAAAACAAATTACATTTGTATTGTACTTAAGATGTTGATTATTTTACAAAATCTAATAGTAATATACAATATTTTTTTTTACAAATCAACCAGTAACCAACCTTTTTTCAAGAGAGAGAGAGTGAGAAATGGGGTTTCACGTCCACTCGACACAAACTAGGTCATTTCGGGACTAACACGTGGTTCAATTTTATTTCAATAATTTGTTTGCGCGTAGGGGTCTTTAGCGCTGAGAGGAAACCGGAGAACCCGGAGAAAACTCCTTGTCATGTACAACTGGGGAATCAAAACCCCGCCAGTTGACTCAATGACAGACCGTATGACAGAGAGAGCGCGTGCTAACCATTCTAGGGGGATTGGATGGCTGAATGGTTATCGTGTGCGCGCGCTGTATCATACAGTCTGTCATTGAGTCATAAGGCCTGTCATTGAGTCGACTGGCGTGGTTTCGTATCCCCGGTTGTACGTGGCAAGGAGTAGGGTCGCCTGTCCAACCTCGCGGGTTTTCTCTGGGTCCTCCGGTTTCCTCCCACTGCTAAAGACCCCTACGCGCAAGCGAATTATTGAAATAAAATTAAACCATGTTAGTCCCGAAATGACCTAGTTTGTGTCGAGTGGACGTTAAACCCCATTTCTCTCTCTCTCTCGCTAACCATTCTGCCACCCCCCCCCCTTTTTTTTCTTCATGAAACTGAAACTAAAGCATTCTGATAACGGGAGATTACTTAGCATCAACGTGTGTTATGGGTTGGAAAATTTATCAACATGAGAACAATCTGATTAAAATACAGATCTATATTTCGTTTATGACGTCAGAAATTTGATTAACCAATCAGCGTTGATGTTTCCGTGCATCGCAGGCCAAGAATTAGCTGCAACACAACATTTCATTGGCTAATTCCTCACATCATCCTGAACGGGTTATATAACAAATCATCCAGATCCTAGTGTAGTAAAGACAAGCATAGGATCTGTGTTTTAATCAGATTGCATGAGAAAAATACTGCCCTTAAGATTGCCTTATCACATCTTAAACCCAGATAATGTGAAAATGAAGAAAACAGAAAACCATAGGTGATATAGATAAAAAGAGTCACAATGGAATGGAGATACTATGCACAGCAAGTATTCAACTTCAGTTCAAGCAATATATGTCGAGCCTTCGTGAGAAATCTATAAGGTAACGAGACAGAAGGCGTCCACTGACGACCTGCGGACCAAATTTGACTCTAATATCTCTATGGCGAGAGGCAAAGAATGTAGCTTTGGGTCGTAATGGAATATCTACTTTTCCACTCGGAAAAAGGGAAAAGGAAGAAATGGGGTTTAACGTCCACTCGACACAAAGTAGGTCATTCCAGGACTAATAGATGGTTCATTTTTATTTCAATAATTCACTTGCGCGTAGTGGTCTTTAGCAGTGGGAGCAAACTGGAGGACCCGGAGAAAAACCACGAGGTTGGACAGGCGACCCTACTCCTTGTCACGTACAGTCAGGGAATGGAAACCATGCCAGATGACTCAATTACAGACCTTATAATGCAGTGCGCAGATGCCAACCATTCGGACACCCACCCACCCTCCCCCACTGGGAAAAGGACAAAATAAGACCTACCATTTGTGTTATCTCCATATTCATGGACATGGAAACCATGTGATCCCGGGCTTAAATGTTCCAACTTTCCTGTCACAACAACAGGAGAATCAGGATTCTGCAATAGAAAATAAAAATAACCATTGGCTGCCAGGCTGGATACGCCCACATTTTGCAAGAGATGGATAGAACAAGCTAAAAACAAACAGGATTTTTTGTACAATCAGGGGCAATAATCCAGAAAGTTATGGTCTAAAATGCACAAATATCAAAAGGGACTGAGATCTTTGGGATATACAGATATGTTTTAAGTTTCATCAAAATTAGATAAAAATTGTGACCTCTAATAGTAAGTGCAGGGGGACTGCACCAAACAAAATTTACACAAAACCAAATATACGGACAAGACATCACACTCAGGACAAGACATCACACTCAGTAAAACACAGACAGACAGACAATTCAAAAAAAGTGAATGGATCCGGGGGCTAGCCGTAAGAGTTCACTGCGCTGTACAGTCCCGGGTCAACAATCTTCATATTGCATACTTTTACACAATTTGCGTATAAAGAGTGGCCATTTTGTTGGGCAGTTTCATTTCGATTTTCCCGAAATTCGAATTCAACCTTCATTATGGTGGAATGGTGAAATATTTAAACGGTTTTTAAAATCGGAAAAAAAATTGTGACCTCGAGAGAATGCGCAAGCTAAAAATGCCATTTTTCGAACAATCAGGGGCCATAATCCAGGAAGTTAAGTTCAGATATCTGCGATTATCAAAAGAATCCAAGATCTTAGTGTGTAATGGTGATATATTCACACATTATTTTTTAATCAGATAAAAATTGTAACCTCTACAGGGACCACAAGCTAAAAACGTGACTTTTTGTTCAATCAGATGGGACACTTGTTCAGGGGCCCAGAGTCTGATTATTTTTATTAATATACATCAGTAAAACTAAACACCGTAGCTATTGTTACGACGAGGCGTAAGAATTATTGATGAACTATTCTTACGATATGGTGCAAGTTCTTGTAGCGCATGTGCAAGTTACACAATGCTACTATATTGCAGTTTGCAAGAGGAGATGTCGGGAGAATAGGCAATACTTTAGCTTTACGACAGATCAACGTTCCAAAATTTTGTAACTTGAACATGCACTACAGGAACTTCCACCATATCGTAAGAATAGTTCATCAATAATTCTTACGGACTATCGTAACAATAGCCACGGCAAAAATAATACGTACTAACGTAGTACATGTACATGTATTTGGTACGCATACATGTGATTGGCCACAAGTAAAATGTCAGGAGATTTTTGTAAAAATGTCAGGAGAATTAAGGTCAAAAGAGGGAGACTTTAATCACGCGTTAAAATTACCCACCCACCATGAATAAAAGACAAATTAATTTACATATTTATATATTTTAATATCATTTTAATATGCATGTTGCCTAGGCCTACATTAATAAATTTAAAAACTTTTGATTAGCAGTTTTGGTCATTTGAGGTGCAGTTACATATTTTAAATGTAACAGTTTACTTTTAATTTGCCTTGATAGCCCATTTAGTATTTACATTACGGTAGCTATGGTTATTAAATTTTGGTGGTTATTGTCATTTTGGAAAATATTATTCATATTTTGTGCATAACTTGCAAGTTACTGATCACGCACGGTATGAATTGTATTGTTGATGATATTTTCAACACCATTCATGTACGATCCTTTACGTGTGCTAAACAAATTCCAACTGCAGACGACGTAATGTTGATGTCACGTGGTCTGAATTACCTTGCTGTCCACATTGGTAACATAACCGTAATGAGTTTAAAATCACACATTACAAATTAAAAATGTATGGTAAAAAAAGCCCTATTAATTCATCCTGTTCTGAACATTCACAATACTATTTAATTATGTTTTATTGTGCAGAAATTGCCGTGAATACGAGACTGACGTAAGCGCGCGATGTCAAACTTTCAGTTTTGCAAAGCGGTAGCTTCCGGGCCCCGTAGCTTCCGACTACATTTAACATCGAAAATCATGAATATTACGACCAGGACTTTATTAATTTCGTATAAAAACAATAATTATCGTGTTATTTAAATGGTATTGTTCCAAATACGAAAACATCGGAAATGTATTCAGGCTGTGTTACTAATTAATAAATTATAGTAACAACATTCAACACAACATTTAACAAAAAAAAGTCTGTCTCGTTTTATTTCGATGCTTTTTGATTACAATTTTGACTCCCAAAAAATAAAATTACAAGAATTGAAAAAGCGGGAGTTTTTGTCTCCCGATCGGGAGCTCGGGAGATCAGGGGTGAAATCGGGAGACTCCCGCGAATTGCAGGCCCTGGTCATGCAAGAACATGTGGTGATCATGGTCATATTTAGGTTTAGAAATTAGTGACAGGAACTTGAATGAATAGGACAGGGTCCATGGTCACATCATTTAATATTTAATGCATGATCATGATCAAAATGATGAATACAGTTTGTGACATTCACTGTCGCTACTGGTAACCTGCCGTGTCATTTATTGACATTGGCCATTGATTACCTCTTGTGAAAAATGTACAACACCTCCAACTTCTGTTGATCCTCTCAGAACGCAGACTGCTTTTAAACCAGACATTTTCACTAATCTGTGCAGGACAATCTCTTTTTTTTCAACTTCAAGCGTGATAAAGCAATACACCGGTACCGGATATTAAATTTACCACACGGTACGCTAAAAGACATTTAAAAGTCGTGTGCACAAAAATAGAGTTGCCTCCCTTAAACCACAGAGCCTCTTCTGGGTACTGGACACAGGCCACTATCAATCTGTTTTACAGAAGTAAATAAACGCGATCTTGCGAATATTCTTTCAGTTTGGCCACTATACTCAGACCCATAACATGGTTTTCAATTCTGTTTATTCCGCTTCAGGTTGAATTTGAAGCCCTAAAAAGATTCTTGCCAGTATTGTCAAGACGGCTCTTCAAATATTTTAGTGGGGTTTTTTTTTTTGCCATTACTACGTTTTGAGCTACATTGTTCCATATTTGTAGACCGACCTATTTTGTTTGATCTTTTTAAAGGGTGTAAAGCACATATTAATTTTGTATGAATGTGTATAAAATAGTTTATAATCAATTTTTAACTTTTTTATAGTAATATCTAATCAATTATGTTCGGTAGAACGGATCATAGAGCGGGAGACCGACAGATGGCATATTAATTAATTTAATAATACTAAAGCCTAATTCGAATTCAGATGTCAAAATTGTTGCAGAATAACAGACGACGCCCCCCCCCCCCCCCTACACGAGCAACATTAAATTTTGTTTCAGTAGTGCCTACAGAAATGACGTTGGGGCATTATTACGTCATTATCTTGTAACCTTGGTCGCCAAAGTTATTTGTCTATACTCTACCTTACACGGATTTAACCTGTATTATCTGTCTGAGGATTTTGAAGAATATGAGTGCGTCACTTCATGTCCAAACCAGAAAGGACTATCTCAGACCATCCAAAACGCTCCAGGATCTAAAGGAGAAGCTAGGAGCGGTTTTTGTTGATGCTAAACTCATAGAATGTCCACAAAACGCATTTGAATTAGCCAGACTTCAGAGGAGAATAGAAGATTTAGAAAAACAGAAATATCGACGTCTTGCTGATGCCAACAGAGAACAGAGAATTCTGTATAATTCTTTGTCCTCTAAATGCGTATCCGACAGTTCTGTGTCAACATTTACCGACCCAGTGGTATTAGAAATTGTCGATAATAAAATCCCTCCGCCAGGTTTCAGATTCCATTCAAACGGTAATCCAAAGTCGCAGTTGCTCACCACAAAGACAGAAACAACTGGGAATATTTTGAAGAGTGGTGCTAACATGCCTAATCAAGAGTCAACGTCGGTTATGACATTCAAATCAGGTACTGACCATGTATGTTCAACAAGCCCAACAAAAAATTTACAAAATGTTAAAGATAGTTGTGACGCGTGTAGTTCTAACAGATCCTCTCCTCGACCAGCTACACCTCACAACCAAGACGAAAACCCGCCATCTTTATCAGTTATGAAACTGTCTTATAACTCACTGGATTACGAATCGGAAATAAAACATCTCGAAAAAATCATTAAACAATTGCAAAGGGACATCGCAACAAAAAGATCGTCAACGTCGAACTTAGAGATTCCAATTAATGTCAAACATAATTATCTCCGTGCCCATTCAAGGGCAGATGACATTGATGATAAACAGAAGATGATGATGTTTTACACACCAAAAGTTCGACAAAGAAACGAATCTGCTGAACCCCATCACGCCCATCACTCCAAATGTCTGGCCTGTCAGATGAAATTAAAACATCCGGGTAGTGAAATACAATTTAAACGACGAACAGGACAACACGATACAAAAACCAGGTGGAAGGCGCCCCCTAGAGGAACATATGTTTCATCTCCCAGAATACACACGTCTGCCCGGACTGCTTCAGCTCCTGAACTTAAGAGATACAGTGCCAATGCGCCTTCTGAGGTGATATTAAGAACGTACAAGATATCAGAAATTCCGCCTAGATCACATATGGACTCGAGAGAAGCTCACCTATCACCAACAAATAAAACCTTCCAAGGATTTCATTCTTATCATGGTTCCTCACTCCGACGATTCTCTTCTCCTGCCCAACGAGAATCCCAGAGACAGGCATTCAAATCAAGAGCAGTAAGTAATTGTCTAATGAAAGAGCCTTAAGACACCGGATCGTATATTTTAAAGTATTCGTATATTTTAATAGTATAAGCTTATACATTACGTTCTGACAAAACTGCCTGACACAAATCTGTACATGGTGCTCTAAATATGAACTGAGAAGATATAATTTATTATAACCACACTTTACATCTGTCGCGGGGGGATGGATGGCCGAATGGTTAGCACGTGCGCGCTGTATCATATATAAGGTCTGTCATTGAGTCAACTGCATGGCGTGGTTTTGATTCCCCTGTAGCCACTGTAGGGTATACGTGACAAGGAGTAGGGTCGCCTGTCCATCCTTATGGGTTTTCTCCGGGTCCTCCGGTTTCGTCCCACTGCTAAACACCCCTACGCGCAAGCGAATTATTGAAATAAAATTGAACCATACGTTAGTCCCGAAATGACCGAGTTTGTGTCGAGTGGATGTTAAACCCCATTTCTCTACATCTGTCGCATTTCAAGATCCACGATTTTACAGGTATATAATTTTTCGTTGGTCTAGGTCTACAGGTATTAAATAATTGGTGGTGGACCATTTGTTGGCCTCCCTCGGAATATATGAAAAGAATATATATGGGCCTATATATATGGCCTTTTGAATCGGGGTACCCATTTGCATGTTTCGAACCTACCATTATCTATGACTCGATTTTGATGTTCTGGTTTTATTCCTTCTGTTAGATAATATTCTTCAAATTTGGGGGATTTGGAAGAACTTTTTATGTAGATTAATCAACCTCCACCAGACTTACCGAATAAGGTCGACTTTGCAGGTCTGGTTTCATGATGATCAGGCAATTTAAAGCATTATTTATATGTATAATCAATCCATTTAACTCCGAAAAAAAAAAAATAATAATAATAATAATTTACTCTTCAAATTTAATGAAAATAAAAATTTCAAAATGTTTTATGAAATACAGGGATTTGAACTATTTTGCGATGTGGACTGATTTAAAAAGCTAATTTTCCAAAAAACCAACAAAGATATGGCCTCCAAAATGTGTGTTCTAAAAACACATAATAAATACACTACATCCGTGACAAGTAACAACCTCTAATATACTGTAGTAAAATTTCTACATTGTTTCGAAATATTGATTTTATTTTTCTCACAAGTGATGATTTTTGGCACTTTATGTACGCCATACATAGTCGACAGTATAGGTCTACTTATTATGAAAGTATGACGTAGGATTATTATTAATCTTCTTTGAAATTCCAAAATTTGACGAATATTGTCTCACTATAGAAGGAATAAAACCAGAACAACAAAATCGAGTCGTAGAATAGTAGTTTCGAAACAGGCAAATAGTTACCCGATTCAAAGGGTCATTTATCTTAGTCCATATTTTATAGGCTCATATAACTTTGCCGTTTTACATATATAAGTCTGTATTATGTACTGAAACATGTATTTTATTTCGTAATTATCTGAGGGGGTTACCCGACAACTTTCTTAGAATTCGGTCCACTTGTCATGGAATGTCCCCAGGTGGAAGTTGACGAAGCTACTAGGCCTTCCTTGTTATACTACTACATGTAGTATACAAACGGCTAAATCTATTTGTTAAGGCCAGCTCAATGTTTGTCAAGGTCGCTGAGGTGTAAATAAGGTTAGGGCACGTGATTATTGGCGAGATTGTAGGTTAGGGTAAGCAATGGTGTCTAGGTCGAGGGTTAGGGTTACGGTTGGGATTAGCGCTAGCCCTGTTTACATCTCGTGACCTATGACGAAAAATTGAGCTGGCACGAACCGTTTAAAAAAAAAAAAATAAAAATAAAAAAAAGGCTAAGAGAAATTTAGCAAAGAAATAGCAATGACTTAGATTTGATTAATTCTTATATTTTTTAAATTTGTCTTTGAGTACCCTTTGGAATTTGTTGTATTTATATATTTTTATTATTAATAAATAAATACGCAATAATATTATTTTCGAAATTCTGTACATATTTTACAGGAGTGTGAATCAAAAGATGTCGATCTAAAGGTTGGAAGCTTCTTGAAGAAATTAAAAGATGAAAACGATCGACAGAAACAAGCAGCCAAACAAAAAAGATATTATTTTTTGAAAACTTAATATTATAAAATGATATACTTTATAACAACCGAATAAAAAACATAATAATAGAGAACAAAATTAATCACAATTAAAGAACAATATTGGTGTCAGTCATTGTGATAGAACTTGTTAAACACGTTCCAAATATAATTTTAACACAAGAGATCATTGCTACGATAGATGCGTAGACCTAATAAAGGTTTCAACAATCGGAAGTGACGAACGCAAAAGGAAACCACAAGTTATCCCTCTGTATAACTGGTTGTTGAAACCTTTATTACGCATCTATCGTAGCAATGATCTCTGTGTTAAAATTATATTTGGAATGTGTTTAACCAGTTCTATCACATATGTGATAATGCCTGACACCAATATTGTATTGTCCTTTAAATGGTATGTTTTTTAAAAAAACATTTTACTATTCAGCACCAAGCGGGGTAGTGCAGTCCCCCTCGACCCCCCCCCCCCCCACACTCCGAAAAACATTGTAAATTAAGGGCGATCATTGTGAAAAGGCATATTGTATGTTCCAAATCACAAAACAAAATTCAATTCCGATAAATTTGTAATTAGCATATGGTAGCCTACAACTATTGTAGATAGATATATGTATACAATGTTTCAAAATGATATCTTGAACCGTTTATGAGATATGCTCGGGAAACGAAATCGGGACGGAAAGACAAACGGACAGCCGAAAGGGGCCCATGTCAGTATCCCCTCCCTAACTTCGGTCGGTGCAGGATAATTAAAATAATAGGCTACTAATAGGCCTACATAATTAGAAAAACCCAAGGATTATATTTTCTTGAAATTTGCAGAAAGTGGTTTAATTATTTGAACGCAATAAAGCTGGACGTAATTTGAACATGTTTTTGAAGAAAAGGGAAAGGAAAATAAATTTCCCCCCGTACACCTATATACGGATCAACCATAAATCAAAAATTGAATTTTCAGAATATGTTCAACCTGTTCTATATCTAAATTTGGTAACTTTATTCTTTAATATAAAACAACAGAAAAGCCGGATAAAATTACTGATATCACGGACCTTTACATCTTCCTATATATAAAATATAATCAAGAGCGTGACGATAAATTGTGTATCCACCCTTCTTTCAAATAATTCAAAAGGAGTGATGTTTTTCACACATTCATTAATCTATTTACGAATATTCATAAGACAATAATACAATAAAATAGTGCTGATGGTCAATCAATATGACGTCAGAAAATATTAATTACGACCTTTATACAGTAATGACCCGTGTAATAACTTTATTTACCATAACCTGAAATAAGCCTATCTATTTAAAAAAAGATATAATACGCTTACATGTACATGTATATATGTCAGGAAATTCTATATTTAGAACAGCGTGACAATTAATAGTTGATATCAGTCATACCTATATGCGCACTTTTACGGTACATTAACGTCTATATAAAAGTAACATGTTCGTTGTATGTGTATTAAGAAAAGGTGGTCATTGTAAAACAGAAAATTTCTCAAAGTCTTTGGATTAAAAATATTACGAATATTGACTATAGTTCTAGCAAACGGTAAGTATTAATTTAGTAAAAGAAAACCTAAGATCACAATTTATGCGTGTGTTTTATTATTGTCGAATTTTCACACAGGGGGTCAATTGTTCTTCGTGGTTTCTAAGAAGAAAACAATAATAAGAAACTATATATAACAGACGAAATTACGATCACCAAAATTTAGCCAATTAGCAGTGGCAAAAGGTTACCTATAATGAAGGCACTGTGTGGTGGCGGAGGTGTCAAAATAATACTGGTTTTTTTTTTTGGGGGGGGGGGGGTAAGCTTATTTAACTCCAAAAATATGTTTGCAATTAGCGGACACCTACACCTATAATTGACAGTGGCTTAAAGTAGCTGAGTCTCAAATTTCCATATCATCCAAAGTCTTCGACATTGAAAACACGAATTATTTGTCAATTTAAATCAACATTGATGTTGTGATCGTACCTGGAAAAGATGGGTTTCTGATATCCAATATTAATGACAAAATAAACATTTTACCATTAGTACATGAATCGTGTAGCATAATGCGTTTCAGCGCCATTTGTAACAAGGGACTCGAAGAACGAGACTAAACATTCCACAAGTCATGTCAAACGGTGACGCCATATTCATATCTGGAGATGCGCAATAAATACTATCGGTGTAGGCTGGAACAACCAGACGCTAGAGGTTGCCATTCGAATGAGACTTCTGACGTCTTTCGCCGAACATAATTGATTTGAAATTAGAGTAAAAACGGAAACGATTGAATGTAAATCAGTTTATATACATTCATATTACATTATTATATATGCGTTGTTACCCATTTGTGTCAATTTCTAGGTCCCGAATATTAGCGATTTAGCTCCTTTAAGTCTATTTCTTTGTGTGTGGTGTTTGGGTTGTTGGAGCAGAAGAGCTGTTTTGGGGTATTTGTATTCAAAAAATATGTTTGCGGGTGTCCGCCCACACAGGTATAACGAAGACGGCTGTATCACCACCGTCGCATTATCCAGTCATATCGAGGGTGTATTAAATATTGCCCTGGCAGTGGAATGAGGTCATTGTGGGATAGCCCTCCTTCAGCTGAACATGAAAACGTAAATTAAAAATCTGTATCTGTTTGTTTTTTTTAAAGTATGTGTTTTTGGTTGTTTTTTTTTTAACTATGTGATTTTTTGGGGGTTCCTTTGTTATGCCCCCACCCCTGTTATAAAGGGCTTTTTTGCAACCTTCTACTTTTTCACTGTAATTCATTTTTCGATTGCCCACTGATCAGGGGACCAATGTACAAGGAAAATATAATTACAGTGAGTGTGTACTTTATTAAAGGAGCTAAGTCTCTAACTCAATATTTTCCATAACATTCTAAATTAAAGACACGAATTAGAATTCAATATTCATCCATTTTAATCAATATTGATGTCGCGCCGCGAAACTATAGGATTCTAATGTCCAATATTCATGACACAATTAACATTTTATAATCAGTACACGAGTCGTGTAGCCCTATGGTTTCGGGTGCTATTTGGTAATGAACAAATAAAAACACAATGTGGAAGTAAGTAGTAAAGGCTCATTCAAAAACGACAAAATGATAATTTAAAAAAAAACGTGTATAGAATGCATTAAGCAGAAATATTTAATATTTCACCGAACATAATTGATTAGAAATTATAATATTTTTTTTTTAAAAAAAATTGAATATAAATCAATTTACATACATTCATCTTTGTACTTTTAGAACCATTTTTGTCTATTTCAAGTTTACAAAAAAATAGAACCACACGCCCTTTAATTGCCTATATTTTTAATATTGCTGTTTTAGTTGACCCCGGAACATTCCGGTGATTTCGAAATACGAATGAATGAACTTTCCAAATCGCCATTTACGTTCGTTCATGGGGCTTTACGTACGCTTTCACCTCGGGTGATAACGCAAACAAACAAATACAGTGCAGTAAGATAGTACTTTAAGTTATAGTCATCCCAAACTTAGGCTGCCTATCTACAGCTAGCTCCGGCTGCCTATCTACAGCTAGCTCCGGCTGAGAATAGGCCCTAAGCTAATTAACCGACATTTTAATTCCTACATCAACGATTTTAGTCGAAAACACTGAGTATGCTTTTAGACATTTTTAGAAGTATTTATTTTATTATTGTTCGATTTATATAGCGCTTCATTACACGTGAAGTGTTTCTAAGCGCTTATTTCTCTTCTATTGTCATATTGAATGAAATTAAATATGTTTATTTAGCCGTTGTGTGTATGAAAGATGTCAAACTAATCAGAGACGAATCACAAAAAAGTTCCCTAATTATTCAATATGGCGGCGCCTATGACAGATAATTTCACAGAGGCGGTTTTGTTTGCGAAAACAAATTTAGGAGTATCTAACCTTGTTTTGAAAGATAAACAGATTGAAACTCTAAAGACAGTTTACAATGGTAAAGAATTTATTGCAATATTACCCATAGCACATATTATATATCGCTTTTACGCGAGTGTCAGCGACATGGCGTGTTTACATAAAACACACGTGCGTGGGTTATTTTTACTCTGTTGTCTAAACAAAGCGGTGTCTCGTCGATAAGTCCCGCCCCCAAATGATCACGTGTGCGTTTTAAATGGCGGCTAACCTGGGCAGTGTCACATTCTGGGAAGTATGACGTAGATGGGTCGCTGCGTGCAGTATGAGTTATAGTGTTACGATGGGGAGAGAGAGAGATAGAGAGAGATGGGGTTTAACGTCCACTCGACACGTGCATTCCAATGTATACACGGGACCTCGGGTTTTCCGTCTCATCCGAAGGACTAGACAGCTGTCCTTGTATATGTATGTGTTGGTGGTGGTGGGTGAGGCCGGGCGATGGTTTCGGGGACGTGGGGGTGGGACTGAAGGTTGCACAATTTAAAGGGGCCATCCCTCAGAAATAAAAGTCCGTGTACGTATGAAATTTATACGCAAAAAGATAGAGGAATAGTGTATTTACCTTGTCTCAAAATTTCAGCTCCGAATATTAAGTCGTTTGGACGTGAACGTCAAAACCGCTTATCCACGTAACCCTTTTAAGATTTCGGATCAATTTTTTCTTTGGGTGACCTGATAATCTGTTGCCGTTCCTTTAGAGGTGTATACAGATCATGACCCACGTGTTGTACTTGATAACAAAAGATAAATTTAACCTACACATTTTTATAAAATAAAAGTCTGGTTTTATCCAGACACCGTATTATACAGCTTGGGACATCGGTCTCCATTTCCAGATGAGGACTGACGGGTTTAAGTTGTTTAAAAACGTATCACATATATTGAGTTAGTTGCTCGGCTCTAAGGTAGAGGATTTTAAGGGCTTTTAACACAAACTTAAGCATTTTTATTTTCCAAAATATAATCAAGGGTGTCCCTTGTGAACACTCTATCACGTGATCAGTAGGCCTAGGTACACGGGGCCTTAGAACACAGCAGATTAAATGTTGCATTGGAATTTTAATTTTATGGTTTCAAACACAGTCCGACTTTTGGGGTTCATAAGTTCAGCATTATATAATTCATAAATTCCATGATCTAAATGACCTTTATAATATCGCCTAATTTAATCGTAATGCCTTAAAACCTCCAGAGGCCTACTTGGAAACTACGTGAACCTTTGGCGCGTATTGATAAGATAAGATGTTTATTGCATCAATGTGATATCTAATCAAAGCAATCATACGTATACACAGATAATCTTAGTAAGATTGGATAAAACTAGCTGACATATAGTTGTCGCGATAATAGTTAAATAATAAATAATGAAAAGAGAATATGTTGAAAATTAGGTTAAATTACCTCACTCTGAGTCTGAGTCATCGGCGACACAATTACTAGCCCCGATTGTCATGTTAGGTTAATAAACAAAGTCTCGATCATCCACTATTACGGTAATCGCATCGACCACAAAACGTATTTAAATCTATCGCAGCCGTCCGATGGCATCGACAGTTGATTATGTTCGTGGTAAGTTAATTAATGTCTAATTGATAATCTATAATCAGCAATCTGTTTCACAGAGATTTTCTAATATCTCTGTAACAGATGACTGTTTCGACACGTGTCGTCACATCACGCGGCGTCAATCATTGGCTCAATAATAATAATAATGTATGTTTAGAACTAAGTATACACGTATCTGGGATTTTTCCCGTTTATGTTAGCATTGTTTGTTTATCGCCATTAATTCATTAGTCGCCGATGCTTAATTCTGAGACTGACTGCAGTGACAGCACTTATTTTGAAACCCCTTACCCTCATCTACGCGTCTGACTACGGTCTACTCTTACTTCGAATCCCAACTGTCAAGGGATCTTTTACGTGCACGTGAATCTCGTTGTCCCTTGAGAAATGGATCCACCCTACTGATGTCTTTCCCTCTTGCTGCAGCCAAAGTATTGCCAGTGGATCGTTCTAAAGCCTTTGATGACAAAAAAGTTAATAACTTTCAATAATTTTGCGCACGAATGCGCTACCCGACGACGTAACGATTAGTCTGAAGGAATGCAAATTAACTGTCAAACATTCTATTCACAAAGGCGCTACCTGACGAGGTAACGGGTCACTTAGCGCTTAATTTTAATTCCGTTCAAAAACAACATACATTATGATACATATGGGTCCATTCCAATCAATATTGATGTTGTTATCTTGCCGTGAAAATATTGGATCCTAATATCCAATATTCAACAAACAATGAACATTTTAAAATCTGCACACGAGTCGTGTACACTATGGCTTAGAATGAACAAAGAAGAAAATATCCTACAAGGCAATGCGGAAGTAATTAAAAATGGGTGGTTCAAAAAGGACAAAATATACTATTCAAAAAAAGTAGGGGATATTTGATTTTGGGGGCATAATACTAAAATATGCAAATGACTACGAAAAAAGTCACTATAGAACCTAACAGAAGAAACATTTCCAGTTACATGTGACGCCCAAACGCACCAATAGCTACCGCATGGAATGCAGGTGATGCTTGGGATCATCATGGGGTTCCAACCCAAGATTTGCACGACTCTGACTTTGAATGTTACAGTCATTGTGGCATTGAATTCCAGGGTGGAAACATCAGTTTAATTGTTTTAGTGACCAGAAAACAAATTTTGATATGCGTCGGCTTACCCAAAATGAAAGGTTACGTGCCCTTGGCATGCTACAGCGCTCGTCTTCAAACAGACACTGGTGTGAGAGTGAGTGGCCAGACGATTCGGAATCGACTGCATAGGGGTCACCTTCGCGCCCGACGTCCTCGCGTGATCCCTTGTTTGAGAGATCATCACATTCAGGCAAGACGTCGTTGGTGTAGGGATCGTCAACACTGGGATAATCGACGCTGGAGCAATGTGATGTTTTCAGATGAGTCAAGGTTCGCTGTTGATTTTTTGGACAGACGTAGGAGGGTGTGGCGTCGTCGAAACGAGCGCTTCCAAGACGTTAACGTCATCAGACATGATCGATTTGGGGGTGGTTCTGTTATGGTGTGGGGAGGCATCACTGTTGCTGGAAGAACGGCTTTACATGTTGTTGCAGGGCGTGTTACAGGCCAGTACTACCGGGACAACATCTTGGCAGTCCATGTTGTGCCGTTCGCACGACGTCATGGCCGCCGTTTCATCTTCCAGGATGACAACGCAAGATGTCACAGGGCCAGGATCGTTACAGATTACCTCCAACAACAGAACATCACCACATTACCTTGGCCAGCACTGAGTCCCGACCTCTCCCCCATCGAGCATGTCTGGGACATGCTTGGACAGAGGTTACGTCAACGTCAACAACGTCCTGCCAATGTCCAAGAACTTGCTGCTGCGTTGCAACAGGAATGGGACAATCTGGACCAAAATGACCTTAGACGTCTCATTAGGAGTATGCCACGTCGGATCAATGCTTGTTTGGCAAACAGAGGAGGATTTACCCGTTACTGACTTGGTTGTGATGCCTTACTTAGTCTAACGATCATTTGGAATGAATCGATGAATGTGAACTTCATTTCATTTTGTCATTTGTTTCTTCGTCAGTTTCATTAGGTGACTTTAATAACACTTAAAAATCAAATATCCCCTACTTTTTTTGAATAGTATAATAATTTAAAAAAAAACCAAACTTATTGAATGGACCAGGCAAGCGGAAACGACTGCCGTTCAATTTGGACAGTTCAAGTATTTCACCTAATAAATTACAATAAGAATTTAAAAATTGAATCTAAATCACTTCAATACATTCATATTAAAGCTGTGTGCTTTTAGTACAATTTTCGACTATTTTAAGGTTCTAAAGAATAGAGTCATACGCCCTTTAACAAAATAATTAGGCCTAGTCTGTAAAGGAACTCAAACAGCACAAATGCGCTACCCGAGGAGGTAACGGGGCACTTGGCGGTTAATTTTAATTCCTTTACAACCAATATTAATTTTGATAGCACAACGATCCTTTATGCGAGTGTTGAGGGCGGTTCGTTTTTATCATGTTTCACAAAATTTATAAATTGTCGTAACTCAGTTGTTTGATTAGGCGTGTACGCCCACCGTCTGGATTTCTATATTCTATGATCTCGACCATTGAATGGCGCCAGTTTGACACTATAGTAGGCCTACTTGTCCGTTTTATAATTTCATAACGAAATCTTGTAACTATTTGAATATAGGCCTAGAAAGTGAAAATGGAATAGCCTAAAAGTGAATCTTTCAAATAAATCCAAAAAGCTATATTTTTGATCTGACCATTGCTAGAATATCGTGAATATTATAATTGGAAAACTAAGATCCAAAAGTCTGATTATTTCCCCATGTGTATGCATCGAGGTGAATTAATATGTAGACATGTCCCCCCCCCCCTCAAAAAAAAAGACTCAGTCAGGTACCTCTCCTTTAAACAGTTATAAATCTTTTCACTAAAGCGTATCCAACCCATTGATCCACAAACACCAATGTTGACATGATTTTCAACCAGGAAGTTTACATGTTCGCGTTGTGTTCTGGGAAATATTTGCAATATTTTCCTGCTTGGAAAGAGAAGACGGAGTAAACGTAAAAAGGAATCACAGCAATTGCGAGAGTTTTCATAAGAATATGGCGTTTTCCGTCGTTATATATAATGGCCGAAGATGATTTCTTCGTAAATAGAACCAAGGTTGGAATTGTCGAAGCAACCAAAGAGCGAGTACTCCATTTATTCCAGGTCGATTTAGACGTAATACCCGATAATGACAATGCGAAAGTGCACCTTTCCTCCTCGACTAATTCACAGGAAAACATCAAGAAAGCGCAAGTATGTTTCTTAAAAGACATTTGATGTACTATCTAGCCTAAAATACATTGCTTCTGAAATACCGATACTTTTTTCTTTTTATAATTGTGCATTATGCAGGGACAGGTGATCTTATGCCCTATAGCCTACTACTAGTAGTACTAGTTACTACCCAGTGTTATTCTGAGTGTTCTGGAATGGCAGAATATCTAAATTTCAACACTACCTTTACTTGAACAAAGTTTGAAGTTCATAGTCCTTATCATAGTTTTGTAAGATTATATAAGATTTTAATACATCTATCTGTGCAGTATGCCATGTAAGTACTAAGTTGACTTCAAACCCAGGATTGTACATGTATATTTAGGTTAACAAAGTGTTTAGCTAAGGCTATATTTAGCATGTACCCCAAGTACATGTAACTTTGCACGAAGTTTGTGCATATGCTACTCAATATATTTACAATATTCCTAAATTCAAACACAATCCTTTGTTATTGAAGTGGCGGTAATACAATGTAAGGATGGTACATGTATAAGAATCCTTGTTTAATTAAAGATGCATTATGTAAGTAAGTGCTAAACCGGTTATTATATTAGATCTTTCTTTTGGCTTCAGATGTTATATAAAAATCTGGATTATTGCCCTTATTGTTGAAATTGTTTGAAGTTCTAACACCTGACGTCAACTGGCAGTATCGCCATTGAAGAGACGACCACTGTCAAGATTGGTCGCATTATTTCTGTTATGTCTTTTTTTGTAAATCATTATTAGTGAATATATTCTTTAAGTGAAACCTGTACCATAACAGGCCCGGGACTGTACAGTGCAGTAGACGCTTACAGCTGGCCCCCGGATCCATTCACTTGATTTGATATTTGTTTATTTGGTGCAATGTCTAATTTCTGTCTTGTCCGCAGGTTTATCTTGTAGATTTTTGTCTTGCGTGTAGTGCAGTCCTCTTGCACTTACTATTAGACATTTACTCACATGACAAGTCATAATCATCTCTCCGTAGCCAACGGATGGCAGAGCTTTAAAATTTGAACACCCTCAAGATTTAAAAATTTAATGATAAAATGGATAACTGAGGCTAAAGTCTTGGTTGTCAAGTACCGTTTCTACAATAATAAACGATCTATGCTACGTACATCTTCAGTCATAAATTCGCCTAGAATAAAGTAATTTGAATGACATTTTATCTATTCATTATCTATTTTTGAACTACATTTGAATGTACAACATGTATTTATAGCAAAAATGACCAGCTCTTTATCTAAATCTTACATAATAGATATCTCTGTCGAATTAAACAGAGGAGGAAAGGCTGAGATACAAATTGTTTGAATAAGATAAATGTAATCTAAAGATACCGTACCATACTATAAAACATTGGTACAAGAAAAACACAGGAGTTACTCGCCTTTCGTGGTAGGGAGCCATGGTGGCTCAGTGAGTAAGACGTTGGCTTACTAACCTAGATGCTCTGTGTTTAATCTCCGGGTCCTCCCGGTCCTCCCACTGCTAAAGACCCCTACGCGCAGCCAAATTATTGAAATAAAATTAAACCATATGTTAGTCCCGAAATGACCTAGTTTGTGTCGAGTAGACGTTAAACCCCATTTCTCTCTCTCTCTGTGTTTAATCCAGGGTGTTGGCTGAGAAAGTTCATCATGAATTGTCAGTGGTGCAGGATGGAGCGCCTGGCAAGGGTCAATGTATAGTCGTTAGGATGGGACAAAAAACCAAGGTCTTGTGTGCACATTGGCATGCACATAAAAGAATCCATGACAGTTTTGCTTTAAAATAAAAGTATACTGTAGTGTAACTGTCCGAGCTAAAGTTCGCTCATGGTGTACATGTATGTCAGTCGTCATTAGCGCAGTCGATACAGAACAGTAGGACATTAAACTCCACTTAATTTCCTTTCCTTTCCTGGTTTCAGATTGCGATTAAAGATAAGGTCTGATCAACAATAGAGCTTTCTTTCTCCCTCCACACATACAAGTAGATATTAGCTTCACACTGAATCTTTTAACTTATTCATTGTAAATAAACTATAATACATACATATAGATATTAGATTCACACTGAATCTTTTAACTTATACATTGTAAATAAACTATAAGTATGACACATACTTATGGAAAAGCAGCTACTGATTTGTTCAGGCAACGTTTCAAAGAGTATTCAGCCTTGTTGTTGTAGTTTTTCTATATTTGTCTAAATAATTGTTAATCTTGTTCAGCCTTTTCCATTTGTACAGAAAAGTTTAGACGTTAAATCTCATTTCATTTCACTTATTCTTGATCAGTTTTAGTGTACTTTAAATTCTCCAATTGCCTACAGAAGAATAACTAATGACAAGACGACCCTTGTGAACGGCTCAGATGACTAAGCCAAGTCTAGACATGTCACAGAGTTTGTCCAGTACGAATTACCGTACAGTGTATAAATACAAGCCTGGACATTGTCACCTGTTACAGAGAGAGAGAAAGAGAAATGGGGTTTAACGTCTACTCGACACAAACTAGGTCATTTTGGGACTAACATATGTTTTTTAATTTTATTTCAATAATTCGCTTGCGCATAGGGGTCTTTAGCAGTGGGAGGAAACCGGAGGACCCGGAGAAAACCCACGAGATTGAACAGGCGACCCTACTCCTTGTCACGTTCAACAAGGGATTCGAAACCACGCCAGTTGACTCAATGACAGACTTTATGATATGTACAGCCTGCGCACGCACGCTAACCATTCAGCCATCCAACCCCCCCACCTGTTACAGACATTATCTGATACAAATCATCACAAAATGTCAGTCTGATTAAAACACAAGATTCTTTTTCGTTTTATCTTTTATAGTTCAAAATTTCATTTTTCTTGTCTTTACTACACTAGGATCTGAAAGAGTTGTTATATAATCCGCGTTTAGTTGATGTGAGGGATTAGCCAATAAAATGGTCTGTTGCAGTGAGTTCTTGGCGTGCAGTGCACGGAACTGTGGGTATTCCACTAGAAACATCAACGCAGGTGCCTATGTCTTTTTAAAACAGAAAGTAGGAAGCCCCTACCTGGATTACCCATAGACTTGTTGTACTTGTTAGAAACAAAGCTTGATTCATTAATACATTAGTAATAATTATACTATGAATGATGCATGTTTGTGAGCTGAACAGTAAAATTTTGATAATAAATGAAATACTAGAGAATCTCCTACAAGTCTTTTTTGATATCAAAAAATATCAACACCAGCCGATTATGTAAAAAACCCGAGGCTCTGCCGGGTTTTTTTTTACTTTAAAGACGATTGTTGATATTTTTTGATATCAAAAAAGACGAGTAGGAGATTTTATTTATTACACAATCCATTCTTACATCCACAAATAAATATAATTCTTTGCAATAGATTTCACTTTCACTGAACCTGATTACATTACGGCATAGTGATGGACGCATGGATAATGCGCGCACATTGTATCATAAGGTCCGTCATTGAGTCAACTGGCATGGTTTCGATTCCCTGGTTGTACGTGACAAGGAGTAGGGTCGCCTGTCCTACCTTATCGTTTTTCTCTGGGGCTTCTGGTTTCTATCCTACTGCTAAAGACCCCTACGCGCAAGCGAATTATTGAATAAAACTGAACCATGTTAGTCCTGAAATGACCTAGTTTGTGTCGAGTGGACTCTAAACTCTGTTTCTGTCTATTTGCATATGAAACAGTAAACACCTACATGTAAACGTTTTCTGTGGTTATATTTAGGAAGAATACACAAGACAGCTAATATGACCCAGTTTCTATACAGTCACCTCGGCTCACTTAACATGCCTGAATTAAATCTATCTAACTTATTGGGCGTTGTCAACTACATACTGTATTGCTCATATTACCTAAATTGAATTATGCTAAATTAAGAAATCATTATAATCTTGAAATATTCCAGTGAGGATTTCTATGAAATTTGTTTACCATGAAGTAATATTTCACATGCTATAAAGGATAATGATTCTCTGAACATTGGGGGGGGGGGGGGGGATGGGGGCCAATGGTTATCATAAGATCTGTCATTGGTTCAGCAGGCATGGTTTCGATTCCCCTGTTATACTTGACAAGGAGTAGGGTCGTCTGTCCAACCTCTTGGGTTCTTCTCTGATCCTCCGGTTTCCTCAAACTGCTAAAGACCCCTACGCGCAAGCGAATTATTGAAATAAAATTGAACCTGTCCAACCTCGTGGGTTTTCCCTGGATCCTCCAGTTTCCTCCCACTGCAAGCAAATTATTGAAATAAAATTGAACCATATGTTAGTCCCAAATTCCTAAAATGACCTGGTTTGTGTTGAGTGGACCTTATTCTCTCTCTCTCTCTCTCTCTGAACATGAATAGGGTATTGTTTTAAATAATGATGACTGTGTAGACAATTGCTGATCAGATCAGGTGTTTATTACTGGGCTTCTTTCATACAGGAGAATGTTGAGATGGGCATGTCTGATGTGCAATCTACAAGGGAGGCAGGGGCGTGACGTTACTATTAAGGTTATCAAGCCTGTATTGTATAATACGTAACAGCTATGAGGTGTGGGTGACAAACCGAAGAATTTTATTCCAGTACTTTATAATTAATGAACAGAAACACACCCTATTTATAGGTGTTGGTAAGGAAAATCCAAAAGTCTACACTTCGTTGTAAATTGTATTGATTTGTACATTTATATATAAGCATAACAAATACTTTTACCTTGCATAAGATTATTGTGTATATTGAAAGGATGACAGCTCTCTTGTGTATATTGTGCAAGGAGTTATAAATAGTATTTATGTACATTTCATATATTATTGTCCCCCGCCTTTGATGTAGAATGTTTAAACTTCATGTAAGATGTTCATTAGGTGAATGTCTTGACAGAGTTCATTGATTAACATTTCGAGCTGGAGCTAAGCAGAGCCTATCAATTTCATTGGGTCGACGCTTTGAGACAAGATAATCGTGATTCTATCTGATAGAGAGTGATGAAAATGAGTGTATAGTTTGATTACTCGATACTTTTGCAAAAAATAAATGTGAGGTTAATTAATATGTGACATCTATTTATTGTGGGATTTCAGCGGGGGACATCAGCCTCACTGTTGGCTTGTTATTATTATTATTATACATACATTTCTATAGCGCTACTTCCACAACAGTGTTCAGATACGCTTTACAATGTGATACACACAAAGATATGATGAAATACAAAGAAATAGAAATAACAAAAGTTAAGATCACTTAAATATGAAATATAAAATAAATTTGATCTAAAATATATGTAACAATAGACAACAGGAGCTAGTTAAAAGTTGACTCTTAAAAATAGGTAAGGACACACTGCTGCGAATAATATAAATATGATATGAATTAATTGTTACCTATATCTATATTTTTCAGACATATTTACAGGCCGCCTTAGAAACAGGTGATGATTTTGTTAAAGAAAAGTTGAAGTTGAACCAGCAAGAATTCAATATGGTGCTAAATGAATATGATAATATTGAAATATTAACACAAATAGTTTTGACAAACTGCAAGGACACAGAAGAAATCTGTATTAAAGGATGTACAAGAAATGTTATTAAAGCCAGGGATCTCATTAAAACTATGGCGCATAAATTTTCATTCAGTGAAACTACCTTTAATCTTGATGTACGAGGAGATGACTTGGTGGAAACATCCCGTAAAATGAATTCGGACTTGAGAATTACAGATAACAATAATTCTGTGACTTCAATTCTTCATCAATCTTCAGATAGTTTGAGTGCTCGTGGTGGAGACCCTTCTAGCTCTGAGGTTGAGGAAAATTTAGAAACGGACAGTACATGTGCTTTTGTTCCTTATAGTTATCCTGACCCATTGACACAGAGTAACTCGAGCTCTAGTAGTCTGGAAACGGAATCCGAACGTATACTCTCTGACCCTGAAAATTCCACTCAAATAGAAAAGGCACTAAAATTAGGATATTCTGAATATCAGATTGTAGCAGTGTTAAAGAAACTTGGCGTGACTGCTGCTAATGTAGATCCAAACACTCTGTTGACTGAATTAATCAAACAAGGTGCTCTGAGTCCGGATGTCAGTGGAAGTGAATTTTTGTTGAAGTCTAATAATGACAATAGTTCTGGCGGAGGGGATTTGATAAATAATTCCAAGATTGATACATGCGATGCTGATGATGTGGATAATTTACGACATATTGTTGTAGATGGAAGTAATGTAGCTATGAGGTAAGTAAAACACTTTGGATGGTTTTCCTTATTATTTTTCCTTAAAGGACAAAATTGGTGTCAATCATTATCACATATGTGATAGAACTGGTTAAATACATCCCAAATATAATTTCAACACGGAGATCATTGCTACGGTGATGTGTAACAGGTGAATAAACGGGAAGTGACGACAAACACGAGTCTGTGCATTACCATGTTTTTATTAAGAACAGAATGAATAAAAACGGGGGACTGCACATGATTTTTCTTTTTTTCTTGATTTCCATTATCCAGTGACAGCCAATTCTAGTTTTGAATTGTGAGATACTCTCTCACTGTCTCATACACGTATAATAACTTTTCATCTTCAACGGAATTATCAGTGAAATGAAATTCGATCGTGTGTCTGTTCTCGCTTGTTTATTCAATCAGTTATATAGAAGAATAACTCGTGTTCGTCGTCACTTCCCATTTATTCAAGTATTTTTTACACATCTCCCGTAGCAATGATCTCAGTGTTAAAATTATATTTGGAATTTATTTAACCAGTTCTATCACATATGTAATAATTGCTGACACCAATATTGTCCTTTAAAAGTTCAAGGAAAACAAGGGATAGATTTCGTTTTGTTAATAACTGTATTGATATTTAGGGAGTTGGATGGCTGAATGGTTAGCACATGCGGCGTGGTTTTCCCCGGTTAGGGTTGCCTATCCAACTTCATGGGTTTTCTCCAGATCCTCCGGTTTCCTCCCACTGCTAAAGACCCCTACGCACATGCAAATTATTGAAATAAAATTGAACCATATGTTAGTCCTGAAATGACCTAGTTTGTGTCGAGTGAACGTTAAAACCAATTTCTCTCTCTCTCCCCCCCCCACTATTTACATTAAAACATTTTCAGCTGCATTCACCAATGTTATATCAGAACAGTAGGACCATCCCTAGCCTTGAGGTCGGGTGCTCGATCCCTGCATTGGCAGAGAAAGTTCATCCAGATTTTCCGGCGTGGTTCCCCCTTGTCAGTGATGCAGGACGGAGGGCCTGACAAGGACAGCTGTCTAGTCCTTCGGATGAGACGAAAAACAGAGGTCCCGTGTATACATTGGAATGCATGTTAAAGATCCCTTGGCAGTTGAAATTCGATATAAGAGTAGGCGATAGTGCCGCTGCCCAGGCAAAATTTCCCTCATAGCACACTGTATGACATATGCCCGTCTTCATTAGCCCAGTATAGGAGCAGAACAGTAGGATGTTAAACCCCATTTCATTTCATCTTTTATATCAGAACAGTAGGATATTTCATTTCATTTCACCAATGTTAGAACTGGATATGGTTCATATTTCATTATTTATTTGTCTGGTCTACCTGGAAACATATTTTAGTATACTGGTATAATATTTGCAGTAGCATGTACATGTTTTGTAAATATTGTCCGACTGAATGAATAATAAACATCCATGTCAGTAAAATATTCTCGGATTATATAGTCAATTTATATTGCCTCTATTACAGATTTGTTATCGCTGTAAATGAAAATTTGATAGCATTTAAATTTCTATTTAATATTATTTAGTCCACACACACAAACTCACACACTGATGACATCAATGAGTCCCAAATATTAACTTTTTTCTTCCGTCAAATTAAATTCTAAAACATTTTTTTCATTTATTAGAAAAATAAATAAAGACGTTTGAATTATTTGTAGGTAAAAATCATTTCCTATTTAGTGTAAATGGATATTAAAATAAGTAAAATTCACCATTTAGCCTGAATCAGTAACGTCTTATGTAAACAATGCACGTGCTATTGAGCCAATGATTGATGCCGTGTGATGTGACATCACGTGTCGAAACAGTCATCTGTTACAGAGATATTAGAATATCTCTGTGAAACAGGTTGACAAACTCATTGTTGTGGTAGGGCTCTTAGTACATGTAACTAAATTGTATTACCGGTAAAAAAAAAATGTGCAGGTGACTATTAAAATGGGTCCAGCCCTTTGTCCGTCACATTTTTGGGGATATGATAGGCAATTTGATTGGTCAAGACTTTGGAATATAACAACTCTGCATTTAATTGAGGTACATGTAGAATGTTTATACTTGATGTACATACATGTAGTCATTAGATGAATGTCTTGACAAGGTTCAATGATTAATGTTTGTCGCTAAAGCTAAGCAGAGCTAAGCAATTTCATTGTTCAATGCTTTTGGACAAGATGACTTTGATTCTAACTTATGGAAAGTGATGAAACTTACTATAGAGTTAGATGAATGTTTTGGCTAAATTCAATGATCAGTTTGATTGCTCAATACTTTTCAAAAGATAAATGTAGGCCTACATGTGCAATTGACTAAATTGATGATGAGTTAGTTGTATTTTACGTCCGCTTCCACCGAGGTGATATCGCAGACAATATTGACTAAAAAATACATACAGTATAAGTATCATCTGTTTATTTTGGGATTACACAGCGGGACATCAGCCTCACTGTTGACTTCTTCTACCTGTCCCATTCATGACATCAATTGAAAGGTTGTCTTTGTTGAATATTTTTGGACCTAAAAAAAAATGATAAATTATGACAGCTACATGTATAAATAAGCATTGACAAGTACAATACACTTAACTGCTCTTGTGAAAAGTATGACAATTGACAAAATAAAATGCTTAGTCACTTGTTACTGGCTCTATGAGAAGTGGCAAAATAGACATGTACATGTAGCTTGTTAGTGAATATTTATACAATTCAATGAGACATACATATATTTAGATGTATACACACCTACAATGTGATTAAAACAACACACTGTAACCTGGGTATCGTTTAATCTTGTGTATTTAGCACTAATTTCTTTCACAAAAAATAAATGCTTGAAACCCGTGTTCTGGATGATTTGAGGTATTAATTAGCCAATGAAATAGTCTGTTAAGGCAAGGTTTTGGCGTGCGTGAGGTGCGCGGAACTTTGTGTAAACCACTAGAAACGTCAAAGCTGATTGATTAATCAATGTCTGACGACATAAGGTCAAAAGACACTCGTATGACACCTGACGTGACCTTCCAATACATCTGGTCAGATCTTCGTGTAGTGTAGGCCATCGAAAGAATAAAAAAACAAAATGAAATATAGATCTGTATGTTAATCAGATTGACACACCTACTAATAATAAACATTTTTTTTAGTAGAGTCATCCATAATATCATACTTTGAACAGTAATAAACCATTGATTTTTAGATTTTATATCTTTCTATTTAGTATAATTTTGAGTGAAAATGATTTACATGTAGATGTGTACAGCTGCATGTACGTACATGTATATACAGTGTATAGGGGCCTACGTGAGAAAGATCATTAGATGTGTGATTAATATCTGAAATGCTTTATTAAACCAGGAAATCTTGTTCAGATCTCTTAGTGTATACATAACTACACTACATTAAAAGGCAAATGTGTTCTTTTATCCTTGGGGGGATTGGATGGCTGTATCATAAAGTCGGTCATTGAGTCAACTAGCGTGGTTTCGATTCCCCAGTTGTACATGACAAAGAGTAGGGTCCAACCTCGTGGGTTTTCTCCGGGTCCTCGGGTTTCCTTCCACTGCTAAAGACCCCTATGTGCAAACAAATTATTGAAATAAAATTGACCCATATGTTAGTCCCAAAATGACCTAGTTTGTGTCGAGTGGAGGTTAAACCCCATTTCTCTCTCTCTTTCTCTCTCTCTCTCTCTTTTCTCCTTACTGACGATAATTAGGACATTCATTACAGCAAATGAAATGAAATGGGGTTTAACGTCCTGCTTTTCTGCTATGAGGGAAATTTTGCCTGGACAGCAGCACTGCGGCCTACCCTTATATAAAATTCCAACTGTCAAGGGATCTTTTACATGCCTTGCCAATATGTACACAGGACCTAGTTTTTTTTGTCCCATCAAAATGACTAGATAGCTGTCCTTGTCAGGCCCTCTGTCCTACATCACTGACAAGGGGCAACCACGCCATAAAATCTGGATGAACTTTCACAGCCAATGCAGCACATTACGAACAAGTGATCTTTTGGACATTAAGGGCAATAGTGTATCTTTTTTGGTGCTCATATAGTTTAATTTTGCTTAATAATACTTCAGGCAATAAAATACTGACTTTATTAGAAATTAAGAATTACTTTACATGTATATGTACCTCTCTCTCACAGAGGAAAGAGAAATGGGGGGTTATGTCCACTTTAATTGGTCTTCAGCAGTGGGAGGAAACCAAAGGAGCTGGAGAAAACCCACGAGTTTGGACAGGTGACCCTACTCCTTGTCATCTACAAGCGGGGAATCAAGACTATGTCACCTTCTAGTCTAACGTGCACAATGCACGCGACAAGCGTTAAACCATCAAGCTACAGCTACCCATCTTTATACGCTCTGCTATTGTAGAAAATCAGGACAGTAAATCCCCTTTATTTTCATATTTATACCAGGAAGTCTTACGTTATATTTCTTGTATACACCAAAAATAGATTTTCAAACATAATACAACCCTTTAAATTTGTTATTCAGATATTTTCTAATACAAATGCCTTATTCATGTACATACAGTACGAGTCTCTTGAACAAAGTGAGAAATCATCTTTTCAAGTAGCTGTACTGTACATTATGTCCAATACATAAAGCTTTTATTATGTTCAGGGCTGTCGGTAATTTTTCACAGATGATTAGCAGCACTGCTAATCAAAAAGTCCAATTTTGCCAAATTTGATTAGCAAATTTAAAAATTGATTAGCAGTTTTTCAGTTTCAAATCAACATAAAACACCTAAATAACAAGATTATTTTAATTTTAATTGATAGCAAATGATTAGATTTCATTCTTAAGATTTTTTTAGAATGTTAGCACTTCTACAGCTAGCTGTGAACATTTCTGAATGAATGTAGACTTTTGTTAGGCCTTATGTCTGAAGTCAATTCTTGGCAGTGGCTTCTTATTTCTTCGTTAGAAAACAATTTCGTCTGCTTTTTATCGTGTGTTATTATTTTTGTTCAATCGGAAGCACGCGGTATTTTACGAATAATCTCGATTAACTAGACGCACGCGATATAAACAATTATAGTGTACGGGAATTCTTACTTTGATTTCTCACTTTACAATACGTTTACACGTATTTATTTTTTATATTTTATTTACAATACGTGGGGGATACACTGAATTTATTTTTTTTCAAATTGAATACTGATATAATTACTCGAAATTGACATGTCTCGCAACGTGAGTGGTACTACTTGATTCCCTATTTCCGGTTTAATAGTCCCGATTCATAGAGTTATGTCCCTGTATTATATAGTATCATGAATTGAGTCTGGGTAGTTCGAGAAGAAAATGTAACACGGAGAATTCCGTTTTGTTTATAAAATTTATTTGATATTTTATACGCGTTGAGAGTGTTGAGAAATGTGGATAAATCTTTGTGTCAATATCCAAAATGACAGGCATGTTATTGATTCGCAGTTACTGCGAATCAGAAACGTTAAATTTTAATTTTTGATTAGCATCGGACAAAATATGTATCGCAAATTGCGCTGCGATACTGGTTGTCGGCAGCCCTGATTATGTTTGAATGTTTCTTTTGCTAGGATGCTACACTATCTAATACAGGGAGATTGCCTGTTGGCTGAATGGTTAGATTGTGGGCGCTGTATCATAAGATCTGTCAACTGGTGTGGTTTCAATTCCCCGATTGTACGTGGGTTTTCTCCGGGTCCTCAGGTTTCCTCCCACTGCTTAAGACTTCTACGCGCAAGTGAATTATTGAAATAAAATTGAACCATGTGTTAGTCCTGAAATGACCTAGTTTGTGTCGAGTGGTTTATTTATTATGAATGATAATTTCACCTTTGATGATACCCTTATAATCTACATTGTACCTGTAAATAGATTATCTCAAAATAAGTCAGTTATAAATGAAATGAAATGGAGTTTAACGTCCTACTGTTCTGCTCCTAACCTGGGCTAATGAAGACGGGCATACGCCATACAGTGTGCTATGAGGGAAATTTTTGCCCGGACAGCGGCACTACGGCCTACTCTTATATTGAATTCCAACTGCCAAGGGATCTTTTACGTGCACGCCAATGTGTACACGGGACCTCGATTTTTCGTCCCATCCGAACGACTAGACAGCTTTCCTTGTCAGCCCCTCCGTCCTGCATCACTGACAAGGGAGAACCACGCCGGAAAATCTGGATGAACTTTCTCGGCCAATGCAGGGATCAAACACCCGACCTCCAGGCTAGCGAGCTAGCGTCTTACCAACTTTTTTTTATACCTTGATGGCCTACACTACATGAAGATCTGTCAAGTTTTAGCGATAGGTCATGTCAGGGGTCAAAAGACCGACTTTTCACCCTATGACGTCAGATATTTGATTAACCAATCAGCATTGATGTTACTAGTGGATTACCCACAGTTCCTTGCAAAACACGCCTAAAGCTCCCTGACACCATTCAGAACACGAGTTAAATAACAACTACCCAGATCCTAGTGTTGTAAAGGCTCAATACCACCCTTGTTGTAACTGAATAATATGTACCAATCTTTATTCTGGTCAACAAATTGTACTATTTTACAATATTCCAATTAATTGATGATACAAATTCATCTTAACACACCTAATTTAAAAAATTGGAAAAATTCAACTAAATGATTTGAAAGGCCTAACGTAAAGCTTTTCAAATGTGACTTGGATTTAAAAATATTTTCGAACCCTCTGGACAAGTAAAATAGGATTTAATGGATAATTTACACAACAGGTAGGACACTAACACATCTAATACTTAGAATAAGGCTATTATTTATTTTCTGGAGCTGTCAAGCCAGCAAGAGTGTTATTGTCCCTTTAAGACATGTAAAAATGAAATTTTGAACTATAAAAACGAAACGAAATAGGATCTGTGTTTTAATCAGATTGGTTATTGGTTTAGGATTTATTAAATTCAGATAACCACCAAGTCTGATAATGAATGTATACATGTAATAACATAGATCAGGGGTTATTTTAGACCTTTATTTGTGCACAATTTTGTGAAAAGTATTTTTAACCAAGGGTGTGTGACTTTTCTAGGACTGAAGTTGTTTACAAGTTGACTCGAGACATACAATCTGATTAAATTACATCCTATTTCGTTTAGTTTTTAATAGTTCAAAATTTCATTTTTTTTTGTCTTTACTACACTAGGATCTGGAAGAGTTGTTATATTACCGGCGTTTTGGATGGCGTTCTGGATTAGCCAATGAAACCATTTGTTACGGCAACTTCTTGGCATACAATGCACAGAACTGTGGGTAAACCACTAGAAACGTCAACGCTGATTGATTATTCAATGTCTGACTTAAAAGCCATTCGTACAACCTTTGACACAACCTTTTACTACAACTGATCAGATCTTCATGTAGTGTAGGCAATCGAAAGTATAAAAAAAAAAAACGGAACGAAATATAGATCTGTATATTAATCAGATTGGAAGATATACTATTTCCTGATGAAATCTAAGTTCAACCATATTCCATCAGTGACAAAAGTAAAAAATAATCCTGTTTATTCTGGATTTTTGGCGCCAATTAACATGATCAAAATCGGCCTAGGAAAACGCCAATTATCAAAATTTTAATTGACTATTATTCACATTTACAGTCATGGTAATAAAGAGGTGTTTTCTTGTCGAGGTATTCAACTGGCAGTAGAGTATTTTAGAGCGAGGGGTCACAAAAAGATTACAGTCTTTGTTCCACAATGGCGGAAAGAGTCTTCGAGACCTGATGCTCAAATTAAAGGTAAACTAAAATTTAATTTGAATGTACATGTACTTGTGGGAGCCACGGTGGCTAGGTGGGTAAGGCGCTGGCTTGCTAGCCTGGAGGTCGGGTGTTCGATCCCTGCATTGGCCGAGAAAGTTCATCGCGATTTTCCGACGTGGTTTCTCATTGTCAATGATGCAGAACGGAGGGCCTGACAAGGACAGCTGTCTAGTCCATCAGATGAGACAAAAAACTGAGGTCCCGTGTGAACATTGGAATGCACGTAAAAGATCCCTTGGCAGTTGGAATTCGATATAAGAGTAGGCGATAGTGCCGCTGCCCAGGCAAATTTCCCTCATCGCACACTGTATGGCGTATGCCCTTCTTCATTAGCCTAGTATAGGAGCAGAACAGTAGGACGTTAAACCCCATATCATTTCATTGGATGTACTTGTATATTATTATTGTCACCCACAACTGGTCACATTCAAAGTGAATTTGGGTGTACATGTATATTATTGTCACCCACGCCTAGTCACATTCAAAGCGCACAGTAGTAGACCAATTGTTGGCATGCAGTCATTCATGCAGACATTGTAATGTGATTCCAAATAATGATAAAGAGAGGAGGATCCAAAACTATTTGAATAACATAAACTTTGATGAGATCCAAATCATAATGAACGTGATACAATGACCCCTGTAGTAGGAGTGGTTAAAAACAAAGTCATGGGTATCACAAAACCATGATCAGATTACTGAATAATTAAGCTTACATAATGTTTATTTTCAGAAAGGGGGCTTGCTTACTGTATACACCTAAAAAGTAATACAAATTTAAATGCAATAACTTTTAAAGGGACAATAACACTCTTGCTGGCTTGAAAGCTCCAGAAAATGAATAATATCTCTATCTAAGTACTAGATGTTTAAGTGTCCTACCTGTTGTGTAAATTATCCATTACATCCTATTTTACTTGTCCAGAGGGTTCGAAAATATTTTGTAAATCGAAGTTTCATTTGAAAAGGTTTACGTTAGACGTTGCAAACCATTATGTTGAATTTTTCAAAATTTTTAAATAAGGTGTGTTAAGATGAAATTTGTATCATCAATTAATTCAAATATTCTAAAATAGTACAATTTGTTGACCGGAATAAAGATTGGGGCATATTATTCATTTACAACAAGAGTGGTATTGAGCCTTTAATGATTGTTGAGATCAAGTTGCTGCTGTGGGTGTATGTTACATGTACATGCACATGCATGTATGTGTAGATTCTTAGAAAATCTGTGGGAGTATAGCTCCTTAGAAAACCGGATTAGAAAATCCTAATTTTTGGAGTGGTCAAGTTGAAACATACATTATGCAAGAGCTAAATCTGCCTATTGCAGGTCTTTCTTTAGGCCTGAAATGTTATATAAACTATTAAACATACATTATGCAAGAGCTAAATCTGCCTATTGCAGGTCTTTCTTTAGGCCTGAAATGTTACACATACATTGTAGTAAATTTATTTCTTTCTCGTTTAAATAGATCAGGAAATAATGAAGCAGTTAGAAAAAGAGAGAGTTTTAGTGTTTACACCATCGAGACGAGTAGCTGGAAGACGAATTGTATGTTATGATGATAGATATATTCTCGATGTAGCCCATTCTAATAATGGCATTGTAGTTTCTAATGATAATTATCGCGATTTATATAATGAGAAACCTCAGTATAAAAAAGTGGCAGAGGAGCAGCTTCTACAATATGTCTTCGTGGATGATCAGTAAGTATATCAACATTAAATATTTGGGTAAGGTTATGGTAACAAATGTCGCATTTCGCATCCAGAAAGAGGAAATCGGCCACGTAGATCTGTCACAGGGCTGCTGTCAGAACAAAGTATTGTGTACTGGTTACAAGCTGCAGATAGTTGTGCAGTTAATAATGTACTCAATAAATAAAAGATAGGTTGCCAGGCAACGAAACATACGCCCACAGCAGCTAAGTCGTCCAAACAGTCAACAAGAGTTGTCGCATATTTTTCTATTCTGATTAAGAGTAACAACTCATTAGGTAATTATCAGAAAGTCATTAGAAATTGTTTGGCTTTTAGTTCTGCCCCATGCTAACGTTTAGTATACGAAACATTTAATATCATGGATTTAGCTGTTCAAGTTATCAAAATTCATTGAAAATCAATATACTTGTTCGTCTCAAAACCTAAACTCTGTTTATCAATCTAAAGTCAATCGGATCATAACTTTGGTCTCTAGAGCATCCATATAATTTTTCAAAGTGATCAAGGGCCATAACTGTAGCAGTAATCATCGGAAATTGTTGAAAATCACTGGGCTTCTTCGTCTCACGACCTTAAACACTGTGTATAAACTTAAAGTCAATCAGATATTAACTTTAGCTTCTAGAGCGTCAACAAGATATTTCAAAGTGATCAAGGGCCATTACTCTGGCAGTAAATATCGGAAATCGCTGAAAATCAATAGGATTCTTCGTTTAATGACCTTAAACACTGTGTATAAATTTTAAGTCAATCAGATATTAACTTCAGCCTCCCGAGTGTCCACAAGATTTTTCAAAGTGATCAAGGGCCATAACTCTGGTAGTAATTATCACAAATCATTGAAATCAATGGGCTTCTATGTCTCACGACCTTAAACACTGTGTATCAATCTGAAATCAATCGGATATTAACATCAGCCTCTAGATCGTCCTCAAGATTTTTCAAAGTGATCAAGGGCCATAACTCTGGCAGTAATTATCGGAAATCGCTGAAAATCAATAGGATTCTTCAGCTCATGACCTTAAACACTATGTATAAATTTAAAGTCAATCGGATATTAACTTTAGCCTCATTTGGATGTGGACGCCAGACCGACGGACGAAAAGATGGATGGGGGCAACGAAAATATACGACGACATTTCTATGTGGGCGTATAAAAAGCATTGTTTTGTAGATTTTAAACTGAGTACATTAGTAACAGCACAACTATCTGCAGGACACAATATTGTCTACCAGAACTGTGGCCTAACCCAATTATCCTATAAATTAGTTGGAAAATTACCACTTGGATTAGAGAAATGAGCAGAAAAATTGAGCATATTGGGTACATGATTTTACAGGTGAAATGAAGTGAAAATGAAATGAAATGGGGTTTAAGGTCCTACTATTCTGCTCTGAACTGGACTAATCAAGACAGGCATACCCCATAAAGGGTGCTATGAGGCAAATTTTGCCCGGACAGCGGCACTATTGCTACTCTTATATCTAATTCCAACTGTCAAGGGATCTTTTACGTGCACGCCAATGTGTACATGGGACCTTGGTTATTCGTTCCATCCGAACGACTAGACAGCTGTCCTTGTCAGACCCTCTGTCCTGCATCACTGACAAGGGGGAACTACACCCGAAAATCTGGATGAACTTTCTCAGCCAATGCAGCGATCGAACACCCGACTTCCATGATTTGAAAGGAGATTGTGTATTTGTCTCAAGATGAACCTGGATGAACTAAAGACAGAAAATGATAAAGCCTACTTAAAGTGCTAAGTGTTATCCTTAATTAAAAAAATGTGTTCATGATGCCATCATTACTACCAAAGATTGTGTTCGGGACTCCATTATTACTACCAGACTTTTCAATATGGCTTCCATCTTCATGCTCTTAGTAAATCAGCCCTTTCAAATTACGATTCTGCCAGTGTGGCATTTGAAGTCGAGTCTCTTCAAATGTTGCACGGGGGGTTGGATGACCGAATGGTTAGTGCATGTGCGTTGTATCATAAGGTCTGTCATTGAGTCAACTGCCATGGTTTTTCGATATCCCCGGTTATACGTGACAAAGAGTATGGTCGCCTGTCCAACCTCATAGATTTTCCGGGTCCTCTGGTTTCCTCCCACTGCTAAAGGCCCCTACACGCAAGTGAATTATTGAAATAAAATTTAACCATATGTTAGTCCCAAAATGACCTAGTTTGTGTTAAGTGGACATTAAAGAGAGAGAGAGAGAAATGGGGTTTAACGTCCTCTCGACACAAACTAGGTCATTTCGGGACTAACATATGGTTTAATTTTATTTACATAATTCGCTTGCACGTAGGGGTCTTTAGCAGTGGGAGGAAACCGGACGACATTAAAGCATGTTTCCCTTTCTCTCATGCTCTTAGTAAATCGGCCCTTTCAAATTATAATTCTGCCAGTGTGGCATTTGAAGTCCGGTCTCTTCAAAGGTTGTACAAATTGATTCTATATATAGTATACATGGTAGCTGCAAGCTGTCAGCAGAAAGTTGTCTGTTAATGCATATTTAAATGCTCCGAGAAAGTTCATCCCGATTTTCTAGCGTGGTTCCCCCTTGTCAGTGATGCAGAACGGAGGGCCTGACAAGGACAGCTGTCTAGTCCTTCGGATGAGACGAAAAACCGAGGTCCCGTGTAAACATTGGAATGCACGTAAAAGATCCCTTGGCAGTTGGAATTCGATATAAGAGTAGGCGATGGTGCCGCTGCCTGGTCAAAATTTCCCTCATAGCACACTGTATGGCGTATGCCCGTCTTCATTAGCCCAGTATAGGAGCAGAACAGTAGGACGTTAAACCCCATTTCATTTCATTTCATTTCATTTAAATGCTTATTTTTAGATTTATGCCACCAGAAGATCCGTTGGGTAAACATGGACCTACTTTAGACAACTTTCTAAGAATTACACCAATTGTGAGTGAACCTTCTCAACCCTGTCCTTATGGCAAAAAGTGTACTTATGGCAACAAATGTCGCTTTTCACATCCAGAAAGAGGAAATCGGCCACATAGATCTGTGACAGAGCTGCTGTCGGAACAAAGTAGTCAGAAACTGAAAGATAGAGCTGTTAAAATGGAAGGTACGTGTAATGCTATTATTATAAAATGTTGGGTACATGTACGTCACATTAAACAATGACAGATTTAATACGATCTGATGTGGTCTCTGATCCAATCAGACACCGGTAAACATTCTTTAATTCCTGTTCATTTTTATTAATCAAGTCTTTGTCACACAACGACTCTCCTTGTGTTCCACAATGAGAACAATAACTTTGATTCTAATTGAGTGAGAGTGATCAAACTCAGTGTATTGTTTCATAACATCAATAATACCTTGACTGAGATTGGTGATGAGAATTTGTTCTGAGGCTAAATAGCAATATGCTATTTGATTGTCAAGACTTTGAAACAAAATAACTCCTTCAATTAAATTTTTATTGTACTCTGACATTCATGAGTCAATATTTTTATACGCCCACATTTTCACGTGGACGTATATTGTCGTCGCCCCCATCCATCCGTCTGTCCACAATTGTTTGTGAACACTCTAGAGGTAACAATTTTTATCCGATTTCAACGAAACTTGAAATATAGGTTTTTCATCCTAAGATTTCGGCCCTTGATTTTACGAAAAATCACTTCTTTTTTTGAGCTTGTTCTCTGTCCATCTCTTGCAAAATGTGGGTGTATCTTGCCTGGCAACCGCTTGTTGTTCTAATTACTGATGGACTACAATTGTCTGACTACAGTAAATGCTTCACATTAATAACATAGTTCCCAATCTGATTAAAACACAGATCCTATTTTGTTTCGTTTTTTATTGTTTAAAATTTCATTTTATTTGTCTGTACTACATTGATTTTATTTGAATGAATTCTCCAACCATGCATATTTGTATGGTTAACGTTTTTCAACACAGACTAGGAAATTTTTTTATGTTTTTCAGAGAAGAAAAAGAAGGAAATTATACGAAAGAAACAGAGTTTAAGGAGAACACAGTCTATGTTTCCAGAAGAACATGCCAGTATTGAAAGGAAAGTCTCATTACCAAATCCAGGAATTGAGGAGAATCAAACATATACACAGCCAGGTTCTATTGCGGCAGAAACTAATATCAATCATATACTTAATTACCATCGTGGAATGTTAGAAAGTGCGGAACGTAAATCGAGGGATGCAAGTCCTGTACCTAAAGTAGCTGTTCAACCAGCACCACCACAAACTTATAATGACAATATTTGTATTGGGAGTGAGGGTGGTTATGTACGTGAGTTAGAATCGGTAACAGCCACCTTACCACCTCCAACGTTAACACAGGCCAATAATAATAACACTGAACAACCTCTACCTGATCATCTTATACTGGCTAAAAAACTGTCGGATGACGCACAAGACAGACCAACAAAATTTTTTGATTCTCCAGTATCAAGCACTCAATGGCCGAGAAATACTGAAGATCATTCAAGACTTAGCCAAGAACAAATACACATTTCTCAATATGGCTATCCTGGATCAGGCATGCCACCGAGTGAGTTTGGCACATGTTACTCCGGCCCTGCCTCAGTAATGAGACAAGATCCGGTGATGAGTAATTATGAAGATCAGTGCAAAAGTTATCCTTTTAGTCATTTGGCCAACCGATGGACAGGTAACCAGTTGACTCAAGCCGAACATCTAGCCCTGACTATGAAACACAGTTGTCCTGAACATGTACAGCAACCAGCAGCAGCAGGACAAGGTGCTGGTAATATCATGATGCGACAAAACAGTACATCAGATCCACAGCTGAGCAGTAGAGGGAAAGGAGACAGTTTATCAAGTCGTGGTGCTTCAAGTATGATGTATAGAACGCATGGTAGTAACCCACCAGTATCTATAAACCGTTCTACATCAATACATGGTTCATCATTACCACAACAACATGTTCAGTTTAACAGACAAACCAGTGAACTACCCTACTCATTAAACCAATATTATACACCAACCCAATATACACAACAACACCCAGCCCAATATACGCAGCAACAACAGCACCTGGCCCAATATACACAACAGCAACAACAGCACCCACCTCAATATACACAGCAACATCAGCACCCAGGCCAATATACACAGCAACACCCGAACCCAGGCCAGTATACACAGCAACAACAGCACCCAGGCCAATATACACAGCAACACCAGCACCCAGGCCAGTATACACAACAACAACAGCACCCAGGCCAGTATACACATGCAGAATGGTCCTCAATTCCTTATAATTGTATAAATTCTCCTGTACCAATGGGACAAATGCAGCCTGTTTGGTCACCAAATCAAGTAATGCCTCAACAACAACTGATTCCACAGTACGTTGGCAGCTATCAAGCATCTCTGCAACCTCCCAATCAGCCATCAAATCCCATACCTGCCACTGCAGATATTAAACCTACTGATTCAAGATATTCAATATTCTATCATCTACAAAGTTTATTTGATGAGAAAAAGGTAAAGGCAGCTATGAATGCACATCCCAATGAAACCAATCCAAATGTGTTAGTCAAATACATAGTTGACCTTCAGTAAGGCCAGGTTCCCACTGTCGTGCGATGTGTTACGATAGGATTGTCCACGATCTGTTATTTTAGGATATGTTTCGATATGATCAACATGACTGCTGCGACTTACCTCAGTATATGATAAGATCTGATAGGATCACCACGATTAAAACCACGATTTCAATTGTAGTACGAATCGTGATAGTGGAAACCTAGCATTCAATAACTTTATACAGTGTACATGTAGTTAGTTATTTAACGCCTGTCGACCAAGTAAATTTCTCAGCTGGTCAATATCATTGTAATTCATTAGTTATACAGACAGGTGATATACCTGTAGAAGTACCTGAAGAGTCCAGGGGAAGAACGATCTAAGTCACATTTTTGTCTTTTCGCATAAAAGGCAAAACAGACTTTTGGACGAGAATGCTTGACGCGAACAGAACAAGTGGGTTTAATTACAACTTCAAAATGATGTTTAATACGAATCATAATATAATTACCAGTACAACAACTGACTTGCACTTTTCAGCCAAATTAGGGTCAAATAAATACGATTGACTTGTATTTGTCCAGGAGGCCATTTCAGAATGGCCTTGGTTCGATGTGACTCCAATCGTTGTTACCTGAAATCGATTGTTCCAAAAAAAGCTTATACAATTTGCGACCAGATGGCACCATTAACTGGGGTTTGTTAAAAAGTGACTTAGATCATTCTTCCCTAGGGCTCTTCACCTGTTTACAACAGGTGTTAACTTCTCTTTTATCATAACCTATTAAAGCATTATGTGATTTGTAAAAAAACAAACTATAGAAGCATGAAGCTATGATTTACATTCTTAATTGTGGCAAATGAATATTAGCTTTATTTTATTAAGTAAAATAGTGATTTATTTTAAAATTTTAATTTAGAATTGAGAGAATTATTTTGAGTGAAATGCAGTGTATAGATTGTACACTAGATTAGGTATTTTGTTATAAAATTTTGTTTATAATTTTACTGACATATCATTCAACAGGATGTTGTCAGTAATATTATCAAGAGATGCTTTTAAAATTTCGATTAATTTGGTAAGATGACATTATGCATGAGTTATTGGAATTTTACTACTGTGTAGATTACAAAACATTATGTATTTAAAGGACAGTATTGGTGTCAGTTATTATCACATATGTGATAGAACTGGTTTAGATGCGTAATCAAAGTTTCAACAAACGGAAATGACGAACGCAAAAGGAAAACACAAGTTATCCTTCTATATAACTGACTGAAGTGACGAGTGATAACAGATACACAAGCGAATTTCTGCTCACTAATAAAACAAGTGAATGCACAGACTATTTCTATTTTTCTTGTGTTCTCTTATCTAGTGACATTCAATTACTTTTTGAATTGTCAGATATCCTCCCACAGTCTAACATAACAACTTTTGGTCTTCGAAGGAATGGTTAGTGAGCAGAAATTCGCTTGTGTATCTGTTATCACTCGTCACTTCAGTCAGTTATATAGAAGGATAACTCTTGTTTTCCTTTTGTGTTCGTCACTTCTTTTGTAGAAACTTTGATTACGCATCTATCGTAGTAATGGTCTCTGTGTTAAAATTATATTTGGAACGTGTTTAATGATTTCTATCACATATGTGATAATGACTGACACCAATGTTGTCCTTTAATCTGAAGTTGTTGAATAGGAGTAAGAGTAGTAGATCTGTGTAGCTGCTGGATCAAACGATGATGCCGGTGGAAAGAGTCGACATTAACAGATATTTAAAAATCATTTTTAAATATCTAAGTTGTTGAATATGTACATATATTATAATATTAAGTGCAGGGGGACTGCACCACACACAATCAATTAAGAACTAAGTTGAAAGGGATCACTGTGTTTGGACCTTTCCCACTATTCCTTGTGGTAATGACGTGTGTTAACTGATCTAATTAATCAACGACACACGTACATTGACCGTTGACTTGATGTTTTGTCATCAGTACGGTGACGTTTATCAGTACCTCGATTTGAGGCCATATTGTTTTTGTTTACATAAGGAGTGTATATAACATGATATTTTTGTATACTAAATCACCCAGTAACAGGTATCATATATTTATATAAATATACCTAAAGTTTTTAAATTCTGTACAAATTATAATTTTGTAATGCATGGGATGTAAATTAACAATATCGATCCTAGAGATAAGTTCACTCTTTATCTCTGGTAAAACTCGCCAGCCATACATCGGCAATTTTGAATGTCATGTGATGTATCCTTCCGCCCAAGATGGCGACTCAGTCTTGCGTTTCTTCAGAAATTTTATGTATTTGGCTGAATCACTCAGATTGTGCACTAAAAATAGTTCCCGTAAGTCATGCAATGAATCAATTCCTAGAAATCGGCAGCATTTCATTCTAACAAATCCTGCCAACCACTGGAGGCGGAGCTTAGGAACTGATTTCATGCTGATTAATGGCTGGCGAGGGTAAAGTTTTCTCTGGAATCAAGATTGGTAAATTGATTGAACTTTGTTTTAAACAGTTGGTTGACAGTAACAAGCTGGAAAATAGCCAATTGTTGAACATTTGGAGTACAGTGGTGTAAATTGTGTTTTTGACCAACACTGGTTTATAGGATATTTATTTGTGTTAAATGGATTCCATAGAATGACGTTGAAAACATTCTGTATTTTTTTTCATCAAAATATTCCTTTTAACTGTTTTGTAAAGATTTGAATTGTTTGCAAGAATTTGTATTCAAATTCAAAATTAGACACATCAATTGATATGAAAAACTATAACATGTTGTAATGAGACATGTATAGTTTAGTCAAGGCCTTGATTGATCTCTGGTTAAGCCAGATTTTGAAAATTGTTTGTTTGCTGTAAATTAGACCATTTGACAAATTACTCTAATTATTGCCTTAATCAAGCTGATTAAAACACTACACTAGGATCTGGAAGAGTTTTTATAAAACCAGCATTCTGGATGATGTGAGAGATTAGCCAATGAAACGAGTTCTTGGGTCATAGGGTCAAAAGCCGCTTGCATGACCACTGATGTGATCTTTCACTATAACTGGTTAGATCTTCATGTAGTGTGAGCCAGAAGTAAACTTTTAAGTAACATGTATTCCATATAATTGTGTCATGTGTTACTTTGATTTATAGCAATGGATCAAGCACAATGCTATAGTGGAACACACTGTTGGTTATATCTTACCCTGGGCTTTCCTGGGCTTTATCAACTATAGAAATAATAAAACTTTACCTCTCCAAGTACACATTGTTATCCCTGAAAATAATAAAATGAACACAATGAATTCAACAATTTTATTATTGACCCAATTCAAATGGGGGGTTGGATGGCCGAATGGTTAGCATGTGCGTGCTGTATCATAAGACCTGTCATTGAGGCAACTGGTGTGGTTTCGAATCCCCGGTTGTACGTGACAAGAAGTAGAGTCATCCGGTTTTCTCCCACTGCTAAAGACCCCTACGCACAAGCGAATTATTGAAATAGAATTAAACCATATGTTAGTCCCGAAATGACCTAGTCGAGTGGATGTTAAACCCCATTTCTCTCTCTCTCCCAATTCAAATAGGACAAGCCATTCTAAGTTACCAATCCATGACTAATTGAGTAATTTATCCTAGTTTTTTTTCCTTCTGTGATTCACGTCTTCATTAGCCCAGTATGGGAGCAGAACAGTAGGACATTAAACCCCATTTCATTTCTTCTGTGATTCTCAGTTGAAATTTGAAGGTCTTTGTATCATATTGTTTTTAGAGATGAATCAGTAGTCCTGATTACTGCAAACACAGAATTTTTAAAAGTCTGGCCAAGTGTATATATAATATATATATAATTTAAAAGATTATATAATATTATAACTGTATCATACTATGTATGCTTATTGTGTAAATATTGCTTTAACATGTTTAATGTTTAGTTAGTTTTAATATATTAATCCTGTGTGAATAGTTTGAACATGAATATACTGATAGTCTAATTTACTTATTAACATTAATCAAATATTAAACATACATTATGGGAGATTAGATAAAGAACTGGCAGTTCTCACTATAAGAGTTAAAAACTAGATAATGTAATGGGAATTTGCTGAAAATTTCAGTCAAATTGATCTCTTCTGAATCGAGTATTTAGCGTTTGAACTTGGGGCCTAGCCTCGATCATCAGATCATCATTATTAAAGTCGGTACGATAAAAAACATAGTCTCGATTATCTATTTTTTTATTTAATCAGAAGCAGCAGACCGGGTTCTAATCCAGTAAATATCGCAGAGTAGCGATGCCATCGAGAGTTGGTTATGGTCTGGATAAGTTAATTAATGTCTAATTAATAATTTAGATAACATTTCAGGCCCAAAGGAAGACCAGCAATATTCAGATTTATCTCTTGCATAATGTATATTTAAGTAAATAATAATTGGTTGTCATTAAGATATATACCTAAGCTATATTTATAACCTAGTACATCCGGATGGTTTTATTTTATATTTATAAGCTAATGGTACTTGGAAATTCTTTCCTACTTTCCTAGAATATAATAATGTATTATGAATGTATATAAACTGATTTGCATTCAATCGTTTAATCTCTAATTTCAAATCAGTTATGTTCCGCGAAATACGCCAGAAGTACATGAACCTTTCTTTGTATTCATTGAAGCCAGTAAATAGTTGTGTTTACAATATAACATTCTTCACAACTGCACAATATATCCACTTGTATTTCTACACTTATTATTATTGTTTGTTAGAAAGATCCTGTTTAAGGTATTTTATGGGTTATCTCAACAAGGATGTGATTTTGTCACAACCCAGTAATAGGGTTTGCTCTTATTACTTTAAATATAAATCTTACTACTTTTTTTTGTTAATTGAAACAGTTGTTTTGATCAGTGCTACTGACTAGAAGATCTCTTAGAAAATTATTCTTTTGTATTATACAAACTAATACAGTAACATCATCTTTCAAAGATTTTGGATCAAGGATTCAAGATACACAACAAATTTCTAGTTTTTATGAAAAGTTATAAGGATCAAATAAATAAATAAATAATCTGGATGAAATTGATTTAATATATTCAAGTAACTTTTGATAATAATATAGTCAGTTTATTTAACCTTTATTTAAAAACACAATTAAATTTTTGATTTAATATTTTGATGTGGGGCCTAACTTTTGGTAATAATGTTTGTTTATTTATCTATATTTAAAAACACACTTAAATTTTTGTAGATTTACTGTAATAGAAAGAATATTGCAAGAATGTGTAATTTAAAATGTACTTTCTAGATTCACTTATATGAAGTATAAATGATTGATATTATATATATTAGTGTTTGTGTTTCTATCATATTAATCATATTAATCACTCCAAACAATTTTTTGTTGTTTTTTTTTTGCTTTTTTTTGTGGTGTGCGGGGCCACGGTGGCTAAGTGGGCAATCTGCTGGTGGTTGGTTGTTCGATCCCTGCATTGGCCAAGAAAGTTCATCCAGATTTTCCAGTGTGGTTCTCCCATGGCATTGATGTGCAGGAATGGTGTGCCTGACAAGGACAGCTGTCTAGTCGTTCGGATGGGATGTAAAACCGAGGTCCTGTGTACACATTGGCATGCACATAAAAGATCACTTGGCAGTTGGAATTCGATATAAGAGTAGGCCGTAGTGCCATTGTCGGGACAAAATTTCCCTCATAGCACATTGTATAGCATATGCCCTCTTCATTAGCCCAGTTCGGAGCAGAACAGTAGAACTTAAACTCCATTTCATTTCCAAACAACTTTGTACTTTTATACACCCACATTTAAATGTGGTCGTGTATTACTGTCACCCCTACTTTGTTTCGAATAGGGGGGACGGGTGGCCGAAGGGTTAACGTGTGTGCGTTTGATCATAAGGTCTGTCATTGAGTCAAGTTGCGTGGTTTCGAATCCCCGCTTGTACGTGACAAGGAGTAGGATCACCTGTCTCACCTCATGGGTTTTCTCTGGGTCCTCTGGTTTCCTCCCACTGCTAAAAAATGCCTACACGCTAGCTAATAATAAAAATAAAATTGAACCATGTTAGTCCCCAAATGACCTAGTATGTAATACGAAGGTTGTAGACCCTCTAGAGGTCACAGTTTTTGACAGATTTTGATGAAACTTAAAATAGATCTTTATATCCCAAAGATCACAGTCCCTTTCAATACTCGCACAATTCAGACCATAACTTCCTGGATTATGGCCCCTGATTGTACGAAAAATCGCGTTTTTGTTGTAGCTTGTACTCTATCCATCTCTTGCAAAATGTGGGCGTATCTTCCCTGGCAACCACTAGTTTGATAATTTGTTACCTACCATATCGTAATCTGAATAGGCTAATATTTATTATTACCAGAAAAAAAACCAAAAAAACTAATCAAACAAGAGCACACCTACTCGATATTTTTCATATTTAATTCCTGGTTGTTTTCAAACGCAAATCTATTTCTCGATCCGTATGCCCTGTCACAAAGACATTGCAGACTTCCGTGTTTTAAAGGTTACTAACAGGTTGTTGTTGTTTATTACAAATTTAACATTACAAATTTAACATCCAATACATACAGTAATATACAATATTATGGACAGGTTGATTTAATTAAGTTATTTACATATGAAAGAGTAATATATAGAAAATGGATAAAAACACTAAAAATAAAAAAAAGTTTTTTTATTTTATATCTATAAAATTCACTTTAAAGGAGCTAAATCGCTAATATTTGGGACCTTATTAGAAGTTGACACAAATAGGTCGCAACGCATATAATAATGTAATATGAATGTATATAAACTGATTTACATTCAATCGTTTCCGATGCCGTCTAGAGTTGATTATGGTCTGGATAGGTTAATTAATGTGTAATTAATGATTTAGATAACATTTCAGGCCTAAAGAAAGACCTGCAATAGACAGATTTAGCTCTTGTATAATGTATGTTTAATAATTTATATATTATTATATACATAATGCATCGTTACGACGAAATATTTATTTCTGACATAAGGTGATCCAAAATTAGAAATCAATAAGGCATGAACAGGACACAAATCTAAAGAAAATTAGATTAACGAAAACTTAAGAGTGTCCTAGAGCATGGGTTTAATAAGGATATATCAATAACATTAAGAAATGACTGATATGCGGGTACAATCAAGATCAAACGAATAATAAGGTAAACACGGGTTTGATAATAAAAGTAAATATTAATCTACTGGTACGAGATGGTCACGTTACAACCGCGGAAGCAGGATTTATATTAAGGCTATTTGTCTACATTGGCCTCCAGTCAATCGAAATGATATTTTACTAATTTGGTCGGGTTTTGTCTCTTTTTTATACGCCCACATTTTCATGTGGATGTATATTGTATATTGTCGCCCCTGTCCGTCCGTCCGTCCGTCCGTCCACAATTTGTTTGTGGACACTCTACAGGTCACAATTTGTATCCGATTTTGTTGAAACTTGAAATGTAAGTTTATAACCCAAAGATCTCAATTCTTTTCCATATTCGCGCATATCGGACCGTAACTTCCTGAATTATGGCATCTGATTGTACGAAAAATCGCGTTTTTAGCTTGTGGACAGGTCATAATTTTTATCCGATTTAAAAAAAAAATCGTTTGAATAGATCACCGTTACACCCTAAGGTTGGTTGAGTTCGAATTTCGTAAAAATCGGACCCAAACTGACAGACAAAATGGCCGCCCCTCGTACTCAAATAACGTACAAATATGGTATATCAAGTTTGTGTACCCAATCACCTATAGAGGTCACAATTTTAATCCTATTTTGATGAAACTTGAAATGTAAGTTTATAACCCGAAGATCTTGGTTCCTTTCGATATTCGCACATATCGGATCGTAACTTCCTGAATTATGGCCCCTAATTGTACGAAAAATCCGTTTTTAGCTTCAGCTAGAGGTCACAATTATGCTCAAATATATCACCGTTATACCGTAATTTTGAATAAGTTCGATTTTCGTGAAAATCGGACTAAAACTGCGTATCGGATCATAACTTCCTGAATTATGGCCCCTGATTGTACGAAAAATCGCGTTTTTAGCTTGTGATTCCTCTAGAGGTCACAATTATTATCCGATTAAAAAAAAACGACCGAATATATCACCGTTACACCGTAATTTTGATTGAGTTCGGATTTTAAAAAAAATGTTTAAATATATCACCATTCCACCATAATTAAGTTTAAATTCAAAATTTCGGGAAAATCGAAAGAAACTGCCCGACAAAATGTTCACTCTTTGTACGAATATAGTGTAAAAGTATGCAATACGAAGGTTGTGGACTCTCTAGAGGTCACAATTTTTATCCGATTTTGATGAAACTTAAAACATTTCCCAAAGATCTCAGTCTCTTTTGATATTTGCGCGCATTTCAGATCATAACTTTCTGGATTATTGCCCCTGATTGTGTAAAAAATCCTGTTTGTTTTTAGCTTGATCTCTGTCCATCTCTTCCAAAATGTGGGCGTATCCTGCCTAGCAGCCGCTGGTTACTGGAAAACAGAGGTTCCGTGTACTCATTGGCGTGCAGTAAAAAAAACCCTTGATAGTTGGAGAGAGAGAGAGAAATGGGGTTTAACGTCCACTCGACACAAACTAGGTCATTTCGGGACTAACATATGGTTTAATTTTATTTCTATAATTGGCTTGCGCGTAGGGGTCTTTAGCAGTGGGAGGAAACCGGAGGACTCGGAGAAAACCCACGAGGTTGGACCCTACTCTTTGTCATGTACAACTGGGGAATCGAAACCACGCTAGTTGACTCAATGAGAAAACCCACGAGGTTGGACAGGCGACCCTACTCCTTGTCACGTACAACCGGGGATTCGAAACCACGCCAGTTGACTCAATGACAGACTTTATGATACAGCGCGCGCACGCTAACCATTAAGCCCCCCCCCTCCCCTTGATAGTTGGAATTCGAAATAAGAGCAGGCTGTAAAGCCGCTGTCTGGGCAAAATTAATCTCATCGCAAACTACATGGCGTATCAGGGAGAGAGAGATGGGATATAACGTCCACTGGACACAAACTAGGTCATTACAGGACTAACATACGGTTCAATTTTATTTCAATAACTTGCTTGCGCATAGGGGTCTTCAGCAGTGGAAGGAAACCGAAAGACCCGTAGAAAACCCACAAGGTTGGACAGTCGACCCTACTCCCCCCCCCCCCCCCGTATGCCCGTTTTCATTATCACGGATGGATCAGAAAAGTGGGAGGTGTTCAGCCCCATTTAATTTTCAATATACAATTATTATTAAACATGCATTATGCAAGAGCTAAATCTGCCTATTGCAGGTCTTTCTTTAGGCCTGAAATGTTTTCTAATTAGACATTAATTAACTGATCCAGGCCTTAATCAACCCTCGATGGCATCAGATTTCTCCCATATTAAATAGATTAGAATGGTTTTCAAATTATTCATTTCACATGTACATCATCTACTTTCGAACTATTATAGCAAGAATGGCTAGCACTTTATCTAAATCTTACATAATATAACTATTTTAATAAACATTGTTTTATTTTGTTCCTAAATGATATCTTTCTCTTAACTTTAATATACAAATAATCATTCAAATAAAAATTTAACAAGATAAAAATATTGCACTTTATATGAAATATGATAACATGATTAACGAAGAGATAATTTATTTAGATCGAATCGTCTGTGGACACGCCTTTTACACAACAACAAAACAAAGAGGAACTTTTAGCAGATATTGACGGAGTCTTTTCTTTTGACGCTTTTGTTGCATTTTCTTGTCCTGAAAAAAAAAATAATCAAGATCAAGTGACGATCCTCGAAAGAAAATAATTATCTAAAATAAACACAGTACGTACGTTCGATCACATTTCTTAACGAATTGCCCGCTCTCAGGCCCGTAACTAGGTGGTGGTGTGGGGGGGGGGGGGTGTTCAAAGTCCCCCGCTGCAAAATGTTTCGCCCCCCAACCCTGTGTAAAAATTTTCGACCATAAAAAATAGATATACATTGTCCGTCAATGTTACAGCACCCCTGAGAACACTTCCCACCCCCCACCCCACCCCCCCCGTTGCTCTGAGCTAGCTACGGCCCTCGCCGCTCTTAAAACATACTCTTATAGAAAATTTCTGGGGAAAAGATCATGGAGATAAAGTAAATAGGGGAAATAATCTACGAAAATGTCATCATGGACCCACGGGCTACAGATTTATTGGAATATTTTTATCAGATGATTTTGACATGTTGGGCACTTTGTGATTGTAAAAGGGCCTGGAGGTCGCGGATTCGCTCCCGGTTTTAGCCAAGAAAGTTCGTCGTTATTTTCCGGCATGGTTTCCACCTGTCAGTGGTGCAGGACATTAGCGTGCACCAAAAGACCCCTGGGCGTATGCCCGTCTTCATTAGCCCAGTCGGAGCAGAACAGTAGGACGTTAAACCCAATTTCATTTCATTTCATTTTTGTGATTATAAAAGATTGAGATTACCGGAATGTTATGGACCAAGTACTTTTAACATTGAAGTCAATTGGGAGCGACTTCGTATATGTATATATATAAATTGTTGATTATCTACCTTTATCAGAATTTTCACTCGTCATTACTTCACACGTGGTTTGTTTTGTTTCTTTGCTTCCTTTTCTCCAGAACTTTAATCTCTGTAATAGAATTACCAAAAGGTTTGACGTCCATGTATATCAGGGACCGTACACAAATTTTTGTCAAAAATTTTATAATTTTATGAATGTTTCTAGTGCAGTTTTCTGATTTTTATGATATTTTTCAATCAAATTCTATGATTATTTTATGGAGTTTTTTTAAACCAAATTTTATGATATTTTTATAATGTTTTTACCACATTTCATGACTCCATATTATAAGAATTTTATGAGAAATGGCGAAATTTTATAAAAATATAAATATTTTTATATTGTACGGTCCTGGGGGCCACAGTGCCTAAGTGGGCAAGACGCTGGCTCGCTAGTCTGGAGGTCGGGTGTTCGATCCCTGCATTGGCTGAGAAAGTTCATCCAGATTTTCCGGCGTGGTCACCCCTTGTCAGTGATGCAGGACGGAGGGCCTGACAAGGACAGCTGTCTAGCCATTCGGATGAGACGAAAAACCGAGGTCCCGTGTACATATGGGCGTGCACGTAAAAGATCCCTTGACAGTTGGAATTCGATATAAGAGTAGGCCGTAGTGCCGCTGTCCGGGCAAAATTTCCCTCATCGCACACTGTATGGCGTATGCTCGTCTTCATTAGCCCAGTACGGAGCAGAACAGTAGGACGTTAAACCCCATTTCATTTCATTTCTGCGTACGGCCCTTGTATTCTAAACCATTGCCTTCAATACACTAGAAAACAAAGGAAATGTATTATGGATTAACTTACTGATAGAAAACTTCGTTTCTTCCTCCTGGTAACTTGACCAACATCTACTTCATCTGTATCAACTTTACAGATCTCATCACAAGTACCATGATGATCACATGACTCTGTCTGGATTTCCATCATCTGTTCTCCTTCTTTGGTGAATTTTTCATTGTGTTCTTGTTTTATATCCTCGTAAAACGTGGTTTTCAGTTGAGGGTAGTAAACTCCTCCAACCCTTTTCAGGCTCTTTATACGAAGTTCTAATTCTTCCACTGTTATCGGATTTGTCTTGAAATCTTTTTGATCTTTTAGCTCTTCCTGCTTTATTGATGCAGTTTTTGGCGTTAAATCACAGCGGATATCATGTAAAGACCTGTTGTTATGAGGTAAACTTTGATTCCAATTATTTTCGGTTAAATCGCTTACTTTCGAAACCGGTTTCAAGAGCTGAATTGCTGTTTGAAGTTCCGCTAGAGAAACAATGGCGCCATCAGGAACATCGGAACGTCTGGGATAATTGGCTGCAATATTCCTTGTTGAATCTCGCGAACTAAGGAGTTCCGGTGCTGCCTTCCATGGCTGATATTCTTGTACATTAGAACTAAGGAGTTCTGGGGCTGCCTTCCATGGTTGGCAGTCTTCCACATTAGAACTGGTATCTCTGGGTATATTAACTGGTTTCAATCCCCGAATAACCCGGTGAAGTTCTTCCAGACTAATAAACTCACAATTTGGTGGTGAATTTTGAGATCTTGGAAGAGGTCTTCTCTGGCGTCTAACACTTAAAGGTGAACCAGGAGACTGGACAAGATGTGACTGGAACTTTGGACACTGGTTGGGATTTCTTACTTCATCGTTTTCCACCGCTGTTCTATAACTGTTGTGGATATAAGAATCGCCCATGGAATAATAATCTTTTCTGGATATGTTTTCATTATACATGGATGACGTCTGTTGATCTGCATTATCAAGACGATTCCTCAATCTCCTGGGATTATCGGACACCACCAACCGTCGAGAATCTGGTATAAAGAGAAAGGGGCTGATTAGGAAACAATCTTTAAGATTTTCTTGATAAACGATAAAAAGAAACAAATCTGACATACAATAACTAACCACATTGTCAATTGTTATAGGGAGAGAGAGAGAGAAATGGGTTTAACGTCCACTCGACACAAACACAATCGAAACCACGCATTGTATCGAGTGGACGTTATACTCTCTCTCTCTCTCTCTATCTCTCTCTCTCTCTCTCTCTCTCTCATTATTACCATTATTTAACATTCTTAAAGCTTACCATTATTTTACATTCTTAAAGCGTACAACTTCAACGACCAAATGCTCAAGCGCGCTTTACAAAATATTGTACAGAAATTAAATATACAAAAATTTAAGAAATGACAAACTTTTGGGGGCAGTCTAACCCGCCATGCAAACTTAACAAAATAAAAAAAAATATAAGGTACCTGTCCATTCGGCTAATTCGTTCATTACAGGAGCAAAATTGCTTCTGAATTCATGTAAATCCTGTAGATTATCCATTAGTCTACCTGTAATTGCAAGATAGAGAAGCTTAGGTCAATATTTTAGACTATGTCAGTCAGGCCGATAATAGTAAGGCCTTCGCACTTAGAGAGAAGTAGCATACACCGTCATAATATCAATGCAATCATGGGGAAATTTCGAATTGATAAATTAGAGCGAAATTTGACATGGATAAATTAGAGCGAAATTTGACATTATTAATTTTAAAAATTCACGGTGAGTTTCAGTTTAAGAAACGAAAAGATTCGCCCCATTGCAGGTCCGAGCTGCACCACTAAATGTTACATGTAATATTACATAATTCTATTTCCGAATTTCTCTGATTGACTAGTAAGTACATAATATCGATTGTGAAATTTAACCTAGTTTAGTTACCGATAGGGTGGGGGCAATAAGCAAGTACCAGAGAAGCATCCAACCAAAACTTTAACCTCTAAGTCAGATTCTCAGAATGAGTGTTCACTTACCTGTGTGGAACTTGAATTTTTCAAGAAAACTGTGAATTCGTTGATAAAGTTACTTTTTTTTTTCTAAATAAGAGCAAACTATGCGGCCTTCCACTAGAAATACCATTAGAAAACTGAAGGACGTGACGTTATTTGATTGTGTGACGTTATCAGATTATGTACGTCACAATGCCCAATCTTGAGATTTCGGCATACACCGCGCTCATTATTTTAAGAACTGTTTTGACTATAGATATCTTTTATCCACTATTTGAATTATAATATTTATAATAATAATATAGTCACATTCATTTAATTTATTTAAACAAGCTTTTAACTGACTCTGTACACAACTTTTTACATGTCCATAATTTTGTTGTTTGTAAAGTACCTCTGAACACCCGATGTAAAAGGAAATGAAATGAAATGGGGTTTAACGCCCTACTGTTCTGCTCCTATACTGGGCTAATGAAGACGGGCCGATGTGAAAGGACGCGCTATGTTGTCACAATAAAAGTCAATACAAAGAATTAGATATTTTGTCGACAATTACAGTTAGCATTTGTAACATGCCGAAGATTAAATACTTTCGTGGATGGTCTACGAATTTCGGAGATGTATCGTAAATCCGTCGTAGCCCTTCTTATCGTCCGTATACTGCCTATTCGATTCTTTGACGAACAGTGCCAATATCGTAAATTTTTCGTATTATCGTCATCATTCGTGGAGTGTGGAGTGTATTCATAACTGAATTCGGCATATCCGTAAACCATTCTTAACTGAATCGCCTCAGTTCGTATAGATGATTCTTTCATTTCGTAGAACTCTACCTTGACATCCGACATACTTCTCCCCTTACTACCCACGAATTATCGTAATTCTTGAGATGGCTGTTTTCAGATCCCACAATTATAGAGTGTACTTTTATAATATGTAAATATTTATTCAATAAATAATGTCAGAAAAAAAAAACTATTCGTAACTGCTTCTAAGCTGCTCTTGATCTACGATCTTTTTGAATTTTTTGCTGCATCGCCACGAATTTCGATTCGCCACTATTCGGGGCGATTTGTAACATTCGTAGACCACGTGAAAACCAGGCATTATTAATGATTATCAGTGCTTGCGAATTTCTTACGAATCCTTGCGAATTCCCTCGCAAATACTTACGAATGCCCTCGCAAATTCGCCGAAAATAATAAGATTAGTCCGGAGAGATACTAAAGAAAGTGAGGCCTTACTTATGTTTATCAGTGCTTGCGAATTTCGTACGAATCCTTGCGAATTTCCTAACAAATGCCTACGAATATAACGACCACACGCGCATGCATGGCGAATAGCCTATAAACCCCTTGTCCACACTTCTACTTTGACACTTATGCTGTTCTCACACAGTGGCGAATGGGCCTACGAACGCAATTCGCAATGATCATCACCAGACATTCGTATGTGTTCGTGAGCATTCGCGGTCGTTCATGGGGTGTTGCGAATATTAGGAACATGCTCCTAAATTATGCCATACAAGCTTATTCTCATTGCTTTCCCAATATTTTCGTATTGGTGTAAAGATATTTGTGGTGACCACAAGACAACTGCAACCATGGGCGCAGATCCCGGTGGGGACACGGGGACGCGTCCCCACCAATATTTTTAGTGCTGGGGACATGATATACTGTGTCCCCACCACTTATTTCCGATGTTTTGCTTACTCTTTATTTTTTTAAATTGAAATCATTCCAGAGCTTTTATTGACATTTCAGAAAGTGTAGAGTTTGTCCCAGGCACTTGAGGCCACGGGCCCGTCTCTGTATGAACACTTATAAATTTTTAAAGAAAATATTCTTTAAATTACAGTAAACCTCGCATAAGTCGGATTCGTATAAGTCGGGTCTTCGCTCAACTCGGATAAAATCGTTTGGACCCTTTGTTCCTACACGTTTTTCTTATTTAATTTCTGCGCGTATCTCGGATTTCCTATGTCGGATCTTTGCTCAACTCGGATCCAAATCTTCGGTCCATTTGATCTAATTCGTGATTTTTTCCTTCGGCTAAGTCGGATCGACAGTATGTTCAGAATTTGACTAAGTCCGTTTCGTACCGATGGCCTAAAACGCGGTTAGGTATTCCATGCACAGAGCCCCTAAATAATTTCCCCTATCATTTCACCTCAAATCCGCCTATTTGACGCGATGCAATAATAGAATTTTCCCTGTCAACAACGGACAAAATTGAAACTAGCCTTATAATTCATTCACCATTGTAAATAATATTTTTGTATCTATAAAAGGAACTGTGCCCATTTTGCATTTTCCGGAAAATATCTAATCTGTCACCAATCCACGCTAATATGTACTTAGATTGATTATTTAATAATTAAGTAAACAAAATAAAATACAAACGCTAGATAGTAGATAACTAATTTTAACTATGATAAAAGCGAAATTTTAGTAATTTGATTGGATAATATTAGATTGATTTTAGTGCTTAGCCAATTAAAATTGAAGTATCTACTAAAATTTGAATTTTATCTTTAGTTACGATTTCGAGAAACAGGGCCTTGGATTGGATTCAATCGGATTTAACACAAGCCCACCAATTTGGTTCGCGGGGAGAAGCATAGATCAATGGGATTTTCAATGCGTCATACCTTTGTAATACTGAACGGAATTGGATCATTTTTAGATAATTTGCCTTATATAAGTAAACACTCGGATAATAACTTTTTCAACTTGATCAAGGGTCATAACTCTAACAGTAATTTTCGGAAATCAATAGGATTCTTTGACTCATGAACTTAAACTCCTGAGCGTCCACAAGCAATTGAGTACTTACGAATAGGCGGACCGGCATGACAAGAATATAGTGCCTTTATTCCTTTGTAAAAATACGGTCTAAAAAATAGGGTCTTCCAATTGATTGGTCAATTTAGGTCATTTTGAGTTAACATTTTTACCATGCATGGCTATGTGTGCATTTTGACACAGAATAATTTCGTGGGGACATAGAGAGAAGCCATCAGATAAAAAATAACAAAGTCAATTAATACGTTAAAAATGCCAGAGTTTTATTTTTAATATATTCTCGTTGTTCCTGAGATAAATAGTTTTGTTGATCACCTTGTTGTATCCAATCCATCCTGAAAATATAATCAAAAGAGTATTGTAACATTGTTTATAGTCTTCTCATATGATTCAAGCTGATTAAAACACAGATCCTATTTCATTTCGTTTTTTATAGTTCAAAATTTCGTTTTACTGGTCTTTACTACACTAGGATCTGGAAGAGTTGTTATCATGGACGTGTTCTGAATGGTGTGAGGAATTAGCCAATGAAATGGCCTGTTACGTGTGATGATTGCAATGCATGGACTTGTGCGTAAACCAATAGAAACGTCAATGCTGACGTCATAGGGTCAAAAGCCGCACGTATGACCCCTGAGGGGACCTTCCAGTACAATTGTTCAGATCTTCATGTAGTGTAGGTCATCAAAGTATAAAAAAACAAAACGAAATATAGATCTGTATTTTAATCAGATTGGATATGGTTTAGATAAGAACACATAGTTTAGTAGGATGGATGCAAACCAATAATTATTTGACAAATAATCCTTGCCATATCATGAAATGAAATGGGGTTTAATGACCTACTGTTCTGCTCCGACAAGGAAAATGAAGACCAGCATACGCCATGCAGTGTGCTATGAGGGAAATTTTGCCCGGGAAGTGGCACTATGGCCTACTCTTATATTGAATTCTAACTGCCAAGGCCCCAAGGGATCTTTTACCTGCACGCCAATGTATACAAGGGACCTCGGTTTTTCGTGCCATTCGAAGGACTAGACAGCTGTTCTGGACAGGCCCTCCGTCCTGCATCACTGACAAGGGGAACCCACATCGAAAAATCTTGATGAACTTTCTCAGCCAATGCAGGGATCGAAATAGCCAGCCATATCATAAACAAAATTTTATAATCTAATTATTTTTGAACATTATATCTATCCTTGATCGATACCTATATATACCTATATATACCTATATATACAATACTTACCCAAAAGTATTTACTTCCTCTTCATTTGAAGTTTGTGAAATGGTGAAATTTGTTTCTATATCCGTATGACCCAATTCATTATTTACATCCAGTATTTCTAAGTCTTGATGATAGAGAATCTGACCAGGTAAACACCCTAAAGGCACAGTCGACCAGTCAATATTGCCTGTAGAATGATATAAGAGCATATATAACAAGCCAACAGTGAGGCTGATGTCCCCCGCCGAAATCCCCAAATAAATAGATGACACATATTAATTAATCGCACATCTAATTTTTTCAAAAGTATCGAGCAATCAAACTGATTATCAACTTTGTTTCATCACTCTCTATCAGATAGAATCAAAGTTATCTTGTCCCAAAGCATCGACCAAGGAAATTGCTTTTCTCTGTTTAGCTTTAGCTCAATATGTTAATCATTGAACTCAGTCAAGACGAACATCTACATCAAGTTTAAACATTCTACCTCAATTCGAAGCAGGGTTGTTATGTTCCAAAGTCTTGATCAATCAAAATGCTTATTGCTCCTTAGCCTAAGCAGACAATTCTCATCATCGAACTTAGTCAAGGTATTGATGTAATGAAACTATACACCAAGTTTCATCACTCGTACTTAATTAGAACTAAAGTTATCGTGTCCCAAAGCATCAACCAATCAAATTGCTTATCTTCTACTTACCATAAGCAGAAAATGCTCATCTTTGCACTCTATCAAGGCATTGACCAAATAAACACCTACACCAAGTTTAAACATTCTAGCTCAATTAGGAGGAGAGTTATTGTGTTCCAAAGTCTCGGCCAATGAAATTGCTTATCGCTCTGCTTACCCTGAGCAAAAAATGCTCAATATCGAACTTAGTCAAGGTATCGATGTAATGAAACTATACACCAAGTTTCATCACTCTCACTTAATTAGAACTAAAGTTATCGTGTCCAAAAGCATCAACCAATCAAATTGCTTATCTCTACTTACCCTAAGCAGAAAATGCTCATCTTCATACCCCTTTAAGGCATTGACCTAATAAACACCTACACCAAGTTTGAACATTTTAGCTCAATTAGAAGGAGAGTCATTGTGTTCCAAAGTCTCGGCCAATCAAATTGCTTATCGCTCTGCTTACATTGAGCAGAAAATGCTCATTATCGAACTTAGTCAAGGTATTGATGTAATGAAACTATACACCAAGTTTCATCACTCTCACTTAATTAGAACTAAAGTTATCGTGTCCAAAAGCATCAACCAATCAAATTGCTTATCTCTGCTTACCCTAAGCAGAAAATTCTCATCTTCGAACTCCATCAAGGCATTGACCTACTAAACACCTACACCAAGTTTGAACATTCTAGGTCAATTAGGAGAGTTATTGTGTCCCAAAAAGTGTGACGGACAGACAGACGGACGGACAGACAGACGGACGAACCCATTTTAATAGTCCCCTGCTTTCTTCGAAAGGCGGGGGACAAAAATAATGATGTATAATAGTTCAACATGCTGATATTTATGTAAAAGTAAGAAATTTAGGGGAGTACTATTGGTGTTTTTTTTATTATAGATACATTATGTAAGATTTAGATAAAGAGCTAGCCATTCTTGCTATAATAGTTCGAAAAAAGATAATGTAAAATGAATAATATGAAAATTTCATTCAAATTATTTTGAGCGAAGATATTAGCCTTTGAAGGTTTGACAAGACGTGTGCAATAATTTCACCCACCGTACTGGTTGTTCGAAGCTAAGTCTCGTTCATTCATTTTTAGCTTAAATCAAAATATGGCTGAACTGTTCTAATCTATTTAATATCAGAGAAATCCGATGCCATAAAGAGTTGATTATGGTCTGGATAAGTTAATTAATGTCTAACTAATAATTTAGTAAACAATTCAGACCTAAAGAAAGACCTGCAATAGGCAGATTTAGCTCTTGCATAATGTATGTTTCAAGTTTTGAAACGGAAATTTAACTTTTCTTATATCCACCTATATGAATAACATTGCTACATATTCTGAATAATATTTCTGAATCACAACATCAGGCAGAATAGTAGATTTAAATATATTTCTCACTCTGTCCGATTTTAGAAGTAATATATTTATAATGACAGGTTTTATGATACAGAACGCACGTGCTAACCATTCGACCTTTCCCCCCCCCCCCCAACCCCCGAATGGTTAGAACGTGCCTTTGCATCATAAGGTCTGTCATTGATTCAACTGGCGTGGTTTCGAATCCCTGGTTGTACCTGACAAGGAGTAGGGTCGCCTGTCCAACCTCATGGGTTTTCATCGGGTTCTCTGCTTTCCCCCCACTGCTAAAGACCCCTAAGTGCAAACGAATTATTGAAACAAAATTGAACCATATGTTAGTCCCGAAATGACCTGGTTTGTGTCAAGTGGATGTTAACCCCATTTCTCTCTCCCTCTTTCAAAGGCACATGTTCTATGTAAACTGTGTGAATAATATAGTAAAACATACTATCAGTACAATGTTCCCATCGACCAACTAATTTTCTGTGTTTAGGTAAGACATCTGCAAGAAAACAAGACACATATATCAATCACATGTAATTAAAATCATAAATTCTACCTTGAACCTCTGCCACACTTTTTCAGACGGTAATACATAGCATGACAATAGCAGAAATATTATTAAAGATTCAAATCCAGCGAAAATCTGACACATAAGATGTCATCAAGAGTTGATTGAGGTTAATAAATTCATGTTAATAAATGGCTAATTAATAGTTTATATAACATTTCAGGCCTAAAGAAAGAACTGCAATAGGTAGATTTAGCTCTTGCATAATGGAACGAGTGCACACAAAATAACCTGTGGTAGTTGAAATCTGATGAAAAGTGGGGTAGATCCGTGTTGTTTGGACAAAATTGAATGAGAGGACAAACTCGATATTCAACGTTATGCGACCTCTGTTTTGGAGTTAGAACTTATGTTGCCCCACCTTTCCGAAAACCTTGTGAATACAATTTGGTGTGAAGCTATGGGAGTGTGAAATATTCTACGGGCCTTTCAGAAAATCTTCAATCTGATTACAATACAGATCTATATTTTGTTTCGTTTTTTTATACTTTCGATGGCCTACACTACATGAAGATCTGACCGGTTGTAATGATAGGTCGCGTCAGAGGTCATACGAGCGGCTTTTGACCCTAGGGAGATGCTAATTGTAGGCCGGTTGGGGAGGTTCGGGTGTTTCCGGAATCCAAAATGGCCGCTTTATATAAATGAAAATTTTTGGGAATACTAACCCTAATCCTAACCCTAACCCTTTTTAGAAGACTGAACTTGGATCTAATTTAGCGTTTACCCTTCTTAAAAGGGTTAGGGTTAGGGTTCGGGTTAGTATTCCCCAAAATACTCATTTATAAAAAGCGGCCATTTTGGGCTCCGGAAATTTCCGAACCTCCCCAACCGGCCTACAATTAGCATCTCCCTTGACCCTATGATGTCAGACATTTGATTAACCAATCAGCATTGATGTTACTAGTGGAATACCCACCGTTCTGTGCTAAACACGCCCAAAGCTTGCCGTAACAGACTCTCAATGATAACAACTCTTCCAGATCCTAGTGTAGTAAAGACAAGTAAAACAAGCCAACAGTGAGGCTGATGTCCCCCGCCGAAATAGGAAAATAATTAGAGGACACATATAAATTTATCACAAATAAGCGGAACGGACAGACAGACAAACAGACAGACGGACGAACCCATTTTAATAGTTCCCTGCTTTCTTCGAAAGCGGGGGACAATCAAAGTAGGAGAGTTATTGTTTTCCAAAGTCTCGACCAATCAAATTGCGTATCGCTCTGCTTACCCTGAGCAGAAAATGCTCATTATCAAACTTAGTCAAGGTATTACTGTAATGAAACTATACACCAAGTTTCATCAATCTCACTTAATTAGAACTAAAGTTATCGTGTCCCAAAGCATCAACCAATCAAATTGCTTATCTCTGCTTACCCTAAGCGGAAAATGCTCATCTTCGAACTCCATCAAGGCATTGACCTAATCAACACATACACCAAGTTTGAACATTCTAGCTCAATTAGGAAGAGAGTTATCGTGCCCCAAAGTATCAACCAATCAAATTGCTTATCTCTGCTTACCCTAAGCGGAAAATGCTCATCTTCGAACTCCATCAAGGCATTGACCTAATAAACACATACACCAAGTTTGAACATTCTAGCTCAATTAAAAGTTATCGTGTCCCAAAGCATCAACCAATCAAATTGCTTATCTCTGCTTACCCTAAGCGGAAAATGCTCATCTTCGAACTCCATCAAGGCATTGACCTAATCAACACATACACCAAGTTTGAACATTCTAGCCCAATTAGGAAGAGAGTTATCGTGTCCCAAAGCATCAACCAATCAAATTGCTTATCTCTGCTTACCCTAAGCGGAAAATGCTCATCTTCGAACTCCATCAAGGCATTGACCTAATAAACACATACACCAAGTTTGAACATTCTAGCTCAATTAGGAAGAGAGTTATTGTGTCCCAAAAAGTGTGACGGACAGACGGACGGACGGACGGACGGACGGACGGACGGACGGACGGACGGACGGACGGACGGACGGACGGACGGACGGACGGACGGACGGACGGACGGACGGACGGACGGACGGACGGACGGACGGACGGACGGACGGACGGACGGACGGACAGACAGACAGACAGACAGACAGACAGACAGACGGACGAACCCATTTTAATAGTCCCCTGCTTTCTTCGAAAGGCGGGGGACAACAAAATTTTGAACTTTAAAAAACGAAACGAAGTAGGATCTGTGTTTTAATCACATTGGAAAATCTTGGTCTGTGAGAGTATGGACTGTATATATATGGGTATCTTTTTTCAAGAGATAGCTGCTGTGTAGAGTATCTCCACCAATTGCATGGCCAGTTTCACTGTTGTTGTTTATTACAGACTTAATGTCCAATACATTAAATATGATATTATGGACAGGCTGATTTAATTAAATTATTTACACTTAAAGGGTTAAAAATTGACCTTGTATGTTATATATACTCGAATCAGGGTCATCTTTTTTTGATTTTGAGTGTAGATTATTTCCACTCTTTGCTTGGCTATTTTGTCGATCATGCCCGATGGCCTTTTCACTGACCTTGTAAGGTATATATAGTAGAATCAGGATCATCTGATGAAGTCACAGAGTAACCATTACCGGTAATCACACGACCTTTATCATTAATATCTATTAATCTAACTAAGTCCTCTTGTTTTTCTTCATAAGCTGACGACTGTTTGCAAAAGCTGAAAAAAAAGCGCGGACCTTTAGTCAGTTTGATCTATAAGAAAATGTCAAATCATACAAGAGTTTTACCCTTTTCGAAAGAAATCTGATAATCTTTGGTATAATGTTGTATCTATTAGAAAACAAATTTGCAAGGAACAGTAAAAAATATATTCTACCATTTATGTGAGAGAGAGAGAGAGAGAGAGAGAGAGAGAGCATTTAACATCCACTCCACACAAACTAGGTCATTCACATTTAGTTTAATATTAATTCATTAAAATCAGACAATTTTTGTCCAAGTTATTACATGTCAAAGCTGTTTTGGACAAAACCGAGAGAGAGAAAGAAAGAGAGAGAGAGAGGGAGAGGGTTTAACATCCACTCTACACAAACCAAGTCATTCTGGGACTAACATATGGTTTAAATTTTTTTCAATAATTTGCTGGCGCGTAGGGGACTTTAGCAGTGGGAGAAAACCGGAGGGCCCGGAGAAAACCTGTGAGGTTGGACAGACGACCTAACACCTTGTCACGCACAAGCTGAGAATCGAAACCCAACCACCTGACCTAATGAAATAATAAAAAAGAAATTAATAAAACAAAATGAGATAAAAATGACCTACTGTTGTAAGAGAAGTTTACTGTAGGGATTCGATTTCTGTAAACATTTTTGCACCATTGAAGAATAAGATGGAGATGGAATAAAACACATGTATATACCCTTCTTATTGTAAGTTAAATTCTCCCCTGAAATATGAGAGGTATTATACTTCAACATCATGTTTCTAAAACTTCATAAGATAGGTTGCCGGGCAGCAAAACATACGTCCCCCCCACACATATACCCTTTTTATTGTAAGTTAAATTTTCCCCTGAAATGTGAGACTTATACTTCAACATTATATTTCTAAAAATTCATAAGATAGGTTACCAGGCAGCAAAACATATGCCCCCCCCCCCCCCAAAGCGACCAAATCGTCCAAACAGTCGACAAGGGTTGTCCCGTATTTAATCTTTGGTATACACTAGGACCATTTACATGAAACTGATATTATATCATACTGATTGGATGATAAATTTTGCCATTCGAGCATTCACACGGTTCTACCAAAGTGAAACAATCGCACATTCCTCTTTGGGGATTTCCCTGAATATCTCAAGGATAATGTGTACCAGAACAACGATTGGTGAATTGAAGGCAGCAAAAATCACGGAAATCCCCAATGAGGAATGTACAATGAGGAATTGACAATTTTGTGCAATTATGTGGAGGCCACTTGGAGTATAGTTTGGAAAAAACATGACTTTTAAGCAAAGCCAACAAGATAACTGAAACTTTGGAGAATGATCGTACACAGACTGAAGGTTAAGTCCAACAATTGTCATCAAATTTGCTGGACATTTGTAGGATTTAATAAAACTTTCATGGATTCTGTTTATTTGGGTCACCCTGTTGGTTTTTTTTTTTTACTTTATACTGAACTTCCTTCAAATAAGAGAGAGAGAGAGAGAGAGAGAGAGGAGAGAAATGGGGTTTAACTCCACTTGACACAAACTAGGTCATTTCGGGACTAACATATGGTTCAATTTTATTTCAATAATTCGCTTGCGCATAGGGGTCTTTAGCAGTGGGAGGAAACCGGAGGACCCCATCAAATATGTCTATTATACTTACAATGAAAAGTTAAATGATAAATCCACCCAGCTATTTGTCTACTTTTAAGACAGTTTTCATCATCTAGATTATCTATTAACTTATTAACAAATTCACTACCATAGCCTAATTTCTTCACTGATTTTAATAATGGTCTCCATAGCAACAATAATTCATTGGGTAAAACTAAAATATCAGATTCTTGTAAATCTGAAACAAATTACAAAATATTGTTAAAATAACTAAGCATGAAATATCAAATTTCTCACGCTTAATTCATGCTAATATTGACTCAGGTTGATTATTTAAAGATATTTAAAGATAAAGAGATGGCAGTTCTCGCTATAATAGTTAAAAACTAGATAATGTAAAGGTAATTTGCTGAAAATTTCAGTCAAATTGATCCACAATGAGCCGAGAACGAAGCGGGTGAAATTTTCGCATAGTCTCGGTCATCATTACTAAAATCATTAATATAAACAGCATAGTCTAGATTATCCACTGCTTTGATTTAATTATCAATGGCCGTTAAGCGGCATATAGGAATCTAATCCAGCCAACATTGAAGGCTAGCCTTGACATCGAGAGTTTATTATGGTCTGGATAAGTTAATTAATGTCTAATTGATAATTTAGATAACATTTCAGGCCTAAAGAAAGACTTGTAATAAGCAGATTTTGCTCTTGCATAATGCATGTTTAACATTTAAATAAGAAAACAAAATCAAATACCAAAGCTAGATAATTTCCTTGCTTGGATTCAATCAGATTTAAAACAGGCTGTCTTGTTAAAATTTGTCACATTTTTGTAAATATTAATAGAAACTGACCCACTTTTGGACTGATAGTCTTATTAGAAATTCAACTTTCACAAAATCGTATTTTGCAAGGGATTCCACAGCGCTAAAGTCACGTAAAGTCTTTAAATTTTTTGGTTTCAATAAAAATGTAGAAATATAAACCAACAAAAAAACAGTTGTCCTAACAATATGTGAAAATGAATAATGACACTTTGTCCAAAATCAACATTTTTTACCTTCTAATTGGATCCCAAGAAATTCTAAATTTTGTGATGATAATGCCATAAAATCTTCTTCACATAAATCTGTTAACAAAAGTTTTCTGTAAAGATATACAAATAAATGCCATGTATTATTATACAACTGTAATCTTATTTAGTAATGCCTATGACTTAAAGATACTTTCTCGCAGACAAACTGTGTGATTTGATGATATATTTGGACTAAAAACATATTCAAACTAATTAATCTATCAAAAATTTGCATCAAATCCCTCTCAAAACATTGTATCCACGAAGAGATACCCCAAGCTATAAAAAAATCTATTTTTTAGAAGCCATGTTTGTCACATAACTTGATTCAGGGTCGGCCGATTTGGAAGAATGCATTTGCCATTACTTACTGTCCATTTACCATACATATTGAGGCCTAAGTAAATTTTTTAATTATTTTCTGCCAACTTCTTTATACGTTGTTTAATTGCAGAGTCTGTTATACATGTGTATGTTTATTACACCCTTCAATGTTCCTAAAACCAGCTAACCATTCGATCAAGAAATAACAACCGCTCCCTAAGTCAAGCTGGCTGACAATAAGCTGTGGGAATGCCAGTTACTGATACCCTGACATTTTTGTCCACTGCTTGCCCCATTGATCTTTTTCGAGTAATCCATGATTTTTCTAGTAAGATTGGGCGTCTCTACTTTCCATATATACCAAATTTGCCATACTTTTATTGGAAATAACCACCCGATAAATACTTCCGTAACTCATATCTTTATAGCAGTACAGATCAGAATAAAATATATTTCTTAAAAGAGCTAATAAAAGATTTTATTAAACAAGCCAACTTAATCTTTCCTCATTATTATTGAAATATCACATGAAACTAAATCAGAGATGATTAGCCCATTTAAGTTATGTTATAAACCAACTTTTATCAAGATACACTTCTTAAGGAATTTATAATGGCACCACATATTACATAAAAAAAAACCAAATGGGAGAGAGAGAGGGAGAGAGAGAGAGAGAGAGAGAGAGAGAGAGAGAGAGAGAAATGGGGTTTAACGCCCACTCGACACAAACTAGGTCATTTCGGGACTAACATATGGTTTACTTTTTTTAATAATTCGCTTGCACGTAGGGGTCTTTAACAGTGGGAGGAAACCGGAGGACCCGGAGAAAACCGGCGAGGCTGGACAGGCGACCCTACTCCTTGTCATTGGGATTCGAAACGACGCCAGTTGACTCAATGACAGGCCTTGTGATACAGCACACACGTGAAAAACAAATGGATCCTAGTTTAAACATACATTATGCAAGAGCCAAATCTGCCTATTGGGTCTTAAAAGTTATATAAATTATTAATAAGACATTAATTAACTCATCCAGACCATAATTAACTCTTGATGCCATCGGATGTGTCCGATTTTAAGCAGATTAGAACGGTTCAGCCATTTAATGATCGTAAACATGGTGAAGCAAGGCTTACCCTCGAACAAATAATTAACATGGGTTACAATCAGTGCATGTATCTTTTCAAACTTTCAAAAGCTAATATGTTTGCTCAGAATGAAGTAATTTGAATGAAATTTTCAATATTTTCATTTTGCATTATCTATTTTTGAACCATTATAGCAAGAACAGCAAGCTCTTTATCTAAATCTTACATAATGTATCTTTAATACTGATCACATGAACTAGTGTCAGATTACTCTGGCAGGGTGTGCACAACTTGGAACACTTCAAATTCCATGAGTTTGCAGGAATTATTTACCAGATTCCAGGAGTCCCTGTATAGAATTCTACATCAGAATGTATCTTTTTTTTTACGCTTGAAGAACATTGTTTCCCTGACTCAAAGAAATAAAGGATCTCATCAAAATTAGATTGACAAAATACCGATGACTACATTCAGTTTTATATCTTAAAATACATAGCAGTCGTGTCAACCCCCAGGAGTTTCAAGGAGTAATCTTGTTTTTCCAGGATTTTCCAGTATTGGAAATCACATTTTCATTTTTCCAGGATTTTCAAAGAGTTTCAAGGAGTGTGCGAACCTTGTCTGGTTTGGGAGCCCCATTAGAATGTTTTAATACAGATTTTTTTTTAATGCAGCAAAATATAGGAAATGAAATGAAATGGAGTTTAACGTCCTACTGTTCTGCTCCTAACCTGGGCTAATGAAGACGGGCATACGCCAGACAGTGTTCTATGAGGGAAATTTTGCCCGGACAGCGGCACTATGGCCTACTCTTATATCGAATTCCAACTGCCAAGGGCAAAATATAGGCACATAAACTAATTTGATTGAAGTTAACTGAACAACAAATTGATATTTGATATAGAGGATCACGTGTCAAAGTGAGTAAGACGCTTTCTCGCTAGTCTGGAGGTTGGGTGTTTGATCTCTGCATTGGCAGAGAAAGTTCATCCAGATTTTCCGGCGTGGTTCCCCCTTGTCAGTGATGCAGGACGGAGGGCCTGACAAGGACGAAAAACTGAGGACCAGTGTACACATTGGCGTGCATGTAAAAGATCCCTTGCAGTTGGAATTCGATATAAGAGTAGGCTGTAGCGCCGCTGCCCGGGCAAAATTTCCCTCATAGCATACTGTATGGCGTATGCCCGTCTTCATTAGCCCAGTTCGGAGGACGTTAAACCCCATTTCATTTCATTCCATTTCATTTCATATTTGATATACATTGCTAACCATTTAGCATTCAGTGCTTGAAGATTGTACTTTTGCATTAACCTATTTTGGGGTGGTGGTATTTATATATGTTTTAATCCGACACAGATTAGAACCCATACATACCTGTGAGTACGATAAGATAAAGCTGTCTTAAGATCGGATAATAAACTGTTTGATGCTCCATTACAACTACCATTCTTTATTTCCTTCAAATAAATAATATAATAATACATAAATAAACCAACGTGGTGCACATGTCATATGTTATAACACCTCTGGAACCAACAATGAGAGAGAGAGAGAGAGAGAGAGAGAGAGAGAGGTCATTTCGGGACTAATATATGGACTAACATTGTGATGTTGTTACATTCAGAGAGAGAGAGAGAGAGAAATTTGGTTTAACGTCCACTCGACACAAACTAGGTCATTTCAAAAATTCGCTTGCGCATAGGGGTCTTTAGCGGTGGGAGGAAACCGGAGGACCCAGAGAAAACCCACGAGGTTGGAGAGGCGACCCTACTCCTTGCCACGTACAACCGGGGATTTGAAACCACGCCAGTTGACTCAATGATAGGCCTTATGATACAGTGCGCAATTGCTAATCATTCGGCCATCCACCCCCCCCCCCCCCACCAAAATCTGAAATAGAACAAAACAAACTTGTATACTAACCTGCAGTCTTAGCTCAAAATAACTTCGCAACAATTTCTTTGTATCAATATTGATAACTTTGTTCTTTTTCTGACTGTTTAAAGTTGGTTTGACTTTAACATCTTTCATTTGATGTTCCCAAAAGGTTTCCTGAATTATTAAAAACATTATATTATGTTATATTTTGTACTTGAGCTCTTTCTATGATCAATATTACCTAAAAGTAAATGAATACTGCCTTGTTATTTTCATCATTAATCGGGTTAAATTCATAGAATAGCTACATCATTTGTTCACAAGAGAGAGAGAGAGAGAGAGAAATGGGGTTTAACGTCCACTCAACACAAACTAGGTCAATTTGGGACTAACACATGGTTCAATTTTATTTCAATAATTCGCTTGCGCGTAGGAGTCTTTAGCAATGGGAGGAAACTGGAAGACATGGAGAAAACCCATGAGGTTGGACGTTTGACTCTACTCCTTGCCACGTACAACCAGGGAATCGAAACCACGCCAGTTGACTCAATGACAGACCTTATGATACGTCGCGTACATGCCAACCATTCGGCCATCCATACCTTTAACCATTGTAAAGCTGTCTGTACACCTTGAGTTAATACATCTAAAGCTGGTAGGGTACTATGTGTAACTTCATGACGTAGATGAACAATCCAATCAGGTATTCCAAACTAAGTATAAAAAAATATACTGCTAAATTATTACACCTTGAGGTATTCCAAACAATGTATAAAAAAAACATACTGCTAAAATATTACTCCTTGATGTATTCCAAACTATGTACAAAAAAATATACTGCTAAAATATTACTCCTTCATTTGTTATACTTGTTTCACAAAAAATCTTGTAACAACAAAAAGAAAAGTAAAGATAAAATTTAACCAATAATATTTTGTTGACTTTGTTCAAATTTAACGATAATTTAGTGGATTTTGTACCTCTCTTGCAATGGCTATTATAGGCCGTGCAAATTCTTTTTTTTGACCAGCTTCAGTAACATGATTAACGAATCTGCAATAAATGATATAGATGAAAAACGAAAGAAATGATATGAAATGGGGTTTAATGTCTGCTCCTACTGGGCTAATGACTATGGGCATGTGCCATACAGGGTGCTATGAGGGAAATTTTGCCCGGATAGCGGCACTATGGCCTACTCTTATATCGAATTCCAACTGCCAAGGTAAATGAAAAACATCAGTATATTTGTGGTGAAAGACTCTCAAAAACATTTATCCTTTTGGTGTTTGATTTGGATACCCCAAACCAATTTTATCAACCGATGCCCAACGAAATCTGGAATTACTCCTTTAAAATTATAATCATCATTTACTCAGGAGTCTAAACTAATCATCTTTTCAAGAAAAAGTCTGTAATATCAATTATGGCCATTGTTACTGTCTGTTCAGTGGTTCTGTGTGGATTCACACTTAGGAACTTTCGCAATGAATGGCAATACAATTTCATAAGAATTAGTCCCGAAGTGTCCCCACATTCTTCATATTTATATGTACTAAAATGGAATTAACAAACAGAGAGCTTTCCTCATAAATAATACTAATGAAATCAAACATTACAAATTAATACTTAATTTTGATCAAAATAAATGAGAGTCTGCCATGAGAGATGACAATCTGATTAAAACACAGATCCTAAATGTATTTTTTTTTTTTTTTTTTTAAAGTTCAAAATTTTGTTTTACTTGTCTTTAATACACTAGGATCTGGAAGAGTTGTTATATAACCCGCGTTCTGGTTGATGTGAGGGATTATCCAATGAAACGGTATGTTGCGGCGGGTACTTGGTGTGCTGTGCACAGAACTGTGGGTACCCTGGTAGATATATAACGCTGATTGGTTAATCAAAAGTCTGACGTCATAATCAAAACTCGATTGTATGACCCCTAACAGGACCTCACACTACAGGACCTCCCACTACAACTGGCCAGATCTTCATGTAGTGGAGACCATCGAAAGTATAGAAAACAAAATATAGATCCGTATTTTAATCAGATTGGAGAAATTAAGACAAAATACAACAATTTTTACGATATCTCTAAAGTACCTTTCAACTGCGCACTCCAAATTGATAAAAATCTTTATTTTAACTATGACAGCCAAATTGATAAACATCTAAATTTTAACTATGACGTACCTTACAGTAGCCAAATTGATAAAAATCTAAATTTTAACTATGACGTACCGTACAAAACACAAATTTATATGGAAAACAATCACAGGGTATATTTCACACTACGTTTCAACAAGTTCCTCTGGTCGTCCTCAAGTAAGTAACATATAAATTTGTGTTTTATATCATATGTTCAGTTACTAAATGCAGTATAAGGATTTCATGACGTACCGTACAATAGCCAAACTATATTCTCGACGTAAGTGTTCTTCTTCTTCATTTACTGTGTTAGTCAACAGAGCTTTCTGATGTGCTATTATAACCGATTGTAATTCGACAGTAGTTGCTATAGCTACAGGAAGTTTATCATATCTACAATAAAAGACATTCTTGGTTATTGCTCATATACTTAGACATACAATAACTTTAAAATTCTAATCTAGAACATAAAAACACACGGAATCTATAAACCAGTCAGGACTGTGGTCAAGACTGCTACTGTCAATGCCCTGTGGCAAATTCACTAACTCAGCTTGGAATCGGCCTAGTTACATCTAGCCTGTAAACAGCTTCATGCAATTACATTGTCATATATATATACATTATTATTATTATTCAATATGTATGCAGCAAAATGTTAATCCACAAGATTCACATCAATTATCGATTTAGCAGAGATCGATTCTGGAATCCTACAGTGCTGAAACCCAGCACAATGTTTTATAATCAGATTTGGGTAGAGACAGATAGAAACCAGTCAGGAAGTGTGAAGCATTACAAAGAGAGAGAGAGAGAGAGAGAGAGAGAGAGAGAGAGAGAGAGGTAATTTCTGGACTAACATATGTTTCAATTTTATTTCAATAATTCACTTGCTCGTAGTGGTCTTTAGCAGTAGGAGGAAACCGGAGAAACCCCATAAGGTTGGTCAGGCGACCCTACTCCTTGTCACGTACAAGCATGTCACGTGACTCAATGACAGAGCTTTTGATTTAACCATTCAGCCACCCAACCCCCCTGTGAAGCATTACACAAAATGTTATAAAGTATGCCCTTCTCATCACTGAAAACTCATTATAAATCATTCTATGTAGTACTTTCTTTGTAAAAAACAGCGGCTGCCAGGCAGGATACGCCCACATTTTTGAGAGATGGATAGAGAACAAGCTAAAAAGAAAGTGATTTTTTCTACAATCAAGGGCCATAATTCATGAAGTTACAATTCGATATGCGCAAATATCGAAAGGATCCAAGATCTTTGGGTTATAAACATGCATTTCAAGTTTCATCAAAATCAGATTAAAATTGTAACCTCTACAGGGTCCACAACCTTGATATACCATATTTTACACCTTTCGCGTACAAGCGGCGGCCACTTTGTCCGTCATTTTTGGTTTGATTTTCAGGAAATTTGAACTCAACCTTCAGAGGGACCACAAGCTAAAAGAGGCTATTTTTCGTATAATCAGGGGCCATAATTCATGAAGTTAAGATCCGATATGCGACAATATCGAAAGGAACCAAGATCTTTAGGTTATAAACATGCTTTTCAAGTTTCATCAAAATCGAATTCAAATTGTGACCCATACAGGGTCCACAACCTTGATTTACCCTATTTCTACACTATTCGCTTATAAACGGCGGCCATTTTGTCCAGCAATTTTGGTCCGATTTTCCCCAAATTCGAACTCATCCTTCCTTAGGGTGTAACGGTGATATAATAATACGTTTTTTTAAATCGGATAAAACTTATGACCTATATAGGGTCCACAAGCTAAAAACACGATTGTTCGTATAATCAGGGGCCATAATTCAGGAAGTTATGATCCGATATGCGACAATATCCAAAGGAACCAAGATCTTTAGGTTACAAACATGCATTTCACGTTTCATCAAAATCGAATTAAAATTGTGACCCATACAGGGTCCAAAACCTTGATTTACCCTATTTTTACACTATTCGTGTACAAACGGCGGCCATTTTGTACGGCAATTTGGGTCCGGTTTTCCCCAAATTCGAACTCAACCTTCCTTAGGTTGTAACGGTGATATAATAATACGTTTTTTTAAATCGGATAAAAATTATGACCTATATAAGGTCCACAAGCTAAAAACGTGATTTTTCGTATAATCAGGGGCCATAATTCAGGAAGTAACGATCCGATATGCGACAATATCGAAAGGAACTGAGATCTTTGGGTTATAAACTTACATGTCAAGTTTCAACAAAATCAGATAAAAATTGTTACCTCTATAGGGTCCACAAGCTAAAAACGTGATTTTTCATACAAACGGGCCATAATCCATGAAGTTTCGATCGGATACATGCCAATATCAAAAGCAGTCGAGATCGTTTGGAGATAAACCTATATTTCAAGTTTCGTCAAAATTGGACAAGAATTGTGACCTGGATAGAGTCCACAAACAAATTGTGGACGGACGGACAGGGGCGACGACAATATACGTCCACATGAAAATGTGGGAGTATAAAAAATTTGTAATATACAATAATAACATTTTTCTTTTAAAACAAGTTTAAGACAACACATACTTTTACTACTGTTCAATATTTTAAACAAACTGTCAAATTTATGAAAATGAGATCTTTCTATTTATGTTGATTTAAATGTTCATATGGTCCAACTGTTAAAAACACCCGAAATACTAAAATAACAATGTAATTTTAATGAAGCTGACAAATTTTTCACATGGCTTAAATAATAAACACAAAAACATAATATGGAACACAATTACTATTTTAATTAAAGTGATGTTTCGTTGAGGGTTCTCTCAACGTTTTCATGCAAATAATGGCTTAAATAAAATGAGAAATGGAAGTGGACATGTACCTGCTCTTCCATGCTTTGATTCGGTTGACTGCATGTTGTTTTTTTCCAGTGTAATTGCTGTATAGTTCTTTGTACACTGTGCAAAATTCATCCCTAAAAATAATAAGATTATTAAAATAGTACAGAGTACTCTTTAAAGTCAGAAGAGTTGCCGATGTTCAATCAGTTGAAATTTGAAATACACCAAGACTGTTTAGCCATCGATATTATTGGGCCATTTTGATTATTTTATAACTTTAAGATCATCTAATCTATTGAATATTTTTTAACTGCTCGTCTGATACAAACTGTTAGCTTCAGGTATGGACAGCTTTCTTTGACCATTAAGCAGCGCATGTTAAACATACATTATGCAAGAGCTAAATCTGCCTATTGCAGGTCTTTATTTAGGCCTGAAATGTTATCGAAATTATTAATTAGACATTAATTAACTTATCCAGGCCATAATCAACTCTCGATGGCATCAGATTTCTCCGATATTAAATAGATTAGAACAGTTCAGCCATATTTTGATTTAAGCTCAAAATGGAGGAGCGAGACTTAGCTTCGAACAACCAGTACGGTGGTTGAAATTATTGCACTCATCTTGTCAAACCTTCAAAGGCTAATATCTTCGCTCGCAAGAGTAATGTGAATGAAATTTTCAAATTATTTATTTTACATTATCTATTTTCAAACTATTATAGCAAGAATGGCTAGCTCTTTATCTAAATCTTACATAATGTATCTTTAAGGAACAAACCTCAAGAAAATATCTGGAATGCTGTCAAACAGTCCGAACTTTTAAACATCTCTTAAAAGACATTTTTTTTAAACTATACTTTTAAGGACTTAAAGGAGCCAAATCTGTATTCTTTGGGACCTAGAAACTGACACAAATGTGTCGCAGCACATCTAATATAATGTAATATGAATGAATATAAATTGATTTACATGTAAATTCAATCATTTCCGTTTTTACCCTAATATCAAATCAGTTATGTTCGACAAAATATATATGTCAGAAGTCTCATCGAATGGCAATCTCTAGCATCTGGTTATTCCAGTTTACATCGAAAGCATTTATTACGAATCGTGTACCAATGGTAAAATGTTTATTTTGTCTTAAATATTAGATATCTGAAGCCCATTTTCTACAGGTAAGATCACAACATCAATGTTGATTTAAATTGACAAATAATTAGTGTTTTCAATATCAAAGACTTTTAGATAATGATACTGAGTTAAATATTGAATATCATGCAGAAGCCCATCTTTTCACAGTAAGATAACAATATCAATGTTAATTTAAATTGACCAATAAGTCGTGTTTGCAATGTCGAAGACTGCAATGTGATATTGAGTTAAAGCTGCAATTTCATATTTTTAAAATTTATTAAAATAAAGCCTTAAAATAGATGGTATCCATAAACCGTCCTACCTTGTTAAAGAATAAGCTTATTAATCCTATAAGTCACTATTACCAGCTGAGAAATTGGCAAAAATATCATTTTCAACTTCAAATTCCAACGTTTGAAGGTAGCTAATGCATGGAGGCAATAGGAAAACAAGAGAGGTAATTTTGTTATTATTTCCTGTTTCAATGATTTTTAAGGGTAGGAAATAATGCATAGTGGTCGTATAATAGTGAGTTGATAACCTATTGAGCAAAAGACATAGAAATAATTATGTTTTGACTTTCTTAGAAAATATGAAATTATCGCTTTAAGACTTTCCTCCTTCCTATTCCTGGGGATCACGTGGCTAAGTGGGTAAGAAGCTGGCTCGCTAGCCTGGAGGTCGGGTGTTCGATCCCTGCATTGGCCGAGAAAGTTCATCCAGATTTTCCGGCGTGGTTCCCCCTTGTCAGTGATGCAGGACGGAGGGCCTGACAAGGACAGCTGTCTAGTCCTTTGGATGAGACGAAAAACCGAGGTCCCGAGTATACTCATCATTGCACACTGTATGGCATATGCCCGTCTTCATTCGCCCAGTATAGGAGCAGAACAGTAGGACGTTAAACCTCATTTCATTTCCTGGCTCTATTTCAGTATCGCACCTCTACCAGTTCCCGGGGTTGTAGAGACTTGAAATTTTCAGGGGATGTTCAGGTGGGCTAGCAATGACCTCACACCAAATTTCCGCCGAAACGTCAATAACTTTTTATTTTACCTTAGTTTAGCTTCTATAAGAGATAAGTTTAAGTGATTTTGACGCCATTTTCTTTGTTGACTATTTACTCTCGAATGACGTCATATGTGGATTGTGGGTTAGGGTAAGGGCTAACACCTGTAGATTTCGTCATAGTCTCAAGATGTAGACAGGACTAGCCCTAACCCTAACCCTGTCTTGTTATTCGAGTCTAAATAGCCAACAAACAAAATGGCGTCAAAATCGGATAAACTCTCTCTCGTATAAGCTAAACTACAGTAAAATAAAAAGTTATTGACAGATTCGGCTGAAATTTGGTGTGAGGTCATGGCTAGGCCCCATGAATACCCCCTGAAAATTTCAAGTCTCTATGATCATGGGAACTGGTAGAGGTGCGATACTGAAATAGAGCCCATTTCCTTCCTATTCCCTAATGAGTAATAATAATGTTATTTTTGCGATTGAGTTGAGATGTCTATCTATTGTTTTTGTTTTGTGAGTGCGTTCAAAAATAAAAAAAAATAATGGAGCGCTTCACCAATTTGCTAATCATCTCTGTGTCGTTCCAATTTTAGTACATACGTGTACTACAGTCGTCTAATTAATTATTATTTACCTATTTATCCAAGGGACAACAATCGTGTTCATGGGCGCAGCCATGTTGAATCTCGCAAGATCACGTGACGATTCCAAGGTGTTTTTCTTATGAGAATTTTACATTGACAAAATGTAGTCGGTAGATCTACGTTTAATGAAAATGGATTTGTTTTAGATACTGGCAATTAATAGTATTGGTACGTAGTAATTTCGATGTTACAAAATTTAATGTGCTATTTATAAACCGTCTAAAAAAATCACAACAAATAAAAGCACGTGTCAAGTTGTGTCAAGCTGTGATGATTTGGCGGGAAATGTTGTCAGTGGGGCCTGATGCAGATTAACGAAAACGTTAAAGGGGCCCATGGAATATTGATATTAATGACTGGCATTTTGTGTTTGTAGCGATACAGCACGCAGTGTCGTAGCCTTTACTAATACAGAGTATACATAACGTGAGTTGCCAGCAGCATTTCAAGCCAAGTATTCTTATTATTATATTTATAGCCTATAGTATAGCGCCCCTTAGACTAATCCATGGACCGTTACTTTTTGGGCGTTATAGCGTCCCACTACCCCTTATAACTGAACCCCTTAACCCTAAGCACGTATTGCATTTTGAAAAAAACCCAACAAACTTATTGCAATTAAAGTAAAATGCATTTCCATGCTATGTGCTTATAGCCAAACTGATATAAAATTTACTTCTTTTAATTTGTGTAATTATTGAAATCTACATTGAAATCTCTCTTAATTGACAGTAGGCTATATACTGCCTTTCGATTGCTATACATGTAGTTTCGAGAAATTTATTTTACAAAATTGCTATTGAAACAATGATACATGTAGTTAAAAAGATTCTTAATGGTAGGACAACAAAGTTACAGTAGTCAATTTTGGAGGTTAGGTAGCAATCTGTTCATGGGGATTGACTTCCTTATGCTCCAGCCACAGTAGTGGACCGTCCTAAGGCTTTCCTTTGAGCAAATTTTGAAGTGAATTGACTTCAAAAAAGTCACTGGCCTATAACTCCCTTAATTTCCAATTACACTGACCTTTAGCTTAACATATAATAAACCGATTCCCATTAGGATAAAGGTGAAATGAAATGGGGTTTAACGTCCTACTGTTCTGCTCCTAACCTGGGCTAATGAAGACGGGCATACGCCATACAGTGTGCTATGAGGGAAATTTTGCCCGGACAGCGGCACTACGGCCTACTCTTATATCGAATTCCAACTGCCAAGGAATCTTTTACGTGCACGCCAATGTGTACACGGGACCTCGCTTTTTCGTCCCATCCGAACGACTCGACAGCTTTCCTTGTCAGCCCCTCCGTCCTGCATCACTGACAAGGGAGAACCACGCCGGAAAATCTGGATGAACTTTCTCGACCAATGCAGGGATCGAACACCCGACTTCCAGGCTAGCGAGCTAGCGTCTTACCCACTTAGCCACGTGATCCCCAGGATAAAGGTGAAACCTTACCGTATAATTATATGATTTCATTAAACCCATCTGTTATGCGAAATTTCTGTTCATTTTAAAATGGCCGCTGAACCAGAATCACATGGTGTCATGTCACTCGAAATTACAGAAAAATTGTTCGGTAAGATAAGATTATGATATCAGTGTTCCACTTTTCACTATTTGTAACATAATTACTTATTTCCAAGCAAACTGTGATGACATGTGTTGAAAATTTTGCAACTGAACCTAATTTTACTTGCTCAAAGCCTTGAATAGTGTATCAATTGCAGCCGTGAATTTAAGAATTATCTACAGCTACAAATTGCAGCTAGAAAGCAAAATGGTGATGAAGCATATACAACTGTATTGAGATTTATGTAATTTCTGCCATAGGCTGATCGATTGCTTTCCGACATGACTTCCCCTTGTCAGAGGATCTATATAACAAGGACAGCTGTCTAGTCGTTCGGATGCTATGGAAACTGAGGTCCTGTGTATACATTGGCATGCATGTAAAAGATCCCTTGGCATTTGGAATTCGATTTAAGAGTAGGCCATAGTGCTGCTGCCTGGACAAAATTTCCCTCATAGCACACAGTATGGTGTATGCCCATCTTCATTAGCCCAGTTCGGAGCAGAACAGTAGGACGTTAAACTTCATTTCATTTCATTTCTAATCGATTGCTTTCAGTTGTATTCTGTGTGTTTCTTGTACTAAGGTCAAGCCTGCATCTGTTAAACAGGCAGCTTCTTGAGTCTTAACCTACATCATCCAACTCCTCTCTGAAGCTAGATATTTTGCACATCAGCAGAGCTTTCTCAGTTACCTTTGACACTTGGCAGTCTTGTTTTTCCTGGCAAAATAGAGCCAATGCTTTCATCTTTTGCTATCTTTGATCATGTAGTACTAGTAGGCTCCAAAAATGCAAGAATGCGATAAAAAGATAGGTCATGATGCAAACTATCAGACTTCCCGCATCGGCCTTGGTTTGAGAGGTTTCATCTGGCCATTTCAACACTTCCAAAACTTTCCAGGCGTGGGCAGCAAGCATAGGTACAGCTACATGCTTGGAAATCGATCTTGTGTGTTACGAATGCTTTACTCGTATTGGTAAATGTTCCTTAAGAACATCCCAAGAGAGAGAGAGATGGGGTTTAAAGTAGCTATGTCTCTAACTTAATATCATCCAAAGTCTTACATGTTGAAAATGCGAATTATTTGTCAATTCAAATCAACATTGATGTTGTGATCTTACCGGGAAAATGTAGGCTTCTGATATCCAATATTTTAAGACAAAATAAACATTTTACCATTGGTACATGAATCGTGTACCATAGTGCGTTTCAGCATCATTTGTAACAAGTGACCAGAAAGAACAAGGCTAGACATATTCCACATCTCATGTCAAACGGTACGCCATATCTTATCTGGAGAGCATGCACAATAGACTGGAATAACCAGACGCTAGAAATTGCAAATAGGTTGAGACTCATGCCATATTTCGCTGGACGTAACTGATTTGAAATTAGAGTCAAAACGGAAAAAATTGAATGTAAATCAGTTTATATACAATCAGATTACATTATTATATGCGTTGTGACCCATTTGGGTCAATTTCTAGCTTCCAAACATTAGAGATTTAGCTCCTTTAACATCTACTTGACAGAAACTAGGTCATTTTGGACTAACAAATGGTTCAATTTTATTTCAATAATTTGCTTGCACGTAGGGGTGTTTAGCAGTGGGAGGAAGCAGGAGGACCCGGAGAACCCACGAGCTTGGACAGATGACCCTACTCGTTGTCAAGTACAACCGGGGAATCAAAACCACGCCAGTTGACTCAATGACAGATGTTATGATACAGCGTGCACACGCTAACCGTTCAGCCATCCAACTCCCTTCCTATGGGTGGAGCTTGAGAAGAATTTATAAACCTTTACCACAGTGCACACCAGCAAGACCAAGCCAATCATTGTTACACGTACATGGCATAAAGACTTCTTTGGGATTCATATCCAAAATATGTTTCTGTACACTAGCACCAGCCATAGGTTTGGTATTATTATATCCCTAGCTGTGCTAAGTGTTAAGGAAGTCTGTTTTCTGATGACATCAGATAAATAAAATCAATGAAACACACAACCACTCTGACTTCTGTATCTTCAGTGTGCTCATATCGAATCAACTGGGACATTTGGTCACAGAGAGAAATATTCAGAGTGCTATCAAACTTGATAGAAAGATATTTGGCCCTTGTGATGTTTTGAAAGATGGCTGTTCTAAGCACGTAAGGAAAGGATTTTATGTCTAGTTACTGCACACAATCAAGTTTTCGATATTTGTTTATAATTTAAATTTACTGGGATATTTTATTATCATTAATTATGTATACATTTTTTGTGATTTTTTGTATCTAGTTTGTATTGTGTAAAATCACCATATGTTTGACGATTTAAGCTGACATGTCATAAACCTCCATTTCATTCATTAATTCATTTATATGATATTAAGAATGGCTAAAGCTATTTGTTAAGGCCAGCTCAATATTCATCAAGGTTGCTGAGATGTAAATAATGGTAGGGCACATGATTGTTGGGGAGATTGACGGTTAGGGTTAGGGTAAGCATTGGGGTTAGGTCCAGGGTTAAGGTTAGGGTTGGGATTAGTGGCGTGCAGGGATCGAACAGGCTAGCGAGTCAGCGTCTTACCCACTTAGCCACCATGGCTCCCTACTGTTCTTGTGGGTTCAATATAAATTAGTATAGTTTAATGGTCTAACAGGTGCTCTTTAAGTCTGTCATTGAGTCAAGTGATTTGGTTTTGATCCCTAACTGTATGTGACATGTAGAGTTACCTGCCCAACTTCTCATCTGAACTACTAGATCTTGTACCCAGCCAGTCCTTTCGACCTGCGTCACTGACAGTAAGGTACTTCCTCAGCCAACACAAGGATAGAACCTGGGACCTCATGGTTAATGAACCAGCGCCTTGCTTGCTGAACCACTGTGGCTCCGTGTCGCAATCTAATAAGTCATTCAATTAAACTGTGCAGCAAATAGTAGATAGAGCAAACAGTAGAGGAACACTAAGTGGACAACAGAGAGTAGGGAATAAAACAGTTTCATGAGCACCTGTCATTAGGCCTACTCATTTTAGATCAATGTTGTTACCCAATTTTTCTAACCTTTCTAATGATCACTGGTTAGGATTGATTGTTCATTAATTTTATTCAAAAAGCGACAAACAAAAGTTGGGTCATATGGTAGCCTTTGGCAACAGGAAAATTATGTGCTGTCTACAGGATGCAATTAAATGTTAGCCAGTTACATTTTAGGTCTCCACTATAGATAATAATAAAAATGATAATAATATTTATTATTTAACATCAATTACATCAACATAGATCTAAATAGGCGGTACAAATATAAAAAGAAAAACATTAAAATATCACAGAGCATCGTGAAAAAAAAAGATGTATGTATATAAATAACATTTATGTTAAAAGTAGATCCACAATTAAAAGAAATAATTCAGAAAAGAGTCTTAAGAACATAACAAAAGTTTAAAATTGCTTAATTGACTTAAATATAATAATTAAATAATTAAAATTGATAATATGCTATGCTAAAAAGGTGAGTTTTTAGTAGGGATTTAAAAGATTCAACAAGTGATGGTGCATTTAACGGATGTTTAAAGGCGTGGCATTTATATTGACTGGCTGATATACTACAGTCAAGAATATAGGTTACGAACTTACGATTAAGTAGCACAAATTCAGGAAGTCATTAACTTGAATTTATATGACCTTTTGTGGGTCTATAGTGATATTGACCTCTATTAAATGATTGCGTGCAAATTTTTTAAATTGATTTATTACCAAGGCAAGTCATTAATATAGTTAAAATTTTCTCTCAGCTTTTGACAATGTTAAAGATACATTATGTAAGTAGTATAGTATATCAATGAATGGATATTTTTTAAAGATACATTATGTAAGATTTAGATAAAGAGCTAGCCATTCTTGCTATAATAGTTCGAAAATAGATCATGTAAAATGAATAATTTGAAAATTTCATTCAAATTACTCTATTGCGAGCGAAGATATTAGCCTTTTAAGGTTTGACAATACATGTGCAATGATTTCAACTAATGTACTGGTTGTTTGAAGCTAAGTCTCGCTCCTCCATTTTTAGCTTAAATCAAAATATGGCTGAACTGTTCTAATCTGTTTAATATTGGAGAAATCCGATGCCATTGAGAGTTCATTAAGGTCTGGAGAAGTTAATTAATGTCTAATTGATAACTTATAAAACATTTCAGGCCTAAATAAAGACCTGCAATAGGCAGATTTAGCTCTTGCATAATGTATGTTTAAATAAGTGTAAAAAAAATCTGTACAAGTAATAAACTCAAATGTCATACACCAACATTTTTATTGGATTGTATATTGCTGTCAGTCTGTGAAGATTGTTGATACTCGAAGGGCTACATGTCAAATACCAGCTTTAAAATACATTTAAATCACGTCACATTACATTTATTATTAAATATAATCTTTCTTGCTGGTGGGTTTATATATTTGTGTTTATCAGTATTTTCCGACGTGGCTTCCCCTTGTTAGTGGTGCAGGATGGAGGCTCTGACAAGGACAGCTGTCTAGTCCTTAGGACGGAGTAAAAAACCGAGGTCCTGTGTACACATTGGCTTGCATGTAAAAGATTCCTTTGCAGTTGGAATTCAATATAACAGTAGGCACACTGTATGGCGTATGCCCGTATTCATTAGTCCAGTCGGAGCAGAACAGTAGGTGTTTAAACACTATTTCATTAGCCCAGTCGGAGCAGAACAGTAGGACTTTAAACACTATTTCATTTATTTATTTGTGTTTTCTTTTTATTATTAAAGGTTTCAGCTTTATGGTGAATAATGTTAAATAATACCAGAGCTGTTTTAGTACACTGATATATACACATTTACTGTATTAGATAACAGAGAAGTAGTTATATCCTTATATACCTTGTGTAGTCACTGGAAGATAATGGAACAAATGCACCATGTACAAACAATTCAAGAAGGAACTGGAGAACAAAAAAATGCAACTGGATCTTAAGGATATTGAAGTAAGCTTTATTAACCTACATAAGAGTCTTAAAGATGGGTTCCCAGGAAAGTATTTATCGGGTGGTTATTTCCAATAAAAGTATGGTAATTTTGGTATATATGGCAAGTAGAGATATCCAATCTTACTAGAAAAATACTGGATTCCCCAAATATACAGGACAAAAATGTAAGGGTTCCCCTAATCAACAGCCCGACGATTAGGAATTTCTGCATGCGTGATGTCAAAGGTCACACGCGAACATTGAGCGCTTGATGTACAAGTTGATGAACTTTATGAAGAGTTAGACGTACAACACTTTCTGAGATAAAAATGACGGAAAAAGACGCGGGTAGTGGATAATCCGAGAATTTAATTAGGATTCGATAATTGTAATAAATAGTAAGCGATTAAAGACAACATCGTCCTACATGTATGTATGCAATGAATTCTCCTCTGACTTCCAAGAGAGGTAAGTCACGTGACGTAAACATGACCTGGTTTGATCGAATTTTTATAGCAGGACATTCCTTCGCAATTACAATGTTTGAGAAGGACTTGAAGCAAAGTTATGACAAATTAATTAGTTTGAATATGTTTTTAGTCCATATATACCATTAAATCACCCAGTTTGTACGCAGGAACCCATCTTTAACAGCATTAAAGCCCCTATGTACAAAACAGTGCATGGGGGGGGGAAGAGAGAGAGAAATGGGGTTTAACATTCACCAGAGGCGGATTTAAGAGGTGTGCCCTTTTTTACTGCTAAAAGTGCCCTTTCTCAGACCCAAATATGTCTGCATAGGCGAACGAGCCAGGGGGGCAGGGGGGGGGGGCAGCTGCCCTCCTAACTTTCGGGCAAGCTGACTTTTCGGGCAGACGGGTAAAGTGAATAAAAAATTTATTTCATCTACTTGGCAAAATAAAGTGCCCGAAATCTAACAAAACACTAATTTTACGGGCTGGAATAGCAGTAAAACGCGTTTGCGGCCGTCAAATATTCAAAAATTTTCTTGGGGAGTCTATACAAGGCCAGCTCCGCTTCTTCGCCACTCGAAGAAAACCTACGCCGCTGTCTGTAAACCTGATTTTTTTTCGGGCATTTCTAGTTTTGCTTCCCTAACTGTCATAGAGCCCTAATAAAACACTAATTTTACTTTTCTTTTAATTGAATACCACAAATTTCTACTGAGTTGACTATGGATTAAAACATTTTGTCTGGAGCCACTCTACTTTGTGTGACATTTTTCGGGCATCGATTATTATATGTGAATGCAGCTGCAACAGTCTGATTGGATGGTTGGATGGTTGAAATTCAGAATGGGATTTACGTTACACAACCATTGGATAATTTTGGAGTTGCTTACACGGGCTAGAATAGCAGTAAACACATTTACGGTGGTTTAATTTTCAAAATTTGAGTTGGTGGAGTCTTGGGCTTTTTCGAAGAGTGTCGCCCCAAAGAAGATCAAAAACAACAAGATGAATAGCACTTAGAGCCCAGCACCTGGTCCAAAAATCTTGTGAACTATCTAGAGTTTAAATTGATCATTCAAATGAATTGAAATTTATATGTGTCTTTGTTTTAATTGTAGACCTGTGATAAATTTATTCGTGTCTTTGTTTTAATTGTAGACGTGTGATAAATTAAAAAGATGTTGGGATATAATCGATAAACAATGTAATAATTATCGTAAAGATAATAATAAGAAGATAGTAACACCAGTTAAAGCTGGGGGATGGAGAACTGTTCGTATATTCGTCTCGTCAACATTTACAGATTTCTATAATGAAAGAGAAATTCTGGTAAAACAGGTAAAAACACATCTACTTGTTGTTATGATATGGTTTTAAGATAGTCCTACAAATGAAATGAAAGTAAATGAAATGAAATGGGGTTTAACGTCCTACTGTTCTGCTCCTATACTGAGCTAATGAAGACGGGCACACGCCATACAGTGTGCTATGAGGGAAATTTTGCCCGGACAGTGGCACTGCGGCCTACTCTTATATCGAATTCCAACTGTCAAGGGATCTTTTACGTGCACGCCAATGTGTACACAGGACCTCGGTTTTTCATCTAATCCGAATGACTAGACAGCTGTCCTTGTCAGGCCCTCCGTCCTGCATCACTGACAAGGGGGAACCACGCCGGAAAATCTGGGTGAACTTTCTCGGCCACTGCAGGGATCGAACACCCGACCTTCAGGCTAGCGAGCAAGCGTCTTACCCACTTATCCACCGTGATCCCCAATTGTCCTACAAATTAAAGATACATTATGTACAATTATATAAAAAGCTGGCAGTTCTCACTATAATAGTTAAAAACTAAATACTGTAAAGGGAATTTGCTGAAAATTTCAGTCAAATTGATCCACTATGAACTGAGATTTTAGCGATTTAATTTTTGGCCTAGCCTCTATCATTATTACTTATGTTGGTAGGATAAAAAGCATAGTCTTGATTATCCATTTCATGATTTTTATACGCCCACATTTTCATGTGGACGTATTATGCCATCGCCCCTGTCTGTCCGGACATCCGTCCGTCCACAATTGTTTGTTTCTTATCCGATTTTGACGAAACTTGAAATATAGGTTTATCCCCAAAAGATCTCGGCTGCTTTCGATATTGGCATGTATCGGATCGAAACTTCATGGATTATGGCCCCTGATTGTACGAAAAATCAAGTTTTTAGTTTGTGGACCCTATAGAGGTCACAATTTTTATCCGATTTTTTGGAAACTTGAAATGTAAGTTCATAACCCAAAGATCTCGGTTCCTTTCGATATTCGCGCATATCGGACCGTAACTTCCTGAATTGTTGCCCCTGATTGTACGAAAAATCACGTTTTTAGCTTGTGGACCCTTTAGAGGTCATAATTTTTATCCGATTTGGAAAAACGTATTATTATATCACCGTTACACCCTAAGGGAGGTTGAGTTCGAATTTCGTGAAAATTGGCCCAAAATTGACAGACAAAATGGCCGCCGTTCGTTCTCAAATAGTGTAAAAATATGGTATATCAAGGTTTTTATCCGATTTTGTTGAAAATTGAAATGTAAGTTTATAACCCAAAGATCTCGGTTCCTTTCGATATACACGATTTTGATGAAACGTGAAATGCATGTTTGTAACCTAAAGATCTTGGTTCCTTTCGATATTGTCGCATATCGGATTGTAACTTCCTGAATTATGGCCCCTGATTGTACGAAAAATCACGTTTTTAGCTTGTGGACCCTATAGAGGTCATAATTTTTATCCGATTTAAAAAAACGTAATATTATATCACCGTTACACCCTACGGAAGGTTGAGTTTGAATTTCGTGAAAATCGGCCCAAAATTGAAAGACAAAATGGCCGCCGTTCGTTCTCAAATAGCGTACAAATATGGTATATCAAGCTTGTGGACCCTATAGAGGTCACAATTTTTATCCAATTTTTTTAAAACTTAAAATGTAAGTTTATAACCCAAAGATCTCGGTTCCTTTCGATCTTCGCGCATATCGGACCGTAACTTCCTGAATTATGGCCCCTGATTGTACGAAAAATTGCGTTTTTAGCTTGTGGACCCTATAGAGGTCATAATTTTTATCTGATTTAAAAAACGTATTATTATATCACCGTTACACCCTAAGGTAAGATTAGTTAGAATTTCGTGAAAATCAGCCCAAAATTGACAAACAAAATGGCCGCCGTTCGTTCTCAAATAGCGTAAAAATATGGTATATCAAGGTTGTGGACCCTATAGAGGTCACAATTTTTATCCTATTTTGTTGAAACTTGAAATGTAAGTTTATAACACAAAGATCTCAGTTCCTGTCGATATTCGCGCATATTGAATTGTAATTTCCTGAATTATGGCCCTTGATAGGAGGAAAAATCACTTTCTTGTTAGCTTGTTCTCTATCCATCTCTCGAAAATGTGGGCGTATCCTGCCTGGCAGCCGCTGGTTTAATTATGAATGCATGTCGAATAGCAAATCGAAACCTAATCCAATAAACATCGCAGGCTAAGTTGATTATGGTCTGTATAAGTTAATTAAAGTCTAAATAATAATTTAGATAACATTTCAGGCCTAAAGAAAGACCTGCAAATAGGCAGATTTAGCTCTTGCATAATGTATGTTTAATATATGTATGTTTAAACTGTTATTGTTTCAGGATTGGTTATAAGTCTTTATCAATTAAAGATACATTATGTAAGATTTAGATAAACGCTGGTCAGTCTTGCTATAATAGATCGAAAATAGATAATGCAAAATGAATATATATTGAAAATTTGATTCAAATTGCTCCATTGTGAGCAAAGTTATTAGCTTTTGAAGGTTTGACAAGACGTGTGCATTAATTGCAACCAACTGTACTGGTTGTTCGAAGCTTAGCCTCACTTCACCGTTTATAAATTAAATCAAAATATGGCTGAACCGTTCTAATCTACTTAATATCGGAGATATCCTATGGCATCGAGAGTTGATTATGGTCTGGATATGTTTATTAATGTCTAATTAATAATTTAGATAACATTTCAGGCCTAAAGAAAGACCTGCAATAGGCAGATTTCGCTCTTGCATAATGCATGTTTAAACATGCATTATGTGATAGCTAAATCAGTCTGTTGCAGGTCTTTTTTTCTATCTTCACATGTTATATAAATTTTATTAGTTAGACATTTATTAACATGACAGTCCCGATAACAAACTCTCTAAGCCATTAGATGGCTTAGATATTTAATGAATTAGAACATCTTCACCATTTAAAAAATTTTACAATAAACTTTGTTTACTATTGTAGCAATGGTATTTGACAATCGAGGCTATCTTGTGAAAACTTCAAATACTCATAACTTTGCTCAGAATAAAGTAACTTGACTAAAATTTCCAAAATATCTATTTCTCATTACCTATTATTGAACTATTATAGCACGAATGGCGAACTATTTATCGAAAATCTTACATGATGCATTTTAAAAAATTCAGATGATTAAAAATGAATCGGCACTAAACCAAATTTGAATTTGTTACAAGAATCAATTTTTCTTGTCCAGGTATTCCCGGAATTAAGAGAATGGTGTGAAGCAAGAAGAATACAATTAATAGATTGTGATTTACGATGGGGAATACCAAAAGATACAACAACAGGAGAAACAATAGCTGTTTGTTTAGAGGAATTAGATGCTTGTTATGAAACCAATGAGGGAGAACCTTTTTTCTTGAATATGACTTGTGATAGGTAATGTAATACTATGCATCTATCTTGAATATGACTTGTGATAGGTAATGTAATACTATGCATCTATCTTGAATATGACTTGTGATAGGTAATGTAATACTATGCATCTATCTTGAATATGACTTGTGATAGGTAATGTAATACTATGCATCTATCTTGAATATGACTTGTGATAGGTAATGTGCTTGATAACGATAAGAGGATACTTGTCGAAACGTCGTGCTTTTAGAATAAACTAGTGATTGTATCCCATAAAAACTGTGTTCTGTTAAGGTAATGTAATACTATGCATCTATCTTTTGCTCCAGATAAGACCCTAAGAGTTGGTAGAGAGCAAGAAAGTCTGAAACTTTCTCTATATAGAGTAGCTATCTACACAAATCTTAAATATTGAGTTTACTAATGCTAGGTTCTCACTATCATGATTTGCGCTACGACTGAAATCGTGGTTTTAATCGTAGAGTATTTGTAGTGTTTCTGTCACGTTTCTGTCATGCTGATTGTATCGAAACGTATCCGCATGTATCTGCACGTACATGTACCAGACCACAGGCTCAATAGAGACATTCCTATCGTAACACATCGCACGAAAGTGGGAACCTAGCATTAAGAGCGAGAAAATCTGAAACATTCTGTACATACATTGCTGAAGAGCAAGAAAGCCTGAAGAATTCTTTACACAAATCTTATGTATTGAGTTGTTAAAGGGCAAGATAATCTGAAACTTTCTTGTATACGTCGTATAACTTATATTTATCCACAAAAGTCGTATTATAGATTATTTTGTTGCAGATATGGTTGGATACCATCAGAAGAAGATATACCAGATGATGTTAAAGAAAAGTATGATTGGGTACCAGATACTTCAATAACTTTCATGGAGATACTTCATGGTGCCTTGAGGTTAACTATGTTATTATTTAATGTCAGTTATATACAAAGGGGCATATAGATGTTCAATTATTTCTGATAAGTACTCCCAGAGTTGTTAGCATTAATCATTTGAATAAGGCTAATGATTTTTATTAAAATGAAATGGGGTTTAACATCCTACTGTTCTGCTCCGACTGGGGATGAGTCATACAGTGTGCTATGATGGAAATTTTGCCCGGGCAGCATCACAATGGCCCACTCTTATATTGAATTCCAACTGCTAGGGGATCTTTTACATGCATGCCAATGTATACACGGGACCTTGTTTTTTGTACCATCCAAATGACTAGACAGCTGTCCTTGTCAGGCCCTCCGTGCTGCACCACTGACAAGGGGAAACCACTATCTTGGCCAAAGCAGGGATCAAACACCTGACCTCCAGGCTAGCGAGCCAGCGCTTACCCACTTAGCCAATTGACTTAGAATTTATATGTTGCTTATGTTAGTGCAGAGCAAATGACCTTTAGAATTTCTGATCATTATTTCGTATGTTGTTGCCCTTGATCTGTTTTAGTGTCCTGTAAAGACTTTAGATATGCATGAAAAAATTACCATGCTTAGTATGGGATGGGGGGGGGGGGAAGTATGTTTCATTGCCTAAAAGCCTATCGTTCAGTATTTACAGTGAATATACATTTTATGCTTGTTATATGGTGCACATTTAAAGTTTATGAATAAATTTCCCAATGATCAGGCATTCTCAGACTCAAGTTAAGAATTTACTCAAACTTGTTGGCCTTTTTTTAACTAATATATAGCCCTTTATAAAACTTTTGTTTGTATCAAATACATCAATAAGAAACTATATGCAAAGTTTTGTGTTTCTGGATCAAAGATATTTCTCATAAACAGTGATTGAAAATTGTGTAAATTCGTCATAAACAATGATTGAAAGTTGTGTAAATTCTTCATAAACAGTGATTGAAAGTTGTGTAAATTCGTCATAAACAGTGATTGAAAGTTGTTTAAATTCGTCATAAACAGTGATTGAAAGTTGTTTAAATTCGTCATAAACAGTGATTGAAAGTTGTGTAAATTCGTCATAAACAGTGATTGAAAGTTGTGTAAATTCGTCATAAACAGTGATTGAAAGTTGTGTAAATTCGTCATAAACAGTGATTGAAAGTTGTTTAAATTCGTCATTAACAGTGATTGAAAGTTGAGTAAATTCGTCATAAACAGTGATTGAAAGTTGAGTAAATTCGTCATAAACAGTGATTGAAAGTTGAGTAAATTCGTCATAAACAGTGATTGAAAGTTGAGTAAATTCGTAACTCAAGTCTAAGAATGCTTTGTGAACTCAGGGCCTGATGCATTTGTAGTTAATTCTATGATTTTCTCCACAGGAAAGGAAATAGTAATGCAGTATTTTTCATTCGAAATAATGATTTTATTTCTCAAATCCCTAAAGATCATTTAACAAGATTTAAAGACATTGATACATACAGCCAACAACAATTAAAAGTAAGCTGATTATTTAAAGTTGGAATGCAATGAAATGAAATGAAATGGGGTTTAACGTCCTACTGTTCTGCTCTTAACCTGGGGTTTAACGTCCTACTGTTCTGCTCTTAACCTGGGGTTTAACGTCCTACTGTTCTGCTCCTATACTGGGCTAATGAAGACGGGCATACGCCATACAGTGTGCTATGAGGGAAATTTTGCCCGGACAGCGGCACTACGGCCTACTCTTATATCGAATTCCAACTGCCAAGGGATCTTTTACGTGCACGCCAATGTGTACACGGGACCTCGGTTTTTCGTCCCATCCGAACGACTAGACAGCTTTCCTTGTCAGCCCCTCCGTCCTGCATCACTGACAAGGGAGAACCACGCCGGAAATGTTGGAATGCTGATTAGAGATTGTTGAATATATTTATATATAACGCTTTCACATCTTCCCGCATTTGTAAATTTGTATGCTTGATAATGACCAGTGAAAATTTGTCGAAACATTGTGTCCATTTAATATGGGGATTGTGTTTTGATATATATTGATAGAATAAAATTTCTACACATTTAAGGGGGGTTGGATGACAGAATGGTTAGCATGTGCGCGTTGTATCATAAGATCTGTCATTGAGTCAATTGGCGTGGTGTCGATTCCACAGTTGTACGTGACAATAAGCAGGGTTGCCTGGTTTTCTCTAGGTCCCCCCGGTTTCCTCCCACTGCTAAAGACCACAATGTGGAAGCGAATTATTGAAATGAAAATGAACCACATGTTAGTACTGAAATGACCTAGCTTGTATCAAATACAGGTTAAACTCGAGCATGTCGTTATTCTAATTAATAGAAAATTATTTTTACAGCTTTTGAAAGCAAAAATGTCTGAAATATTTCCGACTCAAGTATATTGTTATGATGTAAAATACAAGGGCGTGTCTGAAGTAGAAGGCAAAGAACTGGTATGTTGATGATTATAATAGATTTTTTGATATTAATTAATTTTATTTGATTGTTTTTTTTATCCCATTTCAAATAAAGTCAGGGAAGGATATTGGTTTCTGGAGCACATCTCATAAACTTTGTATACATGTTAACCTGTTATAGTAGCCTTTGACTAATTTATCCCTTTTCCAAATGAGCACATCTTATAAACTTTGTATACATATTAACCTGTTATATTAGTTGTGCCTTTGGCTGATTAGAAAAATTCTCAAATTGAATAAGTTTTGTGTTGGTATAAATTGTTTATTCTAGAGCATTTATTAGAGTAGTTCTGCCTTTTGCTCATTGAGCTTTAAGAGCTTTTGTGTTTCCATGAAAACAAATTGAGTTTTTGGTATACAAGTATTATTCTGTTACATATCTCATAAACTGTTCATATTCATTGGATTGTGTATTTTTTAATTGAAGAATGTTTAAAATGATTTTTGTTTGGTTTTATACAGGTAATTATTGAAGAATTAGAACAATTTGCTGGTCAAGTTCTAGATTTCTTTAAATCAGCCATCGAACAAAAATATCCTGTTCCTGAATTACACAATGACATTCCGATTGAAGAATTAGGTGAGCAACTGATCTACGTTGGTTAGAAACAAAATCTGTTTAGTTTTAATATGTTCAGATATTGAATTTAAAAATTGTGGACTTCAAGACATACGATATAATCACCTATGATGGGTGAAAAATATAAAATCTGCCTCAATCGTTTCCGTTTTTACTCAAATTTCGAATCAGTTATGTTCGGCGAAATACACCAGAAGTCTCAATTGAATGGCAATCTCTAGCGTCTGGTTATTCCAGTCTACATCGATAGTATTTACTGCGCATGCTCTCCAGATAAGAATGTGGCATCACCGTTTGACATGACTTGTGGAATATATCTAGCCTCGTTCTTCAAGTGCCTTGTTACAAATGGCGCTGAAACGCATTATGGTACGCAATTCTTGTACCAGTGGTAAAATGTTTGTTTTATCTTAAATATTGGATATCAGAAGCCCATCTTTTCCTGGTAAGATCACAACATCAATGTTGATTTAAATTGACAAATAATTTGTGTTTGAGACTTAGCTACTTTAAAATATAAATGTTATTGTTATAGAAAAAGATCACCAATGGGCATTTATTACTGAAAGAGCTGAGTCTATGATAGGAAGAGAAAATGAAGTAGAATTGTTGTTGAATTTCTGTAAAGGTGAACCATGTAATATTAAACAAACAGGTGAATTTAAATAAATTCTTAATTTAGAAGTATTTCAGTATTAGGTAAATTTTGAATTATCTCCCTTGACACATCAGGGGGAGATAATTTGCCATAAGGAAATTGTATCCTGTAATTGTTACTATAAGATTGTTTGTTTATGTATGTATACTCCAATGTCTTTTTAGGCAACACAAATAAAATAAGTTGTTTCTCGGGCACCGCCCGCACGCAAAATTGGTTGCGCGTGCGGCCTATTTATTAGTCTTGATGAAAAATAAAAGATATGTAACGCCCGCCCGAACATCGATAAGCAAGTCATAAAAAGAATATGCTGCATGTACCTACATGCGTCATACGTGTATATCCATTCAAATGTATTAAACTGATCCAGATGTAAATGCTCATTTACGGGTCTTTTTTTATTGATATCGAAAGAACCTCCATTTTTGTATCACGTGATTTTAATTACCTCCCCTGGTGAACTAGAATTTGATTCGTGTTCAACACCGAAAGTCATTGACAACAATGCAATGTATTTCAATCATTCGATATTAATCGGCTCATTATTGCCGGCTTCAGTTGGTCCATGTTTGAAAAATCCTATTGATAAAACAATGAATCGTAGAACAGGTTAATTATTACTTGTGGCTACGAATACGACACGATGATAGTCACCATACCTCAGTCAGAATTTGGGTCATTAGCACATTTAACGGTAGTTTTGATAATCCGGAAAATAATAATTGGATTTCACATTTGATGGTTTTACTGACCAGTTGTTAGTTAAATTTAAATAGTCATTCGATATAAACCCCAGATAGAACACCGAACATCATGAGAAACACACCGAATATCCTGAGAAACAGTCATTTCCCGAATCCCGATGACACGTGACATGCATTTGGTGGAATTAGGTCAATAATTATAAACCAGCGATACTAGATATAGTTCTAAGTGTCGTTTACCGTGATGATTATTTTTGATACACATGCTGACAGAGGCTTACTCTTTAAAATATTGTCTTTATTATGGACGGCTATTAATAGTCGTATGGAATTCTATTTTAGTTTGTCACCATTACCATTAGTAAGCTACATTACGTGAATTAAATATGGAAAATTATTTTCCTTTCAGTCAGTGTTCAGTGTTTGAGTAGACTTGATTTTTGGGTTTATGTTCTAAGTATGTACAATATATAACTGAAAGCAAAACTGTAGACAAGTAATGACTTTCTCATTAAAAAAAAAAAAAAAAAAAAATACAAGGCCGCCCTCCCGCCCCAACAATTTTCAACAATAGCCTAATTTTATTTTGCACCATCCTCTAGCTAGCAATGGGGTAAAAAAAAAAAAAGAAATGCCCTCCCCCCCTACAGTTTCAGCTGTCAGTTGCCCGAGAAACAAGACATTTATTTTGTGTAGCCTTAGGGTCGCCTGTCCAACCTCGTTGGTTTTCTTCTGGTCCTCTGTTTTCCTTCCACTGCTAAAGACCCCTACGCTCAAGCAAATTATTAAAAAAAAATAAAATTAAACCATATGTTAGTCCCGAAATGACCTACGTTAAACCCCATTTCTCTCTCTCTCTCTCCAATGTCTTTCATACCTATTTGTACTTCACATCCCTTATGGTGCACACACATTTCACTATTTATTGTCATATTTCACCTTTCATCTTTCATAAATCAATCTGCCCATCTATGATGACATGACCTGATCCTCCTCCAAGCACGGGGGGTTGGATGGCTGAATGGTTAGCGTGCGCACACTGTATCATAAAGTCTGTCATTGAGTCGACTGGCGTGGTTTCGAATCCCCGGTTGTACGTGACAAGGAGTAGGGTCGCCTGTCCAACCTCAAGGGTTTTCTCCGGGTCCTCTGGTTTCCTCCCACTGCTAAAGACCCCTGTGCGCAAGCGAATTATTAAAATAAAATTAAACCATATGTTAGTCCCGAAATGACCTCGTTGTGTGAGTGGACATTAAACCCCATTTCTCTCTCTCTCTCTCTCTCTCTCTCTCTCTTCCAAGGACCCCATTTGAAATAAACCTAGTTTTAATTTAGGCAGGTTTTTATGGGTTATCCTCTTGAGTCAAGAGGCTGATCATTCATGACATCATTACTCTTTCTCTCATCAAAACTTTCGTATCTTATTATCATCTAACTTTATACTATCACCTCTATTCTCATGTTTGATATGCCTCTTCCAAAAATAAATAAATAGATAAATACTACAAATGATAGTAAAATACAGATATATGATAATTCTTTTTTCAGAGATAAGCCAACCTTCTTCAAGTGAGTATTGCACTTCTTTTGTATATGTTGTTATTTTTGTATTGAATAAAGACTAGTTAAAGATACAGTATGGGAGATTAGATAAAGAGTTGGCAGTTCTCACTATAATAGTTAAAACCTGGATAATGTAAAGGGAATATGCTGAAATTTTCAAATTGCTTTACTCTGAACTGAGAATTTAGCAATTGAAGTCAGTACGATAAAAAAAAACATAGTCTTGATTATCCATATTTGCATTTTAATCATCAATGAATGTTGAGCAGCAGATCGGATTGAAATCCAGTGAAAATCGAACACATAAGATGACATCGAGAGTTGATTTTGGTCTGGATAAGTTAAAGATACATTATGGGAGATAAGATAAAGAGATGGCAGTTCTCGCTATAATAGTTAAAAACTAGATAGTGTAAAGGTAATTTGCTGAAAATTTCAGTCAAATTGATCCTCTATGAACCGAGAAAGAACCGGGTGAAATTTTTGCATAGTCTCGGTCATCATTACTAAAATCATTAATATTACCAGCATAGTCTCGATTATCCACTTTTATTGATTTAATTATCAATAGCCGTTAGCGGCATATAGGAATCTAATCCAGCCAACATCGAAGGCTAGCCTTGACATCGAAGGCTAGCCTTGACATCGAGAGTTTATTATGGTCTGGATAAGTTAATTAATGTTTAATTGATAACTTAGATAACATTTCAGGCCTAAAGAAAGACTTGTAATAAGCAGATTTTGCTCTTGCATAATGCATGTTTAATTAATGTCTTATTAATAATTTAGATAACATTTCAGGCCTAAAGAAAGACCTGCAATTGGCAGATTTAGCTCTTCCATAATGTACATGTATGTTGAAATGTACCTTCATGGATTATAATTATGCTGTCTTCTATAACAATTGCCTTGTTTATCTTCCATAGGAAAATCTGAAAATTGGAATTTAGACGAATCTGATAATAAATTGTGTGTTGTAGAAGCTAAAAGTGGTTGGGGTAAAACTTCTCTACTAGCTAAAGTTACAGCTATACTTGTGCAGGTACATGTATAGACTTCAATCTGATTTCGTTTCGTTTTTTATAGATCAAAACTTTGTTTTACTTGTCTTTACTACACTAGGATCTGGAAGAGTTGTTATATTACCGGTGTTCTGGTTGAAGTGAGGGGTTAGCCTAGAAAACGAAGAATTCTTTGCTTGTGCTCAGGGCTGCCGACAACCAGTATCGTAGCGCAATTTGCGATACATATTTTGTCCGTTGCTAATCAAAAATTAAAATCTAAAGTTTTTGATTCGCAGTAACTGCGAATCATTAATATGCCTGTCATTTTGGATATTGACACAAGGATAATCCACATTTGAAGACTAAAAGGCTTTCTAAACACTTTCAACGTGTATAAAATGTTGAATAAAATTTTATAAACAAAACTGAATTCTCCGTGTGACATTTTTTCTCGAACTACCCAGACACAATTCATTATACGGTACTATATAATACAGGGACATAACTCTATGAATAGGGACTATTAAACCGGAAATAGGGAATCAAGTAGTACCACTCACGTTGCGAGACATCAAGTAATTATATTATATTCATTTTGAAAGAAATAAATCCAGTGTATCCCCCACCTATTGTTAATAAAATATAAAAAAATAAATATATGTTAACGTATGTAAAATGATAAATCAAAGTAAAAATTCCTGTAAAATATCGCGTGTGTCTAGTTAATCGAGGTGCGCCCGATTGAACAAAAATAGCAATACACGATAAAAAGCAGACGAAATTGTTTTCTAACGAAGATTTCTAACGTAACAAAAAATAACAATTAAAATGATTGGGGCCTTGGAAGTCACTGTTAAGAATTGGCTTCAGACATAAGACCTAACTAAATGTCTACACCACATTCACAAACTGTCACAAGTACTTGTGGCAGTGATAAAAAAATCTAAGAATAGTAAGAATGGAATCTAATCATATTTGTTATGAAGTAAAGTAATATCTTGTTATTTAGGTTTTTATGTTGAAACTGAAAAACTGCTAATCAATTTTTAAATTTGCTAATCAAATTTGGCAAAATTGGACTTTTTGATTAACAGTGCTGCTAATCAACTGTGAAAAATTACCGACAGCCCTGCTTGTGATGTACGGAACTGTGGGTAGATCACTAGAAACGTCAACGCTGATTGATTAATCAATATCTGATGTCATAGGGTCAAAAGCCGCTTGTACGACCCCTGGCGTTACTTTTTAGTACAACTGCTCAGATCTTCGTGTAGTTTAGGCCATCAAAAGTATAAAAAACGAAATGAAATATAGATCTGTATTTTAATCAGTTTGGTATAGACTTTTATGTTACTCAGTTTATTCATAACATTAAAGATGAATTATGTAAGATTTAGATAAAGAACCGACTGTTTGCACTACAAAAATAGATAATGAAAAAGGAATATATTGAAAATTTCACTCAAATTACTTCATTCTGAGCAGAGTTATGAATATAAAATGGTGGTCAGGTTTCAACCCGTTGTATCATAAGGTCTGTTATTGAGTCAACTGGCGTGGTTTCTGTTCCCCAGTCTATACAACCTCGTGGGTTTTCTCTGGGTCCTCCATTTTCCTCCCACTGCTAAAGATCCCTATACGCAAGTGAATTATTGAAATAAAATTCAACCATATGTTAGTCCCGAAATGATCTAGTTTGTGTCCAGTGGACATTGAAATCTCTCTCTCTCCCTCTCTCTCTCTCTCTCTCTCTCTCGCTCTCTCTCGCTCTGAATGTGTAGTTGTATATAGATATTGAATAAATTTTTAGCCCCAGTGAAATAAACTGATTTGGCCCATAATGCAGCAAGTAGTTCTTATTTCAAATACATATCTTTATTTATTGTTGTCGCTTTCTCAATCATACAAAGGCAGCTTATTGTTCTTATTTCATATATACATATATAAATTGTCTGTTATCATGTTGTAACCTCTACTTGAAGAATGAATAAATAATAGATAAATAAATACTTTGACTATATTTTCAGGAGGGTTTTGATGTTTTTTATCATTTTTGTGGTGGAACTAATTTGAGTCGTCAGTCTAGTAACTTGATACAAAGATTACTCCACTATCTGGATATACCACCTAAGGGTAATTGTTATTCTTTCATTGAGAATATGAGACAAAATTGTTTTTACAACCCCACATTGAAATATGGTCGTATATTGTCATCGCCCCCGTCAAACTGAGGCCATCAGACAAAAAAGCCTATTGATTTTCAACGATTTTTTGTAATTACTGCCAGAGTTATGGCCCTTGATCACTTCGAAAAATCTTGTGGATGCTTTAGAGACCATAGTTTTCATCTGATTGATTTTATATTTATATACTGTGTTTATGCCTATATATAATCATTTCGATTGACTTTAGATTGATACACAGAGTTAAAGTTCTTGAGACAAACAAGTATATTGATTTTCAATGATTTTTAATAACTTGAACAGCTAAATCCATGGTACTAAATATTTTGTATATGAAATGTTAGCATGGGCCAAACAAATTCTAATGATTTTCTGATAATTACTTAATGAGTTACTCTTAATCTGATTTGAGTGCATCATTACCGACAAAAGTAAAAATATGCGACAACTCTTGTTGATTTCTCGGCCGATTTAGCTTCTGTGGGCGTATGTTTCGTTGCCTGGCAACCTATCTTTATAACTTTCAAGAAAACTTTAACCGCTACTTGCCATTGTTGCTGATCGTCCATAACAGTAATTGAAATATCACAATGTTTTACAATTCATTGTGAATTTGCATGTTACATTTATGATCTTGTTCTCTTCATTTCTGGTGTTGAACATTGCTAAAGTGTAACTATGTCACAAGAAAATATTATTTAGAGAAATTATGAATGAAGTTACATGCATGTCACCTGAGATCACAATATTTTGGAGTTTGAACTGGGCCAGCAATGAATGTGGTTGCATATAGTAGCGGAATGAAACTTAGTGGAGATTAGATGATCTTGTGAACGGTGTTGTTAGAAGCATGTTTCACAGAGTACTACTTTGGTTGTCAATTGCTCATATGAGAGCAAAGACCACTATCAGATTAAAATATAGATCTATATTTCGTTTTGATTTTTTATACTTTCGATGGAAGTTTGTGTCAGGGGTAATACGAGCGGCTTTTGACCCTATGACGTCAGACATTGATTAATCAATCAGCGTTGATGTTTCTAGTGGAATTCCCACATTTCCATGCACCACACGCTAATTAAAGTAAAACAAAATTTTGAACTATAAAGGGGGGTTGGATGGCCGAATGGTTAGCACGTGCGTGCTGTATCATAGGACCTGTCATTGAATCGACTGGCGTGGTTTCGAATCCCCGTATGTACGCGACAAGGAGTAGGGTCGCCTGTCCAACCTCGTGGGTTTTCTCCGGGTCCTCCGGTTTCCTCCCACTGCTAAAGACCCCCTATGTGCAAGCGAATTATTGAAATAAAATCAAAAACCATATGTTAGTCCCGAAATGACCTAGTTTGTGTCGAGTGGACGTTAAATCCCATTTCTCTCTCTCTCTCTTGAACTATAAAAACAAAACGAAATACGATCTGTGTTTTAATCAGATTGGCAAAGATCACTAAAAATTGTTTTATATATGTGTAGCAATGTATCATGTTTTTTTTTTTTATTTTGTCCAGCTAAAGCAGAGGAAAATGAAGAGGAAACTAAACCATTAAATTTACTTAAAGATGCCTTTGAAGAGATTCGTAAATCAAAAAGAAAAATTATTATTGTATTTGATGCTGTTAATGAGGTAAGGAATATTCAAAATTAAAAGTCCTTTATGTAGGTTATGACAGTACATTTGCAAAGTTGAAATATAGGTTTATCTCCAAAAGATCTCAGTTCCTTCTGATGTTGGCATGTATCAGTTTGAAACTTCCTGGATGGTGACCCCTGATTGTATGGAAAATCACGTTTTTAGTTTGTTGACACTCTAATGTTATATCATTTGTTAATTTGAGAAATTGATTTTCTTTATTCCTTTAACAGTTAACAAGTATGGCACTGAATAATCATTTATCTTGGTTGCCACCGACAACACCTTGTAATGTCCGCTGTATTGTCAGCTGTAATCAACATGCACCGTCTCTAGCCAGACTTGCTGAACATCCATGTTACTGGTTTCAGTTGGCAGACCTAGGTGAAAATAATTTAAAGGCATTGGCTGTTAGTTATCTTGGTACTTTTAATAAGGTTTGTACCGTGATTCATTCCTTAATTGCTTTATTTCTCTTTTTTTATACGCCCACATTTTCATGTGGACGTATTTTGTCGTCGCCCCCTTCCGTCCGTCCGTCCACAATTGTTTGTGAACAGTCTACAGGTCACAATTTTTATCCGACTTCAATGAAACTTGAAATAAAGGTTTATCACCCTAAGATCTCGGTTCCTTTCGATATTGGCATGTATCGGACTGTAACTTCATGGATTATGGCCTCTGATTGCACGAAAAATCACGTTTTTAGCTTGTGAACACTGTAGAGGTCACAATTTTTATCCGATTTGGTTTAAATTTGAAACGTTTAGAGGTCACAATTTTTATCCGATTTTGTTGAAACTGAGTTCGAATTTCGTGAAAATCAGCCCAAAACTGACAGACAAAGTGGCCGCCCTTCGTTCTCAAATTCACGCATATCGGATTATGGCCCTTGATTGAACGAAAAATCGTGTTTTTAGCTTGTGGTCCTTGTAGAGGTCATAATTTTTATCTGATTGAAAAAAAATGTGTGAATATATCACAATTACACACTAAGATCATGGATCCTTTTGATAATCGCAGATACCCAAACTTAACTTCCTGGATTATGGCCCCTGCATTTACGAAAAATGGCATTTTTAGCTTGCAGATTCTCTAGAGGTCACATTTTTTTTTTTCCGATTATAAAAAACGTTTAAATATTTCACCATTCCACCATTTTGAAGGTTTAATTCGAATTTCGGGAAAATCGAAATAAAACTGCCCAACAAAATGGCCGCTCTTTGTACGCAAATTGTGTAAAAGTATGCAATACGAAGGTTGTCGACCCTCTTAGAGGTCACAATTTTTGTCTGATTCTGATGAAACTTAAAACATATCTTTATATCCCAAAGATCTCAGTCCCTTTTGATATTTGCACATTTAAGACCATAACTTTCTGGATTATTGCCCCTGATTGTACAAAAAATCCTGTTTGTTATTAGCTTGTTCTCTATCCATCTCTTGCAAAATATGAGCGTAACCTGCCTGGCAGCTTCGTGTTTAATTTGACAAATCCAGACCTTTTCACCAAGAAGTTCTAGCAGTAATTTTTATAATCTAAGATTAAAGTCCTGATGTACCAGTTTAGCACTATAAAATCACTTGCAAATTCCAATTTTGTGAAAGATGAATCTCTAATAGGAACATAGGTCCAAAAATGGTTCAATTCCGTTCATTACTTACAAAGATATGTAGAATTGAAATTTCATCAATTTATGCTGCTTCTCTACGTAATAAGCCTGCCATCATTTTGTTGTCTTCTAAAGTTATTGATAGACCTGTTTTACATATAAATCTGATTGAATCACAGCTGGAACAATATTTTGATGGGTTTTTTTTATTTTTGTTTTCTTATTTAAATGTTAAATAATCAATCTGGGTACATATTAGCGTGGATTAAGCCGTGAGAAATTTGATATTCTAGTTACAAATGCAAATGGTGCATCGTTATTTCAATACAAAAATTTCATACTTGCACATAAAAAGACAAAAGGTTCCAATTGGGTCAGATTTCTTGTGTTTGATTTACTGGAACAGATATGTTTTTCCATTGAACATTTTATATCCATAGATTCAAACAAAAAACGAAATAAAACAGAGTTTAACGTCCTACTGTTCTGCTCCGAACTGGGCTAATGCAGACAGGCATACGCCATACAGTGTGCTATGAGGGAAATTTTGCCCAGGCAGCGGCACTATGGCCTACTCTTACATCAAATTCCAACTGTCAAGGGATCTTTTACATGCACGCCAATGAGTACACGGGACCTCAGTTTTTCGTCCCATCCGAATGACTAGACAACTGTCCTTGTCAGGCCCTCCGTCCTGCACCACTGACAAAGGAAAACCATATCAGAAAATCCCGATGAACTTTTTCGGCTAATGTGGGGATAGAACACACAACCTCAAGGCTATCGAGCCAGCATCTTAACCACTTATCCTCTGTTGCTTCCCTAACAGAAAACATTTACCGTATTGTTATCTTTACAGAGATTAGATGAAGAACAGTTAGATTTATTAGTTAATGGTACAGGCGTAGATAATCCTTTGTGGATCCGACTGATGTGTGAAGAACTACGCGTGTTTGGTGACTTCAGAAATCTAACTAGTAAAATAAGAGATTTGCCTAAATCTCTGGATGAATTATTTAGTACTATATTTACACGACTTTTAGCGGAAGATAGCACTGGTTGTATTAAAAAGGCAAGACAAATATTTTTATATTTAAAGGACAATATTGGTGTAATGCAGTCATTATCACATATTTGATAGAACTGGTTCAACACGTTCTAAATATAATTTTAACTCATAGATCATTGCTACGATAGATGGGTAATGGAGCTTTTAAAAACGAAAGTGACGAAAGCAAAAGGAAAACACAAATTATCCCTTCATAAAACGGACTGAAGTGTCAAGTGATAACAGGCGATTTTTCTGCTCACTAATAATTCCTTCAAAGACCAAACGTTGTCATATGAGACTGTAAGAGGATATCTGACAGTTTATAAAAAATAATTGACTGTCAGTAGATAAAAGAAAACGAAAAAAATAGAAAAAGTAAGTCTGTATATTACCATGTTTTTTTAAAGTATAGAATGGAAAAAAAACACGAATGTACGGACTATTTCTATTTTAATTGTAATGTGTGTTTATTTATTCTATATTTCAGACTCTATGTCTTATTGATATATATAATGTGGTATACTGTTAGCTGATATAATGTATTCTATATTTCAGACTCTATGTCTTATAGCTATATCTTACTGTGGATTACCTTAGCTGATATAATTTATTCTATATTTCAGACTTTATGTCTTATTGCTATATCTTACTGTGGATTACCATTAGCTGATATAATGTATTCTATATTTCAGACTTTATATATAATGTGTGTTATTTTATTCTATATTTCAGACTCTATGTCTTATAGCTATATCTTACTGTGGATTACCATTAGCTGATATAATGTGTTCTATATTTCAGACTTTATATATAATGTGTGTTATTTTATTCTATATTTCAGACTCTATGTCTTATAGCTATATCTTACTGTGGATTACCTTAGCTGATATAATGTATTCTATATTTCAGACTCTATATATAATGTGTGTTATTTTGTTCTATATTTCAGACTCTATGTCTTATAGCTATATCTTACTGTGGGTTACCATTAGCTGATATAATGAAGATATTAGGAGATGTTGTTAAAAATGAAATTATATTAATACCAAGGTTACACTGGGCTCAAGCCAGACGTCATTTAAAACCTTATATTAGAACTATTGGTTATCCTAATGATATTCTTACTTTTTCTCATGAATACTTGTGGAAGGTAAGTTTTATAATAAATGTATATCCACTGAAACCGAAAATTGAATGAAGGCCAATAATTTGTTTTAAAATGAAAAGTTCCACTCTTCCAATTTTATTGGAATGGATAAAACAGACATACATTTTTAGCCTGAATTTTTATAGATACCGTATTATTTTAGTTGTCGTCGGCGACAAGTAGATTTTTTTTCTACTTGTCCATTGAAAATGTTACTTGGATTCGACAAGTAGACAAGCGTTATTTCGACCCCTGATCACATGCCAAGAACTCTCCGTAACACACCATTTCATTGGCTAATCTCTCACATCAACTAGAACGCATATTATATAACAACTCTTCTGGATCCAAGTGTAGTAAAGAGAAGTAAAATAAAATTTTGAACTATAAAAAATGAAACGAAATAGGATCTGTGTTTTAATCAGATTACTCTTCTTGATAAAGAGAAGTTTATTGATAATAAACAGTTAATATAGAGTGATGACAATGATTTTACTCTGATTTTAGGCAGTGGAGAAGATCTTACTTACAAACAGAACAGAAGTTGTTAAAATGCATGTTTCTCTGGCTGATTATTTCCAGAATATATGTGAAAACCCTGAATTAAGATCCCAATGTGTACCATATCATTTACAATATGGTAACCTAGGACAAAGGTATTGATAAAAGTTTATTTTTAATCCCTTTATAACAGGGATGTCAATGTGGCCTGTGGAACAAATTTCGTCAAACTGACGTGTCGATAATTCTTAGAAACTAGCGATGGAAATCAGTTTTATACGCCCACATTTAAATGTGGTCGTATATTGTCGTCGCCGCGGTCCGGCGTCCACAATTGCTTGTGGACGCTCTAGAGGCTAAAGTTAATATCCGATTGACTTTAAATTTATACACAGTGTTTAAGATCATGAGACAAAGAAGCCTATTGATTTTCAGCAATTTCCGATAATTACTGCCTGCGTTATGGCCCTTGATCACTTCAAAAAATCTTGGGGACGCTCTAGAGGCCAAAGTTAATATCCGATTGATCTTAAATTTATACACAGTGTTTAAGGTCATGAGACGAAGAAGCCTATTGATTTTCAGCGATTTCCGATAATTACTACCAGAGTTATGGCCCTTGATCACTTCAAAAAATCTTGTGGACGCTCTAAAAGCCAAAGTTGATATCCGATTGACTTTAAATTAATACACAGTGTTTAAGGTCATAAGACGAAGAAGCCTATTGATTTTTAGCAATTTCCGATAATTACTGTCAGAGTAATGGCCCTTGATCACTTCAAAAAATCTTGTGGACGCTCTAGAGGCCAAAGTTAATATCCAATTGACCTTAAATTTATACACAGTGTTTAGGATCATGAGACGAAGAATCCTATTGATTTTCAACGATTTCTGCCAAAGTTATGGCCCTTGATCACTTTGCAAAATCTTGTGACGCTCTAAAGGCTAAAGTTATCACCCGATTGACTTCAGATTGATACACAGAGTTTAAGATCTTGAGAGGAACAAGTATATTGATTTTCAATGAATTTTTATGACTTGGAACAGCTAAATCCACGATATTAAAAGTTTTGTATACAAAACGTTAGCATGGGGTAGAACTTTATAAAAACCAAACAAATTCTAATGGTTTTCTCAGTTGTTGCTCTTAATCAGATTTTAGTGTATTATAAATGTTTCATTACCGAAAAAAGTAAAAATATGCGACAACTCTTGTTGACTGCCCGGACGATTTAGCTGCTGTGGGCGTATGTTTCGTTGCCTGGCAACCTATCTTTATTGTTTCTGGTTTCATTAGACATGTAAGTTGTATGTAATGCAAGAGAACTTTGTTTTCAATATTATATCTTGGCAATTTGGAAACCAGTCTAAAAAAATTACCTGTGTCAAGGACATTTGGCTTTTGTTTTAGAATTCAGTAAAGTTCAAGGACATTTGACTTTATCTTGATATTTTTGTATATCTCTGGCCCACTTGATGTAAAATTTTAGTTCATGTGGCCCCTGAATCGAAATAAGTTTGTCATCTCTGCTGTAGAATGTTGTCTATGTATATTTATATAACGCCTGACTACCACTATCACAAATTCAAAAGCTGAAATGAAATGAAATAAAATGGGGTTTAACGTCCTACTGTTCTGCTCCGACCGGGCTAATGAAGACGGTATATGCCATACAGTGAATGAAATTTGCCCAGGCAGCAGCACTATGGCCTACTCTTATATCAAATTCCAACTGCCAAGGGATCTTTTACGTGCACGCCAATGTATACACGGGACCTCGGTTTTTCATCCCATCCGAACGACTAGACAGCTGTCCTTGTCAGGCCCTCCTCCGTCATGCACCACTGAAAATTCAAAAGCTATAATGCATGGAGATTATAAACAATAGTAATCACGTGTGCAATTAATAGACAGATTTGAATAAAAATAGAATTGATAGATGTTTTACAGTAGAATATTGTTAAAATCATCACTAATTCTTATTTATACAGATTGGTAGATTTTCTCCGTACTGATGTTGATGCAGCAAGATTACCTGATTTTGTTCGCAGTAACTATTTACAGGTATGTAGAATATATTTTCTTTCCACCATTAATCTGACGCCTTCTTTTACTTCACACTTACTTTGCTTCCTGCTTTTTCTTTACTAAAGCTTATATTGGTCTTTCCAATCTGATTAAAATACAGATCCAATTTCGTTTCGTTTTTTTATAGTTCCAATTTCGTTTTACTTGTCATTACTACACTAGGATCAGGAAGAGTTGTTATATAACCTGCGTTCTGGATAGCGTGAGGGATTAGCCAAGGAAACAGCGAGTTCTTGGCTTGTGATGCAAGGAACTATGTGTAAGCCACTAGAAATGTCAGCGCTGATTGATTAATCAATGTCTGACATCATAGGGTCAAAAGTCCCTTGAACGACCACTGACACGACCTTCCAGTACATCCGGTCAGATCTTCATTTAGTGTAGGCCATTGAAACGGTTTGTTACGGCGAGTTCTTCGCCTTTTTATGCACGGAACTGTGGGTAAATCACTAGAAACGTCAACGTTGATTGATTAATCAATGTCTAATGTCATAGGGTCAAAAGCCGCTCGTTTGACCCCTGACGTGAACTCCCACTAAAACTTGTCAGATCTTCATCATGTAGTGTAGGCCATCGAAAGTATAAAAAAGCAAAACGAAATATAGATCTGTATTTTATTCAGATTAATGCTTTTTCATATGTTTTGTTAGAATATATCTTGCATGTATATTTAGACCTAGAGAATGTGGGCGTATCCTGCCTGGCAGCCGCTGGTTCATATGTTTTAATAGAATATCTTGCATGTATATTTAGTCCTAGAGAATGTTTCTGTTTATTATAGGATTATCGATGCTGCAGTTTGGCATGTCCAGGTTCAGCAGAAGTCAAGATCTGTTATTTCTGTTCTTACGAAACCAGCAATTATAAACCAGATAGTTATTGGAGTTGGAGAGATACGTGTGTTATTTGTGGGGCATACGTTTATTTTCATCACAATAATAAAGCCAGAGCCTGTAGCTATCATTATTATGGTGCCCCAAAATGTTTTGTTTGTGAGAATATTGTGAGCCGCCGTGATCCCAGTGCTTCATTGTGTAATGATTGTGGATTTGGGCATCAGGGTTCAATATGTATTGTTATAGACCCTTAAAGATACATTAGTTAAGAGTTTAATAAAGAGTTGGTCATTGGTTTTATCTCTAGACGTAATATGTTCTTCAAGTTAGATTATCATCCCACCAAATAAATTTATATATTGAATCAATGAAATTGAGGTTTTTTTGGTTGACATCAAATCAAAGAGGTTTAGTTATATTTAATACTAAACATATATTATGCAAGAGCTAAATCTGCTTATTGCATGTCTTTCTTTAGGCCTGAAATGTTATATAAACTATTAATTAGACATTTATTAACATGAAAAGACCTTAACCAACTCTCGATGCCATCTTATGTGTTTGATTTTCACTGGATTTGAATCTGATCTGCTGCTCAACGCTCATTGGTGATTAAATGCAAAACTGTATAATCGAGGCTATGTTTTTTTTTTATATTACCAATGTTAGTAATGATGATTGAGGCTAGGCCTAAAATTCAATCACCAATATCACGTTTTTATTTTTTTTATCTTATCAACATGAGTAATGATATGGTTTTGTGCTGTTTTAAAATGGAATGCTATTACTCTTTAACTTATTCTTCCTGTGCCTGATATCACAGTTAACTACAAAAAATTTAACATAACGTCTCTAACCCTCTTCCCTACTGACAAATATCCAAATACCCAGGCGTGGAAATAACGGTCTTAGATGTACCTGACAAAATGTCAGGGCCTATTGAACTGTTACCAGACATTTTCAACTTAATGCCGGACATGTATTAATAATATCAATTAAAAAGACAAACCAGTGCCGGACAAAATGACAGGCTCCAGAGGTTTTGTGGCTGACAAAGCCTGAATCTGTGCCTGACGTTGTCTGTGACCGGTGCCTTATTTCCAGGCTTGTAAATTAGCATGACCAGATATATAAGGAGAAAACAATAATGTTCTTTTTAAATTTGTAATTAGCTCCTTTATTTATTGATATTTTTTCCTAATAGATAATATACTTATAATCAATAATTTACACATACTGGAATACAATGACGTTTTAAAATTGTCCATGTGATCCTCTTTTAGTCACGTGGACAATTTTAAAACACCATCGTAGACTCGATTGTCTACCTAGTGAAAATTAGTGAGTATTGCCACTAGTTGACGGAATCTAGAGTAGTGAACTTTGATCCCAATTATTTGATTCCAATCCGTTTCTCACCTTGGTATATCATATCTACTGAAAGAGAATCAGTTTCACACGAGTCATTTACCCCTGAGTTAGAAATCGGAATCAGACCAGTTATTTGATAATCACGCTTACGAACATGGGCTTCAGACTTTAGACATTATACTTAGTCATAGCTTAATGTAATATTTTCCAAGTTCCATGTGCCAGTGATTTATTATATTGAATATGTTTGTGCCAAAAAATCTATGTACCATACTAACATACAAATTGCATTTGTGTGAGTGTGATGGACATTGACCAGAATACGCCCCTGTTTCACTGTTGACATTTTTTCACTGTTGATGCAAGGGCACCAGTGGCATTTTCAACCAAGGGCCCCATTCAAGCTTAAACCAGCCCAGCATGTTATCATATTGTACAAAGCCATATTTATTGAAGGTTAACTGAATAGATATTATATCTGATGCATATATATAAAAGAATCCTGTATGACATGTGTTCACCTAATTTCATACTTTAATAAGGTTGATGGAGTATAATGATTTAACTAGTTTGAATTGGCATCTTCTATATGTAGATACATGGGTGATTGATATTCGGAAAATCCAAGCTATGTATAGTTATGGATTATATTTTGAGTATCTGATTAATAATTGAAAATCTATTTATTTCAATCCTTGTCTTTTAATTCAAATGTTTGTTTGATGTGATTGAATTTTAAGTACATATATATAGTTGAACATTATGTACATATTTATAACAAGATCTTTTGGCTATAAACCTATATCTAAAGTTTCGTCAAATTCAGATAAAAATTGTGACCTGTAAAGAGTCCACAAACAAAATCACTTTGATAAGTGTAGTCAAAGAAATCAGCTTATGTTGAACAGTGCTTTGATCATGAGAAAGGCCTCTAGGCCTACTAAATCCTGAACCTGATATGATATGATATGATATAATTGAACATTATGGACGTTTATATGTCAAACTTTCATTTAAACTTTTTTCATTAATCAGCATTAAAATACAGATGTGACCTCATCCTTTGATGTTGGCTTAAAATTATTTCAATTAATGGCACGGGTAATGTGCCAAGCGTATATTATTTATACTAGTTAAAATTTTAGACCCTTGTGACGTATTGCAAAGCACATGCGAATGTCTGTATTTTAAGGGGGGGGTTGGATGGCTGAATGGTTAGCGTGCGCGCGATTTATCATAAAGTCTGTCATTGAGTCGACTGGCGTGGTTTCGAATCCCCGGTTGTACGTGACAAGGAGTAGGGTCGCCTGTCCAACCTCGTGGGTTTTCTCCGGGTCCTCCGGTTTCCTCCCACTGCTAAAGACCCCTACGCGCAAACGAATTATTGAAATAAAATTAAACCATATGTTAGTCCCAAAATGACCTAGTTTGTGTCCAGTGGACGTTAAACCCCATTTCTATCTCTCTCTTTATTTTAAATTGTTTAATAGTCTTTAGCTTAAGACATTGCATAATATATTGAAACAACAACTCGTGGCTAACTTCACTCGTGTTGTTTCCGTATATTACTTAATATCTGGATCTCGATCATTAGTTGTTGATGATAATGTTAGGTCATGAATTAAATTATTATTTATTTGGTACTTTCATGAATTAAATTGTTATTTATTTGGTACTTTCATGAATTAAATTGTTATTTATTTGGTACTTTCATGAATTAAATTGTTATTTATTTGGTACTTTCATTATAGGCATTTAGATGTCCGAATATGGCAAAGCTTAACCTACCAAATAATAAAGAAGTCAAGTTCTGTGCATTTTGCTCAAGTAAACGAAGTAAGATGAAATCAGGTAGTTTTTGGACAGCTAAAGATAGTTGTATTATTTGTGGAGCTCATATATGGTCTCGTACGGACGTTCCGGGACGCACATGTGGTTTTCATGGGATGGGACTACCGAATACAACTAAGTGTTTCTCTTGTAACAATGTTATATGGGAGAAGCATCAAACATCAATGATGGCTGTGAAGGGATTTTTGTGTAATAATTGTGGATTTGGAGTGAAAGGTTCATTATGTTCTTTACTGGTTCCTAGAAATTAATAAAAAATTGTCTAAGATGTTCCCCGGTTGTATGTGACAAGGAATAGGGTCGCCTGTCCAACCTTGTGGATTTTCTCCGGGTCCTCCGGTTTCCTCCCACTGCTAAAGGCCCCTATGCGCAAGCAAATTATTAAAATAAAATGGAGCCATATGTTAGTCCCAAAATGACCTAGTTTGTGTTGAGTGGATGTTAAACTCCATTTCTCTCGCTCTCCTCAACCCAAAACCTTGTGAAGATGATTAAATCACCTCTCAATTCAACCAAAGTCTGTTTTTGTACTGCTGTTGTGCTGAGGTATTTAAATAATTAAATATAATAATTGTGATAATTAATATTATGCTCTGTATTAAAATAACTTTTAATATTTTCCATAAAGTATGACTTCAGATAAAGTAAGATAAGTGCATATGGCCATTTGTGCTACTGGTTTGATATCCAAATGTTATACATCCGTAATACAAAAGCCTTAGAAACTGAGCGGTTTATTTTACTGCTGATGGGTTACTTTGATACTTAATAAACCTAGTGAATATTATCCATAAAGTTGTTTGTTATAATACATGTATTTTAAGGTCCATGATTAAACATTAATATCAACACTCGTGGATAAAGTAAAAAAAACTCGGCAAAGCTTTGATTTGTTTATTTTATCGACTTGTGTTGATATTTAGTCTTAAATCAAACAAGACTTGTAAGAGATTTTCTGTTTATTGTTATATTTATGAGTATTATGTATATTGTATTGTTAAAGAAAGAAAATACGTTTTTTCTCTCAATTAGTGCTATTATACTGTTTTTATTTAGGCAGTGGCTATTGTTACGACGAGTCGTAAAAATAGTCCTCAGGCTATTGTTACGACGATGCTTTCACAGCCCTCCATCGGCGAAGTTAAAAACTGAATAGTCGTAAAAATAGTCCTAACCCTAACCCTAACCCTTCCCATCTCTTAATTGCTGCCTTCAGTTCTGAAAACGTTGAAAATACTGCTCCTTTTTCAAAGCATGTGTTGGGGAGATTGGCAGCCATTTTGGAATTCGTTCTAAACTTGGCTCAGACTGGTCGTAACAATAGCCACTTTGGTTTATTTAATATACCAATATTTTATATAGATGTATATTGTCAGGATCATCTGTTTTTCTCTTCACAATTGCAGAATTATTGTAGGAATTGTTTGTTTTGTCAGTGTTCTATTATGTTGGAAGGTTTTTGACCTATTAACTTTGTTCTTGTACACAGTTTATACTCTCTGGATCAAAATATACACATTATCAAAATATAAATCTTTTCCATCTTAATTTTATATTAAATTGTTTCTTGAAATGCTTCGAATACAATCTGATTAAAACACAGATCCTATTTCGTTTCGTTTTTGTATTGTTCCAAATTTTGTTTTTACTTGTCTTTACTACCCTACGATCTGGTGTTCTGGTTGATGTAAGGGCTTAGCCAATAAAATAGTCTGTGGGTATCCCACTAGAAACATCAATGCTGATTGGTTAATAAAATGTCTGATGTCATAGGGTCAAAAGTCACTCGTATGACCCCTGATGCGACCTCCCACTATAACCAGTTAGATTTTCATGTCGTTGAGGCCATCAAAATCATAAAAAAATAACAAAATGAGATATAGATCTGTATTTTATTCAGATTGCTTCAAATATGTATACCATTTGGAAACCCCAAAATATCCTTTATTTAATCTACCAGCAACAAGAAACCACCCATAAGCTCAATTATGTCAAGATATTACTTATATTTTTATTGACTTTCGTTTTTCTTTTACATGAAATATTCTATGAATCTAGTAGTTTTTGAAAGATATCATTGTTATTATATGTTACAGTGTTTATTCAAGTTTTTAAAGATATTGTCTTGTGATAATTATTGTTATTTTATCTCTATGCTCATAAATAAGTCATTGTCTACTTGCCAGTCATTAGATAGGATTGTACTAATGTTAGGTCCAGAAAGGTCATGATAATTTGTAGGTTTAATACGATCAGCATTCCAGTAGTTTCCTGCATACCGGTATTTGAATTTTTATATATATATATATATATATATAAAATGGTACTTGTATTGATGGCTTTTTTTTTTTCAATAGCCGACTTCTAATTTATACTTATATTCCATGAACAAGTTGTTTAAATGTAAAAGTAGTAAAAGTAGAGAATGGGACATCAGGGGCGGATCCAGGATTTTTAGAAAGGGGGTGCGTGCTGCCCCCACTTGGGAGTGTGAAGCCCTGCCCTCGGTGGCGGACTGATGGGCAATCAACCAAGTCACCAACCAGCTTGTTTCGGAGTAAATAATTATATCACACCTAAACTGACTGTTAATTCGTTTAGCAACATGAGCTTCGGTACCTACCTACCAGCTGAGGGGTGATAATTGGTTTGATGCAGCATTCCCTAAAAAATTGTTTGCCACCTCCAAAAATAGGGGGGGGGGGGGGTGCCACCTGGATCCGCGCCTGCACATCAAGTTTGTTTATACTAACTTTATACTGTTAACTTTACTTGTTGCTCATATTTTATTTTATTTTTTATCCAAAAGAAACTTTACCAAGATCTTTAGAAACTATTAAATCCAACCCAAATCATGCTGACATATTGCAAAGATGTGTAGAAAATAAAACTGTAACAGGATTTAAGTCCATGGACACATTAGCTATATATTTGGCTATAGGTTGCATCATTGAGTCAAGTGGCGTGGTGTCGATCCCCGCTTGTACGTGACAAGGAGTAGGATATTCCGTCCAAATTCTTGGGTTTTCTCCGGTTTCCTCCAACTGCTAAAAGAACCCTACATGCAAGCAGAGAGAGAGAGAGAAATGGGGTTTAACGTCCACTCGACACAAACTAGGTCATTTCGGGACTAACATGGTTTTAATTTTATTTCAATAATTTACTTGCGCATAGGGGTCTTTAGCAGTGGGAGGAAACCGGAGGACCCGGAGAAAACCCACGAGGTTGGACAGGCGACCCTACTCCTTGTCACGTACAACCGGTGATTCGAAACCACGCCAGTCGACTCAATGACAGACTTTATGATACAGCGCGCGCACGCTAACCATTCAGCCATCCAACCCCACCACATGCAAGCAAATTAATGAAATAAATTTGCTTATACGTGACAAGGAGTAGGGTCTCCCGTCCAAACTCGTGGGTTTACTCCGGTTTTCTCCAACTGCTAAAAGACCCCTACGCGCAGGCAAATTAATGAAATAAAATTGAACCATATGTTAGTCCCGAGATGACCTAGTTTCTGTCAAGTGGATGTTAAACCCCATTTCTCTCTCTTTCTACTTTTACTTTGTACAGATTTCAATTCTATTGTCCAAGGTTTGAAAGAGATTTATAATTTTTCTTGATCAAGTTTCTTTAGGATATTGTCGTATAATATACATAAAATTTATCAAATATTTTAAAAAAAATTATTTTGATAAAGAAATAAAAGATAAAAATTTGTATTATTTGCATTCAGAACAATTCTGACAAATCATTCAGAATTTATTTGTATCCGCAATCATTTTCATACGAGCGTATTATGTCGTCGCCCCTGTCGGTTTGTCCAGTCACAATTGTTTGTTGACTCTCTATAGGTCACAAATTTGATTGGATGAAATTTAAAGATTCGGGTGGGTTTGATTTTGGCACATATCGGACCGTAACTTCAAATATATCACTGTTACACCACCATATAATCACGGTTCAGTTCGAATTTCGTGAAAATCGGACTAAAACTTCCCTTCAAATAGCCGCCCCTTTTACGCAAGTAGTGTAAAAGCATGTAATACGTCATTCTCGGTATCCTGTTCTACTCCACTAACCCATGGATCCATTCATGAACTAAGACTAGTAATTATTTCCCCTTATTTTATGATGGACGAATGTACTGCGAGTTATAAATGGACAATTTTTCCCTTAATTTTTTTCTCCCCACTTCCAGACTTCCTGCATTTTTTGGTTGACTTTTTTGTCTAGAATTGGAGGAAATTGATCAAATTCAGGATAATACTGATGATTTTACAGTCAACATCAAGGCCCCGTAGCAAAAAATCTAAAGGTCAACCCCCTACAAAATTTGATGAGGAGATCGCCAAAAGTGTTCCCCGTTGTGCTTATAAAGATTGGAACCAACCGAATGTTGGGCAAAAAGCTACAACCTGTGATATAGCCATTTCACATTGAAGTCAATGGGCAAATAGTTGCTAGACTGAGACCTCATGTGGAACACACATAGCCAAATTATTGATAATTGAGCTATTTGTGTGCATGCCACTTCTTTGATATTAAATTTCTTGCAAACTTTCTCAGAATCCAACGTACAAGCTGGTGTATTGTGGTGAAGATCAAACAACGATGCTAAGACTGTTGTAATATGTTTTTGATTGGTTCGTAGAAACAACCTACGTGGCCAATGAAATCATCAAGGCCCCTAGTTCACAAAACATTCTCAGACTTCATTTAATAATTTACTTAAAGTTGTTTGTCGTATTTTACTTTATAAACTTTTAATTGTTTTACTGTATCAAATACATCAATAAGGAACTTTGTGCAAAGTTTTGTGTTTCTGGATCAAAGGTATTTCTCATAAACAGTGGTTGAAATGAGAGTAAATTCGTAACGTAAGTCTGAGAATGCCTTGTGAACTTGGAGCCTGGGCAGATAATGTGAATTCATAATTATCCCGTGAATAAACCCAGGGGTAAGTGGAGTAGAACAGAACGATACTACTGGGAACACCTAGGATGGTAGGTATAGGCGTACGGGGTGCCCCCCCCCCCCCATTTTGGGCACACAATTGTACTTTGTAAAAGTTGTATAAAAAAATATTGTGTTCTTGAATGTGTCCAATTTAACAGCGAATTTATTATTATTATGTAACATACTAAGAACCTAACTACATTTTTTGGGCACCAACCACCACCCATTCAAAAATTTCCCCGTACGCCTATGATGGTAGGTATATACTAAGGTTGTGGACCCTCTATGTGGTGGGCATCGGGCCGTCCGTTCTGCAGTTGACTTGTTGAGACACGTACATATGCAGTTAACTTACTATTGATTTGTTATTAGATATTATAAACTGAACAATCTTTGTCGGCAATGATAATTGTTCCCACAAATTGGCAAAAAAATCAAAAATGAGCTACGGGCAATATTATGCAAACATATGAAACGGAAATAAGAATGTCACAAACTATTTAAATGTAACATAACAATTTTCACATTGTAGTTCACTTCCCGTGGGTTTATTCTCGTAAGAAAAAAATTCAAAATGTCCGGCATTAACCACGATTGCAAACCCGCCCCCTTTTAAGCTTACTGTATCCGCCAATGGAAATAGTTATAGAAACTGTTGCTGAACATTAAGTTATATTTATAGCACGGCTTTCATGAGTTAACAGGTTTAACCAGTGGCCGTAGACCGAGGTGTTAAACCTGTTAAATGATGAAGCGTGCTATAAATGACTTGTAACATTGACAACTGCTCAACATGCTTATTGTTATTGCACAGAAAACCCACCCTACTTCTCTATATGATTTCTAAAACTAGTGTAAACCAGCCAAAGTGTGCAATAACATTGAACATGTCTAGTTATTGCACGATTAAGCTCCACCAATCTACTAGAGAGTAAACAATCTACTTATTCAATGAAAAGAACAAAGGAAGATTCCCGTCCATGTTACAAATACTTTCAATTCTTAAAAAAACCTTTCAACCAGATGAGAAACCTTGTTGAATTGCCTCTTCAACAATATGCATGTCATGACCAATCAGTTACTGGGCTATTTCCGAAATCGCCCAAATTTAATGGGCCATATCTCAGGAACCGTTACCCCGATCAAGCTGATATTTGGAACGTGGTTCATTGCAGCCAAAATAAGCATACAAACCAAATGTCAGTCAAGTCTAAAAAATAGTGCCAACTGCAGATTTCGTCAAGGTCATGAGATGAAAACAGACCACAGGACACGTGATTGTTGTGGGTTAGGGCTAGCTCGAGCCATGTTTATATCTCGTGACCTTTGACCTGCAGTTGCATTAAAGGAGCTAAGTCACTAATATTCAGGATCTAGAAATTGACACAAATGGGTCCCAATGCATATAATAATGTAATATGAATGTATATAAATTGATTTACATTCAATCGTTTCTGTTTTTACTGTAATTTCTAATCAGTTATGTTAGGCGAAATACGCCAGAATGACCATCTCTACATCGGTAGTATTTATTGCGCATCCTCTCCAGATAAGAATATGTGGTCACCGTTTGACATGACTTGTGGAATATGTCTAGCCTCGTTCTTCGAGTCCGTTGTTACAGATGGCGCTGAAACGCACTATGGTACACGATTCGTGTACCAATGGTAAAATGTTTATTTTGTATTATATATTGGATATCCGAAGCCCCTTTTTTCCCGGTAAAATCACAACATAATGTCGATTTAAACTTACAAATAATTCGTGTTTTCAATGTTGAAAACTTTGGATAATAGCTCCTTTAATTTTTTGACCTAACCCCCAAATGTCATCAAATTTTTTGGGGGATACAGTTTCATCTTATTGGGTGATTTAACAGGGAATGACCCCATTACCGAAAGTAAATAATTGGATACACAACTATTGTAATTACTTAGTCATTTATATAGTATATATTCTGTTGTCCTTCACATTCGACAGGCCTGTTGTCAGGTATATTGCCACTGGCCATGTTCGCATGTACATTTGGAGAGAGGGAGCCTCGGTGGGTTATGACGCAGGCTCGCTAGCCTGAAGGTCGCGTGTTCGATCCCTGCATTGGTCGAGAACGTTCATCTGGATTTTCCGGCGTGCGCTTCCCTTGTCAGCGGTGCAGGGAGGAGGTCCTGGCAAAGACAGTTGTCTAGTCGTTCGGGTGGGACCAAAAACCGAGAACCCGATGATACATTGGCGTGCACGTAAAAGATTCCCTGGTAGTTGGAATTCGATACAAGAGTAGACTATAGGGCCGCTGCCCGGGCAGCATTTTTTTCATAGCACACTGTATTACATATGCCCGTCCTCTTTAACCCAGTCAGAGCAGAACAGTAGGGCGTTAAACCCCATTTCATTTCATTTGGAGACAAGGGTGGCGTATCGTGTATTATCGGTAGGCAATCATGGGGCAAGAGGGGGCGGGGATGATGAATCTCTGTATGTTAAAGAGATGTCGGATAGTACCATGTGGTTAATTATGTATGGTTAGCTACCAGGTCTCAGGTTCGCCGCCGTTGTTAACCGAAAAGGTTCTAAAGGATTTTCCAGGTCCAACGTGGTCTTCCCCCTTGTCAATGGTACAAGATGGATTGCCTGGCAAAGTAGGACAACAAACTCTATTTGATTTCCGGAGTTAGTTCCCTTGCATCAAGTCCACAATCTACGGACGTCTACATTAGCCTACGGCCAATATTGATGACATACCTGACTATATAATCATGTGAACTTGTATGCAATTATTCCTCCATAACCCATTCTTGAAAGATATTTGTTGTTCTTGCAATGTCTGTGTATTTTGTCAACGGTTTGGTTTTGCATATAGCGCGGTTCTCCTGCATATTACAATAAGTTTAAAAGACAATATTGGTGTCAGTCACTCGTCACTTCGGTCAGTTATATAGAAGAATAACTCGTGTTTTCCTTTTGCGTTCGTCACTTCCCTTTCTTGAAAGCTTCACAACGCATCTATCGTAATAAAAATATATTTGGAACGTGCTTAACCAGTTCTATCACATGATAATGAATGACACTAATATTGTCCTTTAAGGTACGTTCCAGACAGTGGCGTATTAAAGGGGAGTTGGGGGGGGGGGCATAGGGCCATGGTGTTTCGGCAGAATAATAATACACCCCTGCGCGTATTTAGTGAGGGGATTAGTCATAAGGCCATAGTATTTCAGTAGAATAATACACCCATGTATTCCCAAGTATTTGACCACCCCAATTTGATTAAAATACAGATCTATATTTCGTTTTGCTTTTTATACCTTCGATGGCCTATACTACATGGATATCTGACCAGTTGAAGTGGGAGGTCGCGTCAGGGGTCGCACGAGCGCCTTTTGACCCTATGACGTCAGACATTGATTAATCAATAAGCATTGACGTTTCTAGTGGTTTATCCACAGTTCCGTGCATCGCACGCCAAGAAGTCGCCGTCACAGATGGTTTCATTGGCTAATCCCTCACATCATCCAGAACGCTGGTTATATAACAACTCTTCCACATCCTAGTGTCACTCGGCAAACCTCGGCAGATTCCGGTACCCTACATCTAACCTCGGCTGTATGATAGTAATTGATATGTACCTACGCCCGTACATTTGCGATGCGGCTACCGGTTTACTTTAACAGGAAAACGTGCCGCTTTTACAAAAAAGTCCCAAAATGGCGTCTTTTGTCGAGTGTATATAACTAAACGAGCAGAGGCATTGTCTCAAGGCTGCTGGTTTGCTATAATTCCCTGGTAATTCCCCAAACCCAATGCCAAACTTGACGTTTGTTGATATAATACATTCCCCACAGAATTCTCCATGTGCGCAGCCATTATTCATCCGGGACCTTTAAAATAGTTCTAATATGGCGGAATTCGTCATACAGCCGAGATTAGATGCGTAGAATCTGTCGAGGTTTGCCGAGTGATCCTAGTGTAGTAAAGACAAATAAAATGAAATTTTGAACTATAAAAAACCGAAACGAAATAGGATCTGTGTTTTAATCCGATTGCGACCACCTAGAAATCTATACGATGTAAGGAATTTATATATAGGAAACGAGATTAGTCAAATAAATAACCAATCTCCTTTTGTAAATATTAAAGATGAAAGAAACTAAGAATTATCATACATAAAAGAAATTTCTGATTTAATTACAACAGACAAGAAAAAAGGAAAGTTGACAATTAAGCCACATCCTTAAAATAACAATATAATCAATTCAAAGGCTTTGGATAAAATTTCAAAATAGCCATTAAACATCAAGACTAAACCAAATGAACCCACGACATTTTGTTAAGCGAACTGTAAGACGGGTTTATCAAAACTTGTTGTAGCCTATACATGTAGAGTTCGATCGTATCTGTGTAGTTGGAGTATTTATAAAGAAACGTGGGCTGGTGTCAGCATTGCAAAAACGATCGAAAAACGATTTCCAATCAATTAATTGTTCGATTGTTATAAACTGTCATACACAGACTCATTTCCACATGTTACACTGCCCGCTTGCTCCAAGCCATGAACTTACTTCATGATTTATTCTTTATATAGAATTTAATTTTCCAATATCATCCTGATAACTATCTGACAGTTTGAAAATAAGTGCCTATTAATGAAGTTGCAATGTTTATGTCGATATTTGTGGTTATATTTGATCCCAACAACAAAAAAGCAGTAAACGTGCCCACACTTCACTTATATTATCTTCGACTATCCCCGCCTCGTCCATATCAGTGACGTGGATAATCCACGATGCTAAACTTTTATGGTTAAACTGTCTTTTGTTGTTGATAGAACAGTTCATGACCACATCCCGGCGAAGTGGCAACCATGCAAATTTCGACTTTATTTGATTTTAGAACACAGAAAACACAAGAAATAATTACAAAGGCGAAATGGCACAATTACAACTCGATTCTAACTGTATCCAATTCCAATCAAAAGAATGTTGATGAATAGGTCGAACTAAAGCCATAACAAAAGATTTCTTCGTAATACACCGGGATGCATATCTGAAAAAGCAAGAAAAATAATTTTAATTCAAGCGTTTGATGCTGATGAAAAGCCGCTTGTAGTGTTTTATAAAAATTTAAAGGAGCTAAATCGCTAATATTTGGACCCTAGAAAATTGACACAAATGGGTAGCAACGCATACAAAAATGTAAAATGAATGTATATAAACTGATTTACATTCAATCGTTTCCGTTTTTACTATAATTTCAAATCAGTTATGTTCGGCGAAATACGCCAGAAGTCTCAATCGAATAACAATCTCTAGCGTCTGGTTATTCCAGTCTACACCGATAGTATTTACTGCGTATGCTCTCCAGATAAGAATGTGGCGTCACCGTTTGACATGACTTGTGGAATATATCTAGCCTCGTTCTTCAGGTCCCTTGTTACAAATGGCATTATGGTACACGATTACAATGGTAAAATGTTTATTTTGTCCTAAATATTGGATATCAGAAGCCCTTTTTTTCCCGGTAAGAAAACAACACCAACGTTGATTTAAATTGACAAATAATTCGTGTTTTCAATTTCGAAGACTTTGGATGATATTGAGTTTGAGACCTAACTACTCTAAAATATTTCGATCCCGCCATCGGCCTAGAAAGTTCATCTAGATTTTCCGGCGTGGTTCCCCCTTCTCAGTGATGCAGGACGAAGGGCCTGACCAGGACAGCTGTCCAGTCATTCGGATGAGACGAATAACTAACGCTATTCCATGACTTCCGTCAATACATGTATTTTACAAATCGTTTATTACATTCTGTCATAAAACTATACAATAAAACCAGACATCAACATACACCCACTCACAGTTCTCTACGCACAGAGGACTGTCTACACTGAGGGCTAAATCTATTTGTTAAGGCCAGCTCAATTTTTGTCAAGGTCGGTGTGATGTAAATAAGGTTAGGGCACGTGACTGTTGGCTAGATTATAGGTTAGGGTTAGGGTAAGCATTAGGGCTAGGTCGAGGGTTAGGGTTGGGATTAGCGTTAGCCTTGTTTACATCTCGTGACCTATGACGAAAAATTGAGCTGGCCTTATCATTTAACACTAAGCCTACATTGAGCTAATTGTAGACAGCGTAAGTTTATAAGAGTCTTTTACAAAGAATTCCTAGAAATCTACAGCCGAGACTACTTTAAATTTGCGGTGATTGTTCTATGAAACATAGAGAGCAAACCTATTGAATTGGTTGCCATGGAAGGTACGCCCACGTATGGGCGGAGAACAGGGATCATCCTCTCAGTATCCCAATGCTTCACGTCGAATATGAAAAAAAAATCTTTTAGAAACTGTAGCCTCTATCGCATTCAAACGGTTTTCGGAAAAGGGGGGTAAATCCGGAACGGACGTTCACAGAACGCTCAATATCGATAGGATTTGGTTTGTCCTCTAGTGACCCTTTAACGAAATTCGTAATAATTCCGTTAATCAGCGGTTGCCAGGCAAGATACGTCCACATTAATATTTGCAAGAGATGGATAGAGAACAAGCTAAAACAAAGAAGAAGCGATTTTTCGTACAATCAGGAGCCATAAGCAAGGAAGTTCTGGTCTGATATGCGCGAACATCGAAAAATGGGATAAAATTTGTGACATCTAGAGGGTCCACAACTATGGTATTACATATACTTTTACTTTACACTAGTTGCGTACGAGGGGCGGCCATTTGTCCGGCAGTTTTGGTCCTATTTTCACGAAATTTGAACTCAACCAACATTATGGTGTAACGATAAATTTGAACCTCTAGATAGGGACCACAAGCTAAAAAGCGATTTTTCGTACCATCAGGGTCATATTTTGGAAGTTACGACCCGATATGCGCGAATATCGAAAGGAACCAAGATCTTTAAGTTATAAACATGTATTTAAAGTTGTGGACGAACATCCAGACGGACAGGGGCGATGACAATATACATCCACATGAAAATGTGGGCGTATAGAAACTGTAGCCTCTAGCGTGTCAAGAAGGTTCTCGGCAAAGGTGGATTACGCTGGAACGGAAGGTTTCGGAACCCTGAATATCGTAAGGGTTCGTCCTCTCATGAACCCAATGCTGTACACAAAAAATAGGGAGTTGGATGGCTGAATGGTTATCACGTACGCGCTGTTTCATAGTCTGCCATTGAGTCAACTGGCGTGGTTTCGATTCCCCGGTTGGGTCGCCTGTCCATCCCCGTGTGTTTTCTCCGGGTCCTCCGGTTTCCTCCCACTGTTAAAGACCCCTACGCGCAAGCGAATTATGGAAATAAAATTGAACAATATGTTAGTCCCGAAATGACCTAGTTTTGTGGGACCATGAGGTTGAACAGGCGACATTACTCCTTGTCATGTACAACCGAAAAATTGAAACCACGCCAGTTGACTCAATGACCGACCTAATGATACAGCGCGCATGCACTAACCATTCGGTCATCCAACCCCCTTTTCCCAAAGAACAAGCATGCAGAGTTTCATGTCGATTACGCTAAACTTAACGAAGCCTTAGTCTTGAAGATTGTCGACTCGTGAACAAGTCCATGAGACCAGTTTAAGATATACAGACACCGGACCCCTCCCCCTCCTCCCCACACCCACACGACTAGATTCTAAACATGTCAAGTAACTTGAACTGACTTAAAATATTATGCAAGTATTTTGGGTTTTCCTCCCAAAAACACTTTAAAAGACGAACTGAATTAATTTGTGCCTGCATAAATAGAAAACAGTATTATATCACACGTATTTTCTTATAACAACCATGGCGTTATAACATATCAGTCTAAAATTAGATCGCAAATACATTACTTTACCCTGATTGTCAGACAAGATTTTGGGGGATTACCATTACATTGATTTAAGGGAATTTCTTCCCAAAGCATTAATTATTTGAATTTATTTTCAGAAACAGCTACGCTCATAGACAAGAGTAATTGTCATTGAGAATGTGAAAAAATTAAGCTACTCGTAGTGTATTCAGACCATGTAAACGACTGATACACAAGACTGTATAAATTGTCTTTGAAATAGCCATATTCCCTTGAGGGGGTGTTAATTTGGAGGAGGTATAATATTATTTTCACTGGGAGATATTAGATAAGACACAGTACGACCTTAGCCTTACTGATCTCCATCTCATAATTCATAACACAATTGATTAATTTTTATTTTGGGGACACAAGACGCTGTAACAACAAATTACTCACGAAAGTCATCGTTTATCATCTCTGCTCGATGACTTAATCCGTCATCCTATTAAATTCCTAGTTAGTGGGCGTCGAACAAACAATTAATCTATCATAACGCCGTATAAACGCATCCAGCCTATTGAGATGACAATAACCTTATTAGGAAAAGAGATGACGTCATCTTTTCTGTATATTTATTCTGTGGAATCAGTATGGTGATACTGATAACAAGGGCAACGACTTTCCAAAGTGCAGAACTTGGAATTAGGAGAAGAGATGACGTCGTCTTTTCTGTATATTTATTCTGTGGTATCAGTATGGCGATACTGATAACAAGAACAACGACGTTCCAAAGAGCAGAAATCGGAATTCCATAACTTGAAGTTTGTTGTCTATTCGAAACAATATGGTCATAAATAAGATCACATTTAATCTGGAAATAAAATGTGGTTTAACATCCTACTTTTTTTGCACCATCCGAGCTAACATTTAATTTGGACACAATCTTGTCCGCCGATCCATTCACTTTAACTTAAAGGGACTATCCCGATTTCAAGAGAGTCTCAAAAATAAAAGTCAAGAGTACGTATGAAATTTAAGCGCCAAAATATAGACGAATGGTGTATTTACCTTCTCTCAAAATTCCAGCCCAAAATATTGAGCCGTTTGGACGTTAACGTCAAAACTGCTTATCCGGACACGTAACCCTTTTAAGATTTCGGGGCAGTTTTTTCGTTGGGTGACCTGATAATCGGATCCTGTTCCTTGAGAGGTCTATATAGTGAATGACCCATGTGCTCTACTTGATAACGAAAGGTAAATTTCACCTACACATTATTTTTATAAAATAAAAGTCTGGTTTTATCCAGACACCGCATAGTACAGCTTGGGACACTTTGACTGAAATTTTCAGCAAATTCCCTTTACATTATCTAGTGTTTAACTACATCATGTTATTGACAATGTAATATAAATGTGACCTGTGTATTATGTATGATAGGATAAAGACAGCATCATGACTGTTTCTTTAATAGAATTGATGTACCGTGTTAAGACCCAGTTTCTTAATAGATGTTAATATTCCGTTTCCCCTTTGTTATAGTCTGGAGGCTCAGCGCGGGGGGCGGGGGGTGGTGGCGGGGCTGTCCATCAAATGGGCACAAAACCAGACCCAACTTTTCTAGACTAAAATTTTGCGTAGAACACGATGCCGAGTGGTAATCAGTCCTCCGTTGGGTCGTTTTCGAGATATTCGGGGTCAAAGGTCAAATGGGTTCATTTGCACTGAAAGTGAATGCGCGGTCATTCTTGTATTATGACAATAAGCTGAAAATGATCGAAAGTAATTACACTTTTAATAATAGGAACATTTAAAATGTATCTTTAGGTGGTCTTAGCACCAAACTTTTACTTTGGAATGTCGAAAATGATCTTGCATAACAGAACCAAAACGCTTCGGAGCCTGTTTCAAAAATACGTAAAAACTGTTAAATCAAAACCTCTCCGAATTAGTTTTAGTACGAATGCTATACATAATGATACTAGTTGTCTGAAAAAAATAATTAAATAGTTCGATGGCTGGACTCCAGCCTGCAGGCCGCGTCACAAAGCCTGCCAAAATTTTCCCCGCTAACATTTACCAATACGACATATATATCCTGTGAACTACTATGTAAAATGCATTCGTCGGTTTTATCTGCGTCCATGTTCCGGCGAAATTCATAAAAACTCATAAAAAGTTTGCAAACTTTTAATCTCGTCGCCAGATGCGTGTTTTCCCGTCACAGATTAACTTTGGTTTTCCTAGACTGGGATTCTCGGAAATCCACGCGGCCTGCAGGCTGGAGCCCAACACCGAAACTATTCAATTGTTTTTCAGATAACTAGTATCATTATGTATAACAATCGTTGTGAAAATAAAACGTGCAAACACGGTAAATTTCACCTTTTGACCTCCAGGGTCACTAAGACAAAAGGTGAATTTAGCAAGTTTACATTTTTATTGAACGTGTGATTACTTTCGATCATTTTCACTTTCTTTTCATAATACAAGAATGACTGCGCATTCACTTTCGGTGCAAATGAACTCATTTGACCTTTGACCCCGAATATCTCGAAAACGCCCCAACGGCGGACTGATTACCACTCGGCATCGTATTCTACGCAAAATTTTACTCTAGACAAGTTGGGTCTGGTTTTGTGGTCATTTGATGGACCCCCCCCCCCCCCCCCGCGCTCAGCCTCCGGTCTATTAGAAGGTACCCCTTGTCAGTGACAAGGACGGAGGGCCTGACAAGGAAAGCTGTCTAGTCGTTCGGATGGGACGAAAAACCGAGGCCCCGGGTACATATTGGCGTGCACGTAAAAGATCCCTTGGCAGTTGGATTCCATCATAGCACACTGTATGGCGCATGCCCGTCTTCATTAGCCCAGTCATAATTTGGAACAGGAATTTGCTTCCATTAAAGCAGTGTTTAGTGGGATTACCTCTAATCAAACGAAACACTGTGGGGAGTATGTGTTATCTGTGGTGTTGCAATAATTCGACTGTATTGAGATTGACGGAGTCCATCCGACCACGTCCTCTTGACGCAATCCAACCGCGGCTTTTTCTCGCTACCATGAACCTACGGAATGGAATCACGGCACTACATGAAGTTATCGAAATGAATTGAAGTGAAATGGGGTTTAACGTCCTACTGTTCTGCTCTTAAACTGGCCTAATGAAGACGGGCATACGCCATACAGTGTGCTATGAGGGAAATTTTGCCCGGGCAGCGGTGATACGGCCTACTCTTATATCGAATTGCAACTGCCAAGGGATCTTTTACGTGCACGCCAATGTGTACACGGGACCTCGGTTTTTCGTCCCATCCTAATGACTACACAGCATCAAAGGTGTATAAAATGTATACCAACCTGTTTCTGTTTATACCCCTACAACAAGCCGGACATTCCGGGTTTTCCATAATTTCGTGTTCTTCGTCACAAGAAACTGTGTAAAACCATTGGTACCCGTCGTTGCCTTCTGATGGCTGATATACCTCCACTTCTGTATCATTTATATCACGTGCATATCGTAACAACCTCCACGATGTCCTGGAAGGGCAGACAGGTTGAGCTGTGACAGGTTGAAAAGCTCTTTTCTATAAAAGAAAAGAAGAGAAATAGAATTGGGGATAATTAAATGTCTTTCTGCTATTTAGTAAATCTATTTTAAAGTTGCAATTTCATATTTTTAAGTTATATTTTTAAAATTTATTAAAATAAAGCCTTAAAATAGATGGTATCTATAAACAGCCCTACCTTGTTAAAGAATAATCCTATTAATTCTATAATTCACTATTGCCAGTTGAGAAATTGGCAAAAATATCATTTTCATCTTCAAATTCAAACGTTTGAAGATAGCTACTCCATGGTGGAGAATAGAAAACAAAGGAGGTAATTGGGAGGTAATTGTGTTATTATTTCAGGTGTAAATGAGTTTTAAGTGTGAGAATGACACCTATGATCGTATAATGGTGAGCAAAAAACATAGAAATAATTATGTTTTGACTTTCTTAGAAAATATGAAATTGTAACTTTAAAACAACTGAGCGTCATCATTAGTACTGTCATTTTGATTGGCTTTGAATTAAAAAACAGGAAAAAGTTACACAATATATACAATAGTTGAATTTATACCCGGGCTTAAAGGGTCGATCTCGATTATATTTTGAAGAAAAAACTGCTTAATTTTGTGTTAAAAGCTCTTAAAATCCTCTTTAGGGCCGAGCAACTAACTTAATATACGTGATATGTTTTTAAACAACTTAAACCCGTCAGTCTTCATCTGGAAATATTCAAATGTGTGAGCTTACTATACAGTGTCTGGATAAAAATAACGTGCTGGTGAAATTTACCTTTCGTTATCAAGTACAACATGTACTATATAGATCTCTAAAGGAACGACAATAGACTATCAGGTCACCCAACGAAAAAATTGACCCAAAATCTTAAAAGTGTTACGCATCCGGATAAGCGGTTTTGACGTTCATGTCCAAACGACTTAATATTTAGAGCTTAGAGCTGAAATACACCACTCCTCTATATTTTGGCGCTTAAATTTCATACGTACTCGAACTTTTATTTTTGAGACTCTTTTCAAATCGGGATAGTCTTATTTATGCCCTAAGCCATGTTAGTCGTTTAATGTTCACCTAGACTAGACACTTATTCTACGTGAAAGATATCTAGAATAGAACAAAAGCTCAACTGCAATCAGGTATTTTAAAAGACGAAACCATTTTTTTAAAGCTAAATGTTCTCTCCCAGCTTGGATTCAGATTTAAAATAGGCCCATTAATAATTATTCGCGAACAACAAAATGGCGACGGGCTTATTATATAGCGCGCATCATAGATCGACGAAATTTCAATTCAAGATATTTTTGTAAATACTGAAAGGAATTGAACCATTTTTGGGCCGAAATTCCTATTAAAGTTCGTCCAACATGCTATTGTAGTTTACAAGGGATTCCTATTGTAGTTTACAAGGGATTCCTATCGTAGTTTACAAATGATTCCTATTGTAGTTTACAAATGATTCCTATTGTAGTTTACAAATGATTCCTATTGTAGCTTACAAGGGATTCCTATTGTAGTTTACAAATGATTCCTATTGTAGTTTACAAATGATTCCTATTGTAGTTTACAAATGATTCCTATTGTAGTTTACAAGGGATTCCTATTGTAGTTTACAAATGATTCCTATTGTAGTTTACAAATGATTCCTATTGTAGTTTACAAATGATTCCTATTGTAGTTTACAAGGGATTCCTATTGTAGTTTATAGAGATTCCTAGCGAAGCCATGAGACTGTACTGTAAGTGAATATTCTAACTTTATAAACCTATAACGGTAAATCTCTTTGATCTTTGGGGTATATTCTATGCCCTTAATAACCTGCGGTCTGAAAGTCGGGGGTGGCTTTCGATATATACAGGCGAATTTTTTTTTTTTTTTTTTTTTTTGGGGGGGGGGGGGGTATTCTTCTGCAAGTTTTTCTTCAAACCTATAACGGGTTATTCTGCCAGGGTTGGGGTTTTGTTTCCATAAGAAAACATGATATAAGATTTTTCTTACGGGAATTCTGGGATATTCTCATATTGCATCGACGGGTTTATAAGCAAGATAAAGTCCTCGACTTCGGTTATGCTGGGGAAGAAAAACCCTCTACCGAAAAACCTCATCCTACCGACCTCGGTTTTTCTTTTTCTCGGGTTATTTTCTTCAGTCTTTCTTTCCCTCGGGTTATTTTCTTCAGTCTTTCTTTCCCCAGCATAACCTCGGTCCCGTGCTTTATCCTACATTTAGAGTATGTTTGACGGGTCTAACAGACGTGTACCCGTTTTACTTACTTCTATTGGACTACTGAATATTTTAGGGGGTATCTTGGGTTTTTTGGAACCAACTTTTAATCTTCTATCCATTAAAGCTGGATGATTTTTCAGGAAGGCATAAAGTCCTTTCAATCTATCTTTTATGAATCGGGCTTGATGTGGTGATAGCCTCTCAATTGTATCGTCCTCCATTTCCCGTATAATACTATTAGTGTAAGCTGAAATACAACATATACACATGATTAAAACATGCATTATACAAATTATACAAGAGTTAAGTATTGTTTAATGGTCGAGAGCGAGACATTAAGTAATATATTGTAACAACAAGAGGACCGTCAGGTCCGAGTGTTTTTACAATATATTACGCAATGTCTCAGCTCGAGACCATTAAACATCTTAAAATACAGACACTCCGCACGTGCGTTTACAGTGAAATACGTCACTCGACGTACGATTGGCAAGTTGCCCGTACGATTATTTGAAATAATGGTACGCCAACATCAAAGGGTGACGTCACATCTGTATTTTAAATCAGCTTAAAATACAGATGTGACGTCATCCTTTGATGTTGGAGTAGCATTATTTCAAATAATCGTACGGGCAATGTGCCAAGCGTAACTTGGTAAAATATTGAACTCGAGTGACGTATTTCATTGCAAAGCACGTGCAAGTGTCTATATTTTAAGTTGTTTAATGGTCTCGAGCTCAAGACATTGCGTAATATATTGTAAAAACATTCGGGCCTCACGGCCCTCATGTTGTTACAATTTACTTAATGTCTCGCTCTCGACCATTAAACAATACATAGTGCAGGTCTTTCTTTAGGCCTGAAATGTTATATAAACTATTAATTAGACATTTATTAACAATGTTGAATCGTGCTGAATAATCTTGCTTAAATGAATCCAAATAAGCGATATCCCCACCGCAACTGTAAATACGTAAACGGATAGAGAATACAACATAAAACATTTGAATCCAGGGGCCGGTGTATGGCTAAATCTATTTATTAAGGTCAGCTCAAATTTCGTCAAGGTCGCTGAGATGTAAATTAGGTTAGGTCACGTGATTGTTGACGAGATTGTAGGTTAGGGTTAGGGTAAGCATTAGTGCTAGGTCCAGGGTTAGCTTTAACAATTTAGTGTAATTTTAGGAATTACGAAAACATAATGGTTATTATTAAGCATCGCCTTTTGACCACAGCATACAAAATCTCCGGGTCCTCCGGTTTCCTCACATTGCTAAAGACCCCTACGCGCAAGCGAATTATTGAAATAAAATTGAACCATACGTTAGTCCCGAAATGACCTAGTTCGTGTCAATAATTCGCTTGCGCGTAGGGGTCTTTAGCAGTGGGAGGAAACCGGAGGATCCGGAGAAAACCAACGAGGTTAGACAGGCGACCCAGTTGACTCAATGACAGACTTTATGGTACAGTGCGCACGTGCTAACCATTCGGCTATCCAACCCCGCAAATATTGCACCCGAAGTTAGCCCAGTATCAGACGCTGCATCTTCAAAAGTCGTCACCGTAAGTTGGTGGTAGTGTTACATACTGCAGTGTTAGATATCTGTATGCTTCTTTTTTTTTTAATTTGTAAACGCGATTAAGGACACGGTTCAAAAAGAATTTGTTTTTAAACAAGAGGTCCAAGGGTCTTTTAAGATTAAAATCTATAATTGCTTAAAGATTAGATAAAGAACTGATGTTCTCGCTATAATAGTTTAAAAATAGATAATGATAAGAGAATATGCCGAAATTTCGGTCAAATTGCTTCGCTCTGAACCCAGATATTAGCAATTTACATGTAATTTAAAGCTAGCCTCGATTGTCATTTCCAACGTTGGTACGATAATCTCGATTATCCATTTTTACGTTAAATTATCCATCACAAAATGTATTCAAATCCACTAAATATCGCAGGATAACGATGACATCGAGGATTGATTATGGTCTGGATAAGTTAATTAATGTCTAATTAATAATTTAGATATAACACTTCAGGCCCAAAGAAAGACCTGCAATACGCAGATTTAACTCTTGCATAATGTATGTTTAATATGATGTTAGCGGACTACTCACATCTAAGAAGTGGGTTTTTGAGCGATGTCCGGTATTTTTTTTAATAATAAAAGGATTAAAATGGGATTTAACGGCTCGTCAAAAAAAAAAACCACTAAAAATGTCCGACGAGCAAAAGAGATAGAGATTGGGTTTTAGCTTAAATATTTTATTCGGATTCTTCAGGGACACACGACAGAGAGATAGAGCGAGAGATAGAGATTGGGTTTTAGCTTAAATATTTTATTCGGATTCTTCAGGGACACACGACAGAGAGATAGAGCGAGAGATAGAGATTGTGTTTTAGCTTAAATATTTTATTCGGATTCTTCAGGGACACACGACAGACATGAGGTATGTTATTGAGGTCCTCTAGGCAATTATCCTCATAGCTCAACACTTAAAAAAGAGAGAGAAATGGCGTTTAACGTCCACTCAACACAAACTAGGTCATTTTGGTTCAACATTATTTCAATAATTCGCAGTGTGGGAGGAAACCGGAGGATTCGGAGAAAACCCACGAGGTTGGTCAGGCGACATTACTCCGTGTCACGTACAACCGGGGAATCGAAACCATGCCGGTTGACTCAATGACAGACCTTATGATACAACGCGCTCGCGCTAACCATTCGGTCATCCAACCCCACCCCCATATTCTGATGACCAATACCTAGATGTTAAAATTTGCTGAATCAATAGATATGACCATTAGTTATTATTTTAAAGGAAGATAGCTGGTGATAGAAATAGCCTGCTGATAATAATATCTAATACTTGATCACGGTGAGATGATCGTGAAATGGCTGAAAAGCTCTTAAAGGATAACACAATTTCCACATATAGATGTGCGAATATATATATATCGCGTAAAGTAGACAACTTGAGATGAGCCAACGCAATGACGTATTAAATCGCGTAAAGCAGAGATTAGAACAATAATCATAATACTTAGACTCACGATTAATTTTGACTCTTTAAATTAATAGATTGGCATGAATTCTCACAAAAGTATGAAACGAGTTTTAGAAATTTAATTTCGATTCTGGTCCATAATATTTTCAATTCTATTGTGTTTTAAAGGAGGTGTCTATGACGTCACGGGGACCACGTGAGTAAGACGCTGGCTCACTATATAGCCTGTAAGATTTTTGCTAGAATTTTTGCATTATAATTAATGATGGCATTATATTGTATTAATTAATTGTACTAAATGTGCACTAAAATATGAGGGACAAATGCGTATATAAAAAAGAGTTATAGAACCAAAACATAGCTGGTTCTATGTGTCAACAACATGTTACCAGATTACACGTGATTGGAAATTTACCTATTGCATCATTTGGTTTAAGGAACTAATCATATCAGTAATTGCACAGGTTCAGGGTCATGAATAGCCTAGTCTGTGCGTGATGTCCATAGGTGCTATAAAAGAAATCATGGCAAACTTTTAAGCCAGATTTCATTGGATTTCGGAGATATTAACATTTGAGTTCCTAGACAGCAGCTTGATTCTGGAAGGGAAAAGAAGTAGCAATTTCTATCAGCATACCCAGCGAGACTGGCTGGCTAGTGTTTGAGAATGACTTTAGTATTGTAATCTTTTCTATGCTTGTATCTATGTATCCGGCTATGATATATAAGATGTAAAAACGAACTGTTGCATTGTTAAACGTCTTAACTATAACTGAGATAGACAACAAGAAGAAGTAAATACACGCGAAGGGGAATCAAAGACGACAACTGAAAATACTAGACGATCACGAGGCTAATAAGATATGTAGTAGGAAAAGATGCATGAGTTATACGTAGGATGTGGCGACCGCTTTTGGAATACCCCGCTCTCCATGTCTGACAGAAAGGCCCATGGAGCTACGAGCCTGGAGCCTGTGGGTTCGCTCCCTGTGATGGACGAGAAAGTTCATCTTGATTTGCCTGTGTGGTCTCCCCCTTGTGAGTGGTCGTATAACACGTGGTAACCTGTTGGCATTTATCTTAAAGACCATTTATCTCCCATCATTTCATCAATTATCTTTTTATATTCCGGTCCATGCAAAGACCCATTCTATACAAACGTCCATCGACTCAAACTAACCTTTGACAAATCTTAGTAGCAAGCATGAGTGGACATTGAAATTGACATGATGACGCACATTGAAATTAGTTTAGATACACCTATTAATTTACTAATTATTTGATTGGAAGAGTCGACGTGACAAGGCTAATCAAACCGTAAATCATTGGGTATCTGCATCCCCACTAGACAAATAAATATAATTATAACTAGTATATTCAAATTTAATTAATTTGAACGTCATTATAGGCTATGGCGTGGGATAGGCAGTGACCACCTGGTAACTGGAAGATTCGTTTAATTTAACGAACTATGTTGACCAAACAAACGTCGTATCCGACTAATATTCTTATTAGTTACGCTTTGTTATAATTGTCATGTTGCCACGACAGACGTAGTTGGTTTTCCCCGATAAATGTTAGTCGGTACACTATACAAGAACGCCCGTGGACTATATAGTATAATATATACGTTAGACTCCCATCCCAACCACTCTACTACTGATTGTGATTGATATCCTTTAAATATCACCAATTCCACATCAACAATAACTAAATATCACAAATTCAAAACTAGAGATTCCCCGGTTGTACGTGACAAGGAGAAGGGTTGCCTGTCCAACCTCGTGGGATTTCTCTGGGTCCTCCGGTTTCCTCCCACGGCTAAAGACACCTACGCGCAAGCGAATTATTGAAATAAAATTGAACCACATGTTTGTCCCGAAATGATCTAGTTTGTGTCGATTGGACGTTACCCCCCCCCCCCCCTCTCTCTCAAAGCTAGAACCAAAAATGAGACAAACGTGTTTTGAGATAATCAAAATCAGAGCAGCGACTGACGTTTCGTCTGGTCTCCACATTAGAATAAGCCGTTAGAGACATGGCTTCTAATTGTATAAAATCACAAACAGTTGAGGTGGTTTAAACGAATTTAAAATTAGATATGTGTGATATTTTAAAATAACTTTTCAACAGGTGCAGTTGTCCTTTTAATGTCCACTTTGATAACGTAAGGTAGTTATTAATGGTCGATGTGGCGATTTGTCTCGATTCCATGCGTATTATACGCGGATGAATCTTTGGTTACGTATCTATTACCGCGGAGATTGATTTATCCCGTTGTCTTTGTCTAACTCCCCGACTGAGTGATTTTAAATATCCCCAAGTATTTATTATATATTATAAACATTTCATTAGGTGTCTATATCGGTAGTTTTTATACTCATTTTTACTAGGCTTACTAACTACTGCATTGCATATTGGGGATCATGGTGGCTAAGTGGGTAAGACGCTGGCTCGCTATCTGGAGGTCGGGTGTTCGATCCCAGCATTGGCCGAGAAAATTCATCCAGATTTTTCCGACGTGGTTCGCCCTTGTCAGTGATGCAGGACGGAAGGCCAGAGAAGGACAGCTGTCTAGTCGTCCCGTGTAAACACTGGCGTGCACGTAAAAGATCCCTTGGCAGTTGGAATTCGATATAAGAGTAGGCCGTAGTGCAGCTGTCCGGGCAAAATGTCCCTCAAGGCACACTGTATGGCGTATGGCCGTCTTCAGGAGCAAAACACATTAGGAAGTTAAACCCTATTTAATTTCATTTTATAAAAAAAATGAAAAGCTTAAATATTTTATTCTTCAGGGACAGACGGAAGACATGAGGTATGGTATTGGGGTCTCCTAAGCAATTATCCTCATAGCCTAACACTCGAAAGATAGGCGTTACAAAATAATATTTCCGATTGCTTTCTTTATGAAAACGTGATGTGTGAAGCATAGCGTGCCGAAAAGCAGCTTTGTATATAATACCGTATATGGTCATCAATCTGAAGTGCCATTCATCAATATTAAACCAATACCGGCAATTGTTATATATTGATGTTTGGTTTGAAAGAGTGATTTAAATCCATGCGTGTAGCTAATGCAAAGACAGAATAATTCATTAATGCGTGGGAGACGCGTCTAATACAGACTTGCAATAATTCTTCTTCTTATTGAATTTAGTATTATAATAACGATGTGTATATAATAAGACAATTCGTGGTCTGCTCGAAGGAAGAACAAAATTATGATAGCTTAACCTTTATTCTGTGACTGATCGTTCGAGTGTCACAATAGTCCAGTTCAACCGGTGACTTTATTAATAAATAATAAAGAATCGCGGAGAAAAGTTGTATTATTATAAGAGCATTGATTGATTGTGTTTTCATGTGATGTGAAATTCATATTATATATTCTCTTTTTTTTTCAGATGAGCCATGAATGAGAATGGCCGTCTGTGCTATTTATACCGTTAAATTAACGGAATGAATCGCGTGAATTGTCTGGTATTTAAAAGTCCCAAAGCGTTGCCAGTAAAGTAAAAGCAATAAAAAGATGATCAGATAAACCCACTGATAAGATAGAAATTACAACAACGACCATGGCGACATTTAGATATGATCGAAGCAATAGATCAATTCTTAACTATTGTTTATTAATGTTACTAATCTAGACAATCACTCTGATATCATATTTGTACCGGATACACTTTGAATATAAATTATTTACCAGGAAATACAGCCATTTCACATATTGGTCATGTGTGGGAATCTGTCGATGATACTGCCAGGTCATATTGTATAAAGGACCTTTGACGCAGTTACGAAATAAAGTGTGATTGCTGTTTGATGAGGGAATTATGAATGGAATTAATTGAATCGAGCATCAGCCACGCGTCTCTTCGTCTATGCGGGGTCGTTTTACAGAACAGCACTTTCAATACATAGCTCCTTTTGTAGTTCCATTTAGCGCAACAGCAGCAAGTGCGTCCAAAATCATCAGAAAACACTATACTGATCTCCAAGAAAATCACCCGAAAATATTCACACAGAAACTTATAATTGCATATTCTAAAAATAAAAATCTGAACGACATCCTAGTGCACAGTAAATTAGATTAAATAAGACCAGTCTCCACCCTGACCCAAAACAAACCATATATCAAATCCTATGCCTAACCGTTAGTAATTAAAATCAATTAGATATAAGAATCCCTAGCCGTAACCCGGTGATGTGGAACAAACACGATTTTTTTTAGAAAATCCAATCCGTTGTAGGAAACACACTAATGTGGCTCTCTCCCGAGAGCCTCAAATTTATTTTCTTTTTTCTTCAGAAACAATAATACCAGAATACCAGAAGCACCACCCAAGGAAGACCATCAGCGCCACCAACACCAATAAACAGTGAAATCGCCTTTGTATATAAATCTAATGTATTGTATGTATTTTAATAAAACTAGGAAATATCACGAACTAATTTTTCATCATCCTAGGTCAGTGCTTATGTGGAGACTTAACCTCTCCCCCCAAATTCTTAAACCTAACCTACAATCTTGCCAACAATCACGTGCCCTAACTATATTTACATCTCAGCGACCTTGACGAAAATTGAACTGGCCTTAACAAATAGATCTAGCACCTTCGTTGTTCCAGTTTTTACAGATCACATAAGATTGGCGTCTGGCTGTTGCAACTCGCTGCACAGAACGTACTTTTACTACACAGTAATTATTTGTATATAATGACCCCGGTCGAAATTTAATAAATTTTGGTAAAAACTCAAGATCTGGGATCAGAAATCAGATCTTCGCTGAAATTTGGTATAAGGATTGGGCGGCATCGACATAATCTGCCATTGCCAAGAGACCTTTTTGCTGCTTTGAAACTGCTTGTCAGTCAGTAATATAGTAATACACTGATCCAAGCCACTGCAAACGGACGTATTTGCTGCTTAGAAACTGTACTGTTTGTAATGGCAGTGAAGGCAGACCATCAATTTCGATTAAATCAAAATCCTTACTAAATTATGGTTATGTGAGAAATGAAAACGAAACTAAACTAAAACCCAACAAAGAAAGTATGAAAATGTGACGACTTTAGAGATTCTATACCCTTAGATTAGTAATCATATAAACTTTGGAAAACCTGTTAAATACTCGAATCATATTTGAATAAAAAGTGAGTCAAGGAGAGTAACTCAAGAACTATTGACATCTTTATCCATATACAGGGGACACAGAGAGAAACGGGGTTTAACGTCCACTCGACACAAACTAGGCCATTTCAGGACTATCATGTGGTTCAATTTTATTTCAATAATTCGCTTGCGCGTAGGGGTCTTTAGTAGTGGGGGGGGGGGGGCGTAGGACCCCAAGAAAGGCCACGAGATTGGACAGGTGACCCTACTCCTTGTCACGTACAACCGGGGAATCGAAACCACGCCAGTTGACTCAATGATAGACCTTATGATACAACGCGCAACGATCATAGCATGATCATAAGGAACAGTAACTCTGGAAATTATTTAGTGATAACGACAGGTACCATCTTTGATTACACTACGAAATATTCTTGAAAATTTGATGGCAATCTGTCAAGAACCAAGCTCTATAGAACGACTAACTGTATGGCACGTTCATCAACAATTATAATCAGCGAAATACCTATGGACATACCTTTACGTAATTGATCAAAATCGATAGTGGCCAACTTTACACCTTTTCTAACTAACACTGATCATTCTGTCAATTGATCATTAACGTAATTGTACAGTGAGTGGGAATACAATAAAATATGGACCCGGAGCGAGGGACAAAGGCAACGGCGAAATACGCCCATATTAACAGCACAACATAGGATACATTAGTATATCTATTCCTGGGTTTTACTTAGATTTTTTCAAAAAGATGTAGGTCTGTTGATACGGTGTTTCTAAACTGCTGCATTATAGAACAGTTTTGAATTCAAATTATGGCAAATTATTGGATTGTCTTGCTACTGTCCATTGTCTGCAGTCTACAAATCTACGTCACTATATACAAACTATTCAATTCGCCTCACAACTGACAGTCCCACTCTTTTTTGTTCAAATTGTTATTCCGCCATTCTTATTTTAGCAAACGTGCGTAAACTAACTTAATTTGTTGTGTCTTTATTAGCAATCAACAATCTGACTAAAATACAGATCTATATTTCGTTTCGTTTTTTTTTTTACACTTTCGATGGCCTACACTACATGAAGATCTGACCGGTTGTGGTGGAGGATCACGTCAAAGGTCATACAAGCGGGTTTTGGCCGTATGACATCTGACATTTGATTAACCAATCAGCGTTGATGTTTCTAGTGGATTACCCACAGTTCCGTGTCTCGCACGTCAAAAACTCGCCGTAACAGATCGTTTCATTGGCTAATCGCGCACATCATCCAGAACGCGGGTTATAAAACAACTCTTCCAGATCCTAGTGTAGTAAAGACAAGTAAAACGAAATTTTGAACTATAAAACGAAACGAAATAGGATTTGTGTTTTAATCAGATTGAGCAATCACAGGCGTGAAGTAAAAGTAAAACGTATCTGGAATACTGGATAATCGAAATTTCCAAACTACGAAGATAGACCTCAACCAAAGCTCTCAGTGGAACTATCGAATTGTATAGGTATTATCACGGGATGGTAATAATAGAAATATAAAAGAATACACTTACCGTCAATTAAGTACTGAGCGGCACCGTTATCGAATAAGTCACGTAATGGTAAATCAACTGAAATGAAAAATAAATTAACGTTAATTTTAACGTTCGCCCTCCATAAAATAAAGCGTCTCTGTATATAACATACAAGCGCCTGTAACATGGAAACCTCTTTCAGAAATGACGTTAATGGGATTTTTCCACGTTACAGGCGCCGATGTATTGGCCTTGCTCGTGGTAATCTATCGTTGCTAAAGTGGTAAGGCCAAGATACGAAAAGCTAAAGCCGTCGTCTATTCGCGCTGTGTTTAAATGCAGTTATCACGTGTTTTGGACGAGAATTAAAAATAGCCCATAATAGTTAAAATTAACATATAATGCATGAACAGTCTGACACGTGAACATGACCCAAGAGAGAGAGAGAGAGAGAGAGAGAGAGAGAGAGAAATGGGGTTTAACGTCCACTCGACACAAACTAGGTCATTTCGGGACTAAAATATGGTTTAATTTTATTTCAATAATTCTCTTGCGCGTCGGGGTCTTTAGCAGTTGGAGGAAACCGGAGGACCCGGAGAAAACCCACGAGGTTGGACAGGCGACCCTACTCCTTGTCACGTACAACCGGGGATTCGAAACCACGCCAGTTGACTCAATGACAGCCTTTATGATAAAGCGCGCACGTGCTAACCATTCAGCCATCCACCCCCCCCCCACATGACCCAAGAATTTGACATTTAATATAATACAGCTATATTATAATGAGTCTAAATTCGTAGGCTATATATGTGTGGTGCTTTGTTTCATTATCTATATAACTTCCTTTATTAGTTGTCTGGAGATTTGTATTGTTACTTATATAAATGCTGAATTTAAATTAGACTTTTTTTTATTAACGTCGCTCCAAGCCGATTTATTCGTCGTATCTCAAAAGTCAAACATATGACCCGTAGTTATTATGTATTAAAAAAGCCCATAAATATACAAAAACGACAGAAGAATAATCATATTACTATATTTGCCTAATATACGTGACGATGGCGGTTTGTACTCAATAGAAACCAATGTAAGATGGAAATGGTCAAAATCTGGATTAAAATAAATATTTAATAAGTACTTTTAACTGTGCATGACCTTAAAGGAGCTAAATCTCTATTCTTTTGCTCATAGAAATGGAAAAAAAAATAGGTCGCAACACATATAGTAATGTAATATGAATGTTTATAAACTCATTTACATTCATTCGTTTAATCTATAATTTTAAATCAGTTATGTTCGGCGAAATACGCGAAGAGTCCAAACTGAATGGCATTCTTTGGCGTCTGGTTATTCTAATCTGCACCGGTAGTATTCTCCTGTGGGATAAGCTTAGCCTCGTTCACCTGCTTCATTCGTATGTCAATTTTAAAATTTTCATTTTTTCTTAAAGATACATTATGGGAGATTCGATAACGAGTTGGTTGTTCTCACTATAATAGTTAAAAACTAGATAACGTAAAGGCAATTTGCTGAACATTTCATTCAAATTGATCCACTATGAACCGAGAACTAAGCGAATGACATTTCTGCCTAGCCTCGGTCATCACTACTAAAGTCAGTACGATAAACAGCATAGTCTCGATTATCCATTTAATCGTTTAATCGAGAAGGAAAGTTATGCAGTAAATCGGCTCACAATCCACTTAAGATCGCAGGCTAGCGCTGCCATCTAGAGTTGATTATGGTCTGGATAAGTTAATTAATGTCTAATTAATAATTTAGATAATATTTCAGACCTAAAGAAAGACCTGCAATGGACAGATTTAGCTCTTGCATAATGTATGTTTAAATATTGGATATCAGAAGCCCAACCTTTCACGGTTAGATAACAACATCAATGCTGATTTAAATTGCAATGTCGAAGTCTGTATATTGAGTTAGAGTTAGACTTGCCCCATGCCTTCTTAAAACTCTATTTTAAAACTTTATTCCGATTCTGGCACCTTGCAGTTTTATTGAATGTAGAAGCATGCCTTAAACTTGATTATGCGCGCAAATGTAATCCCGATTATCCGAGCAATATATTTCGAATTTGACAAATCTAGATAATACCCTTGTAATCGCATCGGAGACAATTTAGAGTGGAGCACTCAAAGGTTAAAGGAGCTAAATCGCGAATATCTGGGACCTAGAAATTGACACAAATGGGTCGCAACGCATATAATAATGGAATGTGAATGTATATAAACTGATTTATATTCAACCGTTTCTGTTTTTACTGTAATTTCTAATCAGTAATGTTCGGCGAAATACGCCAGAAGTCTCAATTGAATGGCAATCTTTAGCGTCTGGTTATTCCAGTCTACACCGATGATATTTATTACGCATGCTCTCCAGATAAGAATTGTGGAATATGTCTAGCCGCGTTCTTTGAATCCCTTGTTCCAAGTGCCGCTGAAACGCATTATGGTACACGATTCGTGTACCAATGGTAAAATGTTTATTGTCTTAATACTGGATATCAGAAGCCAATCTTTTCCCTGTAAGATCACAAGACCAATGTTGATTTGAATTGACAAATAATTCATATTTTCAATGTCGAAGATTTTTGATGATATTGAGTTAGAGACTTAGCTACTTTAACGCTGGCTGAGGCTATTGAATCTTTGCCTGGAAAGTGTAAATATTTTGAAGCCAAATTTATGCGGCAAGGAGATCATTTTCACAGGCCTGTAACTGATATTTGAATAATGCAAGATCTGCAAATTCGATATTCTGTACATAATGTAATCTATTTAACAATCTGCACACTTACTTAAATGAAAGCCCATATCTTCTGGTTGATCATCAAAATATTCCCAATCTAATCTACGACATTCTGTAAAATAAAATAGAGATGTCAATAAAGCAAAATAAAACCAACCTTTAATTTGTTGAGGCTGAAAATAGTAGAATCGGAATGTAAAGAGAGAGAGAGAGAGAGAGAGAGAGAGAGAGAGGGGGGGGGGGTTTAACGTCCACTCGACACAAACTAGGTTATTTTGGGACTAACATATGGTTCAGTTTTATTTCATTAATTCGCCCTGGGGACCCGGAGAAAACCCACGAATTTGAACAGGCCACCCTACTCCTTGTCACCGGGAAATCAAAACAACGCCAGTTGACTCGATGACAGGCCTTATAATACAGCGCGCACGCGCTAACCATTAGACCCCCCCCCACACACACACACACCTGTGTTGATTAGCAGTTTGAGGTTGATTTGGTTAGTGTGGAAAAGATTTGTTTGAGATTTCATTATGGAGGAGACCATTGTCACAAATATAGATGGAATGGTTGGTGAGTGTCGTGGTGGTGGCGTTCTTGGTCTGATACGGGGTGGTCGGGTTTGTAATTGTTGTTTCTTCAAACAATGTCATCTAGAAAGGGAAGACTGTTGTCTCTTTCTATTCCCATGGGGTATCCGGAGAAAACCCACAAGGTTGGACAAGCGACCCTACTCCCTTGTCATGTTTAAGCGGGGAATCGAAACCACACCACTTGAATCAATGTCAGACTATGTGATTTCACGTGTTAAACCACTAGACCACCCAATCCCCATGTATGTTGTTGTATATTGTATATATCGGTACGGGAAGTTTGTTTTATAATAGGCCTATATAATAAATTAAATTGTTGTAGCCTAAGGTGTGTTTTTTTTTTTACCAGACAAATTTTTGGCAGATAAAATATCCCAGTTGGCGGAAAAAAAAAATATGAACATTTTTTATATAACAATTATTATCCATTTTGACGGAAAAGAATGAAATACAGTGTGAGCCCTGATTGCACGTATTCAAATACGACCTGGAAAACTGAGACTACAACAACTTCCGAGGCGAAAGTCGAAAAGTCGCTAATAGCGTGGTGTGTTAATTTCCTAATTTTTACTTTTCGAGTTGCATTTTGGCTTGTATAGCGTGTTGGCGCCTTCTTACTGACATTAATAAATACAAAAATGTGACTAAGTCGAAAGTCGACAAGACAGTATACAAGCCAAAATACAAATCGAAAATAAGAAATTAGGAAAAAACGAGGGGCGCTATTATCGCTGTGTGTTATTTCTTAATCTCCTATTTTCGGGTTGATTTTGGCTTGTAAAGGTGTTGTCGCCTCACATTTTGTCGTAACTTCTACTTTTCGACTTTTCGACTTTCGTGTTTTGAAGAGGCGAAAAATAGAAATTATGAATGGTAGTTATAGGCTTCGATACTCCCCAGATAAACAGTAGGCCTAAGACATATACATTGAGCACATTGTCATAGAATTTTACTTTGTGCGTTCTGAGTACACCTACTGTGTTTATACCTTTGTATCCACATACGTTGTTCCTTAAACAAAAGGTACACCAATATAGCTTGATGCAATGGTGTATGAATGGGTTGCTTTAATAGGAAACTGATTGCATGAATCTGTACACAATCTCGACAAAAATAAATCAAACACTATTTCTAGTAGACGTCATTGATTTTACTGAAAGTTTGAGATAACTGTAAGTTGACGAGAGAATAATAACAAACACTCTCTTTATCTATATACTCTTAACCCTTGACTAATTTATAAATGAACAATTTACTGTTGTAACTATTATAGGAAATATCGGTTTATAACAGATAATGAGAAATTATATAGACAGCTCGAGGCCTTAGTGAAGAGGTGTATATATAATTAGCCAGCAGTCAGTATTTTAACTGACAACATTTAGTGGACCCTAAACAGATCAGCAGTAAATAATCGCATGGCCGCTACTATCACTGAGAGGAATGACATTGGGGCGAGTAAATTAGCTCTCAATATTAAACAATTACGCGTAGGCTTACTCATATGGATTTTTAAGAGAGAGAGAGAGAGAGAGAGAGAGAGAGAAATGGAAACGTCCACTCGACACACAAACTAAACCATTTCGGGACTAACACATGGTTCTATTTTGTTACAATAGACAGAGAGTATAGATATGTTCTCCTGGGTGATAAATAGTAATGACAATGATAAATTGTATATCCATGTAGTAAGACGAAGAAAGTATGAATATTGAGACGATCAAAATGCATGTTAAAGGGACAATAACACTCTTGCGGGATTGACAGCTCCAGAAAATAAAAAATAGCCTTATTCTAAGTACTAGATGTGTTAGTGTCCTACCTGTTGTGTAAATTATCCATTAAATCCTATTTTACTTGTTCAGAGGGTTCAAAAATATTTTTAAATCCAAGTCGCATTTGAAGAGCTTTACGCCAGGCTTTTCAAATCAGTTAGTTGAATTTTTCCAATTTTTTAAATTAGGTGTGTTAAGATCAAATTTGTATCATCAATTAATTGGAATATTGTAAGATAGTACAATTTGTTGACCAGAATAAAGATTGGGACATATTATTCAGTTAAAACAAGAGTAGTATTGAGCCTTTAATAATCATACTCCTCGCAGTGTTTCGTTTGATTAGATCTAATCACACTCAAACACTGCTGTAATGAAAGCAAATTTCTTTTCAAAATTATGACTGGTCAATATTCCGATTAACAATCAATACCTAACTACGTAACAATATCATTCGGGTTTAAAGAGGGCTCCAGATATGTTTACATAACGTTAGGTCCAATTATAACCAGTGCATAGCAGAAAATTGCAGAAAAACTAATTGTGTGACAAACGAGGCTATCAGTACAACAATACTTTCGCCGTTTTTAATACCTTGAATCACTGTCCAAAGTTTTAGAGAGTACCCCAGATTAAACGAAGGGCCGTCATGTCGCTGTACTTAGGAGAGATTTGATTGAACGAGAAAAATAGACACACTCCCTCAAAAGCTCAAGTATCAGAAGTCAATCCAGCAATGACCAGCGAGGGATTTCTCGGGCCATTGCTTCAGGAATATGGTTATTAGTAATCTTCGTTTCGTATTTTTTTTCTTTACGTTTTAAGACTTATTCCGTTAGTTCATTTGTATGGCTGGTAGTAGGTCAGTCGTAACTAAGGACGATCTACTGGTAGTCGCATTTAATAAATAATAAGCTTGTAAAATTGTGAGAAGAAATGACAAAATGTTATGTTTAGCCTACGTTGCTTATGCTAATGACCCCAATCGCGTCGTGGGACACCTATTCAATAAACACTGCCCCAATTGACATTACTAACTTGCGACGTGTTTTCCGAAAGGTGTAACAGTAGGTCATCCTCGCATTACTTCGCATGCTGTTCGAGGAAAGGTTTTCTGATCCAGTTTATGACAAACAGACAAGGACCAACCGAGAAACACAAAAACCGATCAACGAATATTATGGACAGACCAGAGGCCATTTCAGGAGAGAGAGAGAGAGAAATGGGGTTTAACGTCCACTCGCAACAAACTAGGTCATTTCGGGACTAACATATGGTTTAATTTTATTTCAATAATTCGCTTGCGCGTAGGGGTCTTTAGCAGTGGGAGGAAACCGGAGGACCCGGAGAAAACCCACGAGGTTGGACAGGCGACCCTACTCCTTGTCACGTACAACCGGGGATTCGAAACCACGCCAGTCGACTCAATGACAGACTTTATGATACAGCGCGCGCACACTAACCATTCAGCCATCCACCCCCCTCCCCCGCCATTTCAGGAACATGCATATTTACATGCAGACACACTGCTGTAACAATAGGTCATCATCATCAGATCAGCTTTACATGCTGCTCGTGGAGAGGGGAAGCAGACAGTTATCGGTGGCTGTGATTCTCCCAAAACGGCGATCGCCAAAAAAATAGAGATTCCTTTCATGTATTTTCCATTCTATTAGAAATGAAATGGGATTTAACGTCCTACTATTCTGCTCCTAACCTGGGCTAATGAAGACGGGCATACGCCATACAGTGTGCTAGGGGGGAAATTTTGCCCGGGCAGCGGCGCTACGTCCTACTCTTATATTGAATTCCAACTGCCAAGGGATCTTTTACGTGCACGCCAATGTGTACACGGGGCCTCGGTTTTTCGTCCTATCCGAACGACTAGACAGCTGTCCTTGTCAGGCCCTCCGTTCTGCATCACTGACAAGGGAGAACCACGCCGGAAAATCTGGATGAACTTTCTCGGCCAATGCAGGGGTCGAACACCCGACCTCCAGGCGTGCGATCCAGCGTCTTACCCACTTAGCCACGTGATCCCCCCCCCCCATTCCATTAGAACTACCGGAAAATTTACTAGCGCTTATCTGTTTTAATAAACCTTCGCTGATGAAGTAATCATAATTTTTATTAAGAGTTTTTCGACCAAAATTAGATTTCAAGATAATTTAATCTCTGAGGTTTTCTTCTAACTTAAATATGTATGAGCAGATTTGTCTGAATTGTTGCATTGTAATGTAAACATGTCCTACTGAACTGCGTAGTCAAATGAAAAAAAGAAAACGAAACATTGCCGATCAGTGGCGATAGTCAAAGTATTAAAAGAGACACACACCCCCCCCCCCCCACATTCTTTGCAATGCACTATTTTTGTTGTTAAGTTTCTGTCAGTTTCATTTTCTTCAAACGAAAATTAATAATATTTATTATAATAAAGTCTGAATTTAAAAAAAAAAAACAAAAAAACAAACAGTAGAAATATGTCTCAAAGCAAACGTACATACTTGTTCTTTAAAAGTGCCTTTATCAATTTTTTATCAAAATTGGATATCTGGATATTTTCTGCTATTTCTAGCCTCGAATAGTAGGAGGACTGCTGAACTCTTCAGAGTTACCCCATTCTTAAAAATAGGCTTTTGTCGTCAATGACGTATATGTCATTGTTTGCCGCAATTTACATTTTATTTTTACCAGGCCCCCACGATGCACCACCGACAATGGCAAACCGTGCCGTAAAATCCAAG